AGACCATCATGGTGAACTATAACCCTGAGACCGTCAGTACCGACTATGATGAAGCCGACAAGCTGTACTTCGAGAACATCAACCTGGAAACCGTTCTGGACGTCTATCAGATGGAGGACGCAACCGGAGTGTTGGGAGCTATGGGTGGCCAAACGCCCAACAACATTGCCCTGCCCCTTCTTCGTGCTGGCGTCAGAGTTCTGGGTACTTCTCCTGAGATGATTGACACTGCCGAGAACCGCTACAAGTTCTCCCGCATGCTTGACCGTATCGGTGTTGACCAGCCGACTTGGAAGGAACTTACCAGCTTCGAGGAGGCGAAGGCTTTCTGCCAGAAGGTATCGTACCCGGTGCTTGTCAGACCTTCCTATGTGCTTTCTGGCGCCGCCATGAACACTGTCTACTCCGAGGCCGATCTTGAGTCCTACCTTCAGCAGGCTGCCGATGTCTCCCCTGAGCACCCTGTCGTCATTACCAAGTACATTGAGAACGCCAAGGAAATCGAGATGGACGCTGTGGCCAAGGACGGAAAGGTTGTTGGACACTTCATTTCTGAACACGTCGAGAACGCCGGTGTTCACTCTGGTGATGCAACCCTTATCCTGCCGCCTCAGGATCTGGAGCAGGCCACTATTCAGCGCATCGAGGAAGCCACTCGCAAGATCGGTGCCGCTCTCAACGTTACCGGTCCCTTCAACATCCAGTTCATCGCCAAGGACAACGACATCAAGGTGATTGAATGCAATGTTCGCGCTTCGCGCTCTTTCCCCTTCGTCTCCAAGGTTATGGGAGTTGATCTTATCGAGATGGCCACCAAGGCTATCATGGGTCTGCCTTTCGTGGAGTATCCTGCCATCGATCGTCCTTCTGGCGGTGTCGGTGTCAAGGTCCCCCAGTTCAGTTTCTCTCGTCTGTCTGGCGCTGACCCCGTCTTGGGTGTTGAGATGGCTTCCACTGGTGAAGTTGCCTCCTTTGGTGTTGACAAGTACGAGGCCTACCTGAAGGCTTTGGTGTCCACCGGCTTCAAGGTTCCCAAGAAGAACATTTTGCTCTCCATCGGTTCATACAAGGACAAGAAGGAGATGCTGCCTTCTGTGGCCAAGCTTTCTCAGATGGGCTACAAACTCTTCGCTACCGCCGGTACTGCTGATTTCCTTCAAGAGCACGACATTCCCGTGCAGTTCTTGGAGGTTCTCGCCAAGGAGGATGACCAGAAGTCCGAGTACTCCCTCACCCAGCACTTGGCTAACAACATGATCGACCTCTACATCAACCTGCCCTCCAACAACAGGTACAGACGCCCTGCCAACTACATCAGCAAGGGTTACCAGACACGTCGCATGGCTGTTGATTACCAGATTCCCTTGGTCACCAACGTGAAGAACGCCAAGATCCTTGTCGAGGCTATCGCCAGGTACCGTGACATGGAGATCGGCGAGCGTGACTACCAGACCAGCCATACCCCACTTCAGCTCTCTGGACAGGTCAACTTCACCCTTCAGGACTCGCTCTCCAGGCCTCACTCTTTCAAGAAGGCCCACGTTCTCTCCGTAGAGCAGTACACTCGCGCCGACTTGCATCTCCTTTTCACTGTTGCCGAGGAGATGCGCCTCAGTGTCCAGCGCGGAAACGTCATGGACATTCTTAAGGGACGCATGCTTGCCACTCTCTTCTACGAGCCTTCCACCCGTACATCGGCGTCTTTCGAGGCGGCCATGAAGCGTCTGGGCGGTGAAGTCATTTCCGTTGCTACGCAGCACTCCTCTGTTCAGAAGGGCGAGACTCTGCAGGACACGCTCCGTACTCTTGCCTGCTATGCTGACGCCATTGTTCTCCGCCATCCCGACGAGACCTGCGTTGACGTTGCCAAGAAGTACAGCCCGGTGCCTGTTGTCAACGCTGGTAACGGAAGCAGGGAGCACCCCACCCAGGCTTTCTTGGATCTCTTCACCGTCCGTGAGGAGCTGGGCACTGTCCAGGGCTTGACCTTCACGTTCGTCGGTGACCTTCGCTATGGTAGACCTGTGCATTCCCTGGTCTACTTGCTTCGTCACTACTCGGGAGTCAAGGTGCAGCTCGTCGCCCCCAAGGGACTTGAGTTGCCTACTGATGTTCGTCAGCAACTGGTCAAGGCCGGCCAGCTGCTCTGCGAGTCTGAGACGTTGACCCCTGAGATTCTCGGCAAGACTGATGTCTTGTACTGCACTCGTGTGCAAAAGGAGAGGTTCCCGAGCGAGGCGGAGTATGAGAAGGTGAAGGGTTCTTACCGCATCGACAACCAGACCCTTAAGCACGCCAAGAGCAAGATGGCTATCATGCACCCGCTCCCCAGAAACGAGGAGGTTGCTGAGGAGGTTGACTTCGACCAGCGGGCCGCATACTTCAGACAGGTAAGATCCTCCTTTGACATTGTTTCCGCTACCATGCGGCATTCAGGTTCGTTTGCTGACAGATTGTAGATGAGATATGGTCTCTACTGCCGTATGGCCCTCCTGGCGTTGGTCATGTCTGGTTAGAAGATGGTCGTTTCTCGATTTACTTTTCATTTAGGGTTTTCGGTGTTCCGGTGTATAGACAAAAAGGGTATAATTTCCTTTGTCGTGTCTATCTAACACAAAAAGAGTAAGAGATAGAACGCGTAAACGATTTCGGTAGACATGTTCGTTTTCGCTTTTTTTCTTTTTCTCTCTCTTCAAAGTCCGCTTGAAGCGGCTATGATTTAATGATATAAATGGGTGTAATGATTTGTATGAATGAATGTGAATGATGCGTATGTTCGTTATGTATGTACACTGTTGATCGGTGTGCGTACGTTACGTGCGTTACGTTCGTTCGTTTCGTTCATTCGTTATGTATACGTTATGTACGTACATTTATTTCGTTTCTCTTTTTTTCTTCTTTTTTTTGGGTTTATATGTATACGTTTGATACGTATCTTTTTGTATTTAGCTTAGATCTAATGCCTAATCTAATTGAATGACTCACTCCCAACTCATTGTTCACTTTGTTTTTGCCTTCGCTTCATCTGATCTTCAAACTTGGGAAGAAGATCCGGTGTTTCATGTGCAAGGAACAATCGATCTCTGGCAGATCCAGAAGTTCACCAGTGGAATGTTCGGCAACCAGGTACATAGTGACAGAGGGTTCTTTCGCCACCTCCAGGCTGGTTAGGTGACATTGCCAGCCCCAAGAGCATTTGGTTCGTTATTGCCCGCTGTGAATGGAGTCAGGTGTTGGTGCATGTGTGTGGGATACATCCTGGGCGCGAAACGATCAATTGGTGTTTTTACCTTGGCTCTGGCGGGTCAAAATTCCTTGATCTCTGCTTGCGTCTCAGACCCCATCCGTCTTGTTTCGCTATCTTTTGTCTTTGCCTCTGTATCAAAGGAGCTGTTGTTGGTTCAGGTCTACACGGATAATGTGGTGAAGCAGAGGTATGTGTGTTTTAGAAGATGGTTGTGTGTTTGCGATCCTTTGCAGTCGAACTGGATGAGAGTGACGGGGAAACAGAAACGATGCCACGGAGGCTTGGAAGGGATGAATTAGAGGTACCTCGCTGTAGGGAGTTTACCGACAGAAAATGCCATGTTCATTCGTCCCATTATCCTACAACGAACCACCAAAAGTGATGGATGAATCTGTAAGTTGGTAGCTCGACCATTTAAGTATATCCCAACACCCCGAAGAGGCGTTGGGCGGCCCAGACACCCCCTTAAAGTTGACCAAAGCCATCTTAAATCCTTGCCCTGCCACACACCACCATGAGCATAACGGGAGGTGCTCCCGATCTCGTTGCTGCTTTTGGTTTGCTCCAATCCGAGTTCAGCGGGCGATTCTCCTTCAGCTCCCGTCGTTATCTGATTCGAAATCTGCATGAGACGGAACGGACAGACCCCACGCCCGGCCGGTGACGACTACCGCTTATCCCCGTTCGTTTCGGAGGGGCGTTCGGACGCAGGAGCGGCAGAGTGTTGTTGTACCTGACAACTGACAGCAAGAGTGGATTACGGTGACAAGGGTCGACCGTGGACTACGGAACGAGAGAGCGCCCATGCTTTGTCTTGTTGTCGTGTAGTGTACACCTCTGCTGGCATTCAGACCTGTTAGCGCGATACCGCTTTTTCTACAATATATACGGGATTAGATGCGGCCAAAACGGTCATCTTCTGTAGAGAAACTGGAATCTCTCGCCATATGCAAGTCTCCGCACTAACAAATCTCAATGCCGGCAGAGGTGCAGCGTACATACTGCGCAAGTGTTTCAAACGAACCCCATGGCCCAGGCAGACCAAGTTATGATCGCCCGTCCGTTTTCATTTAAGGATGGCTCTGACCGCGCGTCTCTGTGTCGCTCGTATCAGGATTCTGATGATGTCACAGGGACTGGACGACCGTGGGTGGAATCAGCAATGGCTTGGAAGGCAAACTGCCTTTGGCTGGGCTCGCTGTTTTGAACTTTGGGTAGAGGTAGTCACGATTATACTATTACTACAACAGAAAGCCTGTCTGGTATGGATATGTACCACATACTGCGTAAGGATAACGCTTTGCCCTCCCTCCTTCTTTTTGATGATGGATGATCAAACTCCATAGCTAACCCTCCCTACTCAACGCCATTCTTTGCGAGTGCAGCAGAACAAAAGACTCATCGATCCCGACATGTCAACCGACCGACCCAGAATCAAACAACAAATAGTCCGCTTTCGCCCCGAAACGCCTAATGAAATTGATCATGTCCCCTCCCCTTTCTGTTGTGTTTCGAGTTCGTAAATCGATGATTCTGTTGCGTGGTTTGCTTTGACGCTCTAGGCATCGACATATGACCACCCACACGTAAACGCCGAAGAATGGTCCTAACCGAAAGTCCGTGAAAAACCGTGAGGGTATAATGCTAGTAAAAGGAAACAATAAAAAGAAAGCCCATGAGGCCCAGTGCTTGGGTAAACGCCATTAACCCGCGCCTCGTGCCTTTCGGCTCCGAGGTGACAGTGGTTTCCGAATCATTGCATGTCCATACTGAATGGCGGTGGTGAGTTGTATTCAGACAGCGGCGTTCCCGCCGGTGTCAGTTGCAACCCCGGCCTATAGACAGCCGCGCCTGAGCTTACACATCGCTTGTGCTGTTCTTTCAGAGATTGAAATTGATATTGGGATTGCGCCGCCACCGCCGCAGGGGGAAGAGGGAGCAGAGCCTGCCTTCCGGCGCGCTCCATATCTTTCAATGCATCCCCGATCAAGCGCTCATCCCATAGGGGAAGGATTCTGTAGTTCAGGTCCTCCATGATGCAGCGTTCCGTAATGTTGATCTGCTCGCACGTCCACAGGTTGTTACCCCATGCGGAGCGGTAGTACTGGGTTGGCGCGTGGGAATCCTCCAGGAACTTGACGGCGATGATAAGCGCACCCAGAACAATGACTTCGGGCTTGACGCAGTCGATATGGAGTTGACTGGCGGCTGCCGGAAGGGTGTATCGCTTTGACTGTTGCTGTTGCTCGTTGCTGGTGGTGGAACCTTCGCGGCGAGAGGGTGGACAGCGCAAGCGCCAGTTCAGCGCGAACTTGGAGCTGATTGAGTCTAGGACACAGACGGCGAGAGCGATCTCGTCCAGCTTCAAGCCTGTGCGCCTGAGCAACTCGTGGACAAGGGACACAGAAGGCAACGCCAAGGATGCAGCAGGTGGGATGAGGTTGACCAAGTGAATTGCAGGGCCTGTATGGGTAGATATCTGTGTTAGAACATGATCGTACAGAGGTATACAGGTAGTGATAGCCATCAAAGACCACGTACCTAGCAGTTCCGAGTCGAGAAGTCCTCCATTTTCCACGAGTGATTGGGGGCTCTGTGGGACTGACGAATTGCGGGACGAGGGGGGCGGTGTGGGGAGGTTCGACAGGGGTTGATAGGTACGGGCAAAGTATTCCTCGTCAAAGTCGAAATCAGAGTCATCGTCCGTCATGCAGTCGTGCTCGTCGTGAATAACACGGTCTTCCACTGGGCTCGTTAGGGATGGCATCTTGCTTGGTTGAACGATTGTCGTCATGTGTCGCAGAAGTCTGTTTCCTACTTTCCCTCCTGTTCCTTTTCTTTTTCGTGTGATGCTTATTTTATTTTTGTTTTTTGTTATGTTTGATGATGAATATCCAGAGCTCACTTAGGGTCGCCGGAGTCCAGTGCTTCCAGGAGGGCACAACTGAGGGAAGCAGTTCCAAGGGCTGCTCATATTCGCCCGAAGAAGGGACTCGATGGACAGTGACTTGAATCACGCGACAGGTTGCGGATCAGATGCGTCGTCTCACGGGAGAAGGCGGCGGGAAGCGGTGTTGTGTGTGTGCTATTATACACTCAATGACTGAAAGATGCTGAGGCCAAGGTCCCCGACACGAGGTCTCAGGTCGTACACAAAGGCGTTGAATTCTGTAAATATTGATAATAATGATGACAACCTTGTCCAATGTGGAAGACGTTGAGGGAGAGGATGTGAGCGAAGGGGGGGGAGGGGGAGGTGATGGGCATATATGTACATGTACCTCGACGGAGGAGGATGGAGGCCAAGCGATGCAGCTTCATCAATGGTTCGCCTTTGGGGTCAACATCAGCTCTTCTCTCTAGAGACAGCGGCCAGGATTAAGTTCCCAATGCCCGGATGGAGGAGGCCGGGATATTGGTGGAGGACTGGCTTGGCGGTCGTTTCGTCAGATGTTTCCTAGCGCACGTCGTTAAAATCGTGTCTGCACTGAGTGTGGCCCGCCTTTTGTCCGCCGAGCATCGAACCCTTCTGCCCTCCGCCCGTCATTAACCCTCACCCTCTGGCCTTCAGTCCACAAATTAGTCTTAGTGGTGGTGTCATGGTCCCTCGCCGTCGCATCCAGTGGCATCCACGACCACGGCACCTCGCTCGCTGCCACTCGCCAATTCATCCCCTGCTTGCCCTGCCCTGCAGCCCCTGTCAGATGCATGGGGCTCCAGCAGGCCCACCAGCAGTAGCCGACCAGGCTCAGGGCAGCAGAGAAGGAACCTAAAAAGTCGAAGCGCATGGAGCCCGGACGAGCAAAAAGCCCGACTCCCGTTTGCAAAGAGACTCCAGCACCCAGCGATCTCCGGCGGCCGTTGCTCTTTCCCACTTTGCTTCTTCGGTCTGCAAAAAAGCAGGAACGGTGGCTCAGGTGCAAGTTTCTAACTTGAGCGTTCAGATTCCTGTTGTGGAACTGAACCTGTTTTCACTTGCGGTACCGGCATCAGATCCAGGTCCCACCGTGCGCTGCAGCATCCGATGTCCTATCGAACCTGTGAGATGCAATTTCAGGTCAGGATTGTCAGGCACTCCACGACGGCCAAGTCGATCAGGGATACGAGTTCTAAGTTTGTGTTCCTGGCCGCTTGGACACTGCTGAACGAACAGCGGCCATGGCGAATATTCCCGTCGTGTACACTACTACCTTACAAAGAGACAAAAAGTCGATGCCCTGATTGCTCGCACTTTCTCCAGTCTTCGATACGATGCGAATTCCACCACTACTTCTATGGACACCTCCACTTTTTCAGCTTTCATCCCCAGAGAGGGCAACAAGGCACACGAGGCGGCCCGGTCGGCAGATGACACGGCATGAGGTAGGTATTTCTGAGATAACTCCGAGACTCAGATATGCCAGCATCTTCCAGTCTGTTTCCCGTCCGTTTGTGTCTCACAAGACACGCCCTGGCCTGCCCTGGGCTCACCTGGTATACGGTCTGCGGGCATGAACAGGTTGTCGGAAAGAGAGATGGAGTTCTTAACAAGCCCCACAAACCACACAACGTAGATCCGAACCTGGACCAAGCGAAATGGCGTGTTGAGGCGCAGAATCGTGGAGGCGGCGGAGCCATTGGCACACAGTACATAGCATACACCACATTGGCAGACAGCCGGACCGCCTTGGCCAGAACTCCCGTCTGGGAGTCGCTTGAAAATTGAACGTTGTGATCTTCAGTCGTTCGGTGGGGCCTTCCTTTTTGAAAGCCATCCACTGATACCCCGAAAACTAAAGCTCAGGACGACTCCGATGACCACGGCTAACGGCAAAAGTGGAAAATTGCAGAGATATCAGATGTAACTCGATATGGATGCCAGGGGCAGGAAGACCATAGAGTCTGCTCTGTCAAGATTCAAGTGGTTCACTACTTGCTACGAGTGCAAAGGTGGATGGAGGCTGACGACTCCCCAATTTGGATGAAAGGGGTAGCTTGCCTATAGCTGCAGGCCCTATAGAGCGGTCGCTTACCTTTCCACACACACCCACATAACTTATTAACGGGCAGATATATATCCAGAGCTATATCCACATACCCGAGCGGCTGATGCCGACAGATACGTCACAAAGATGGGACCATCGCAACCGAGGCTTGAAGCCGGCTTGTCAAGGTCCACGCTGGCTTTCATTTAACAAATATTGTTAACTAAAAACACCGAGGATTGGTTTTCCGTTCTACTACACTGCGTCTACTGCTATTCGCGCGGATGTATGGCTGAAGATCTTTGGTCAACAACCTCCACAGCATTCACAGCTCTCTCCTGTTCTTGTTATTTTACGTTTTGACACATCATGTGCTTGTCTTGCGGGTGGGTGCATAGAGTGTGGTCGGGTTGATTGGTTCCTTCCTTCTCGACTATCACGGGAAAACATCACGTCACATCCAGCCCCTGGACCGCCATTCGACCTCTTTTTCTACCGACAGTTCGCATCTCTACACTACACTATAAGCATTGTCGTCTGTAAGAGGTTCCAGGCTCTGACGATCAACACAAGGGAAGGCTTGGGAACTCGAAAACTGCATCCAGAGCGGTCAGAGCAAGACAGACATCACGGATAAGTCCGTTTGAAGACTACAGTAAGGGCTGCAGAGTGTAGACGCTACAGCCTGCAGCTAGGGCAATTATACACAGGAACCCACGCTTCTCTTCCCCCAATCTAGTTAGGCATTGGCTCGCAGTGCATATCCCCAAGAGGATACCTTCACGCTTACAGGTGCTGCTGAGCCTACGCCAGGACCGCCAACTTGCGCCAAGCAGCCGGACCACAGCCATGGTGAGACTGCCCTAAAAAGGAACAAGGGTAAAGGGAGGAGGAAATTGCACAAGACCCCGAAAGAAAAATAAAAAAAAAGGAAAAGGCCAGGAAGAGGTTTCACAGAAAGAGCGACCCAACGTCCTGGGAACATGGAAGATGAAGTCAAGGCTTGGTTTCATTTTTTTTCGGGGAATCAGGCGAGTCAGGGTCCCTTCCCTGGTGCAGTCTTTCGCTACATGTATTTGTATGTATTTGGAGGCCACCGCTCATATCTGGCGATCTCCCCCAAGAGTTCCAAGAGAGCAAGCGCGCTCGGCGCAAAGCCTCATTGCCCCCCATGTCCCTAGGTGTCGAGTGCTGAGGTGGCCGTGCCGTCCTTCTCATTTCACATCAAGCGAGGCCCACGGGGACTACGACAACAGTGGATACCATCTCGGCGGCTCTTTCGGTATTCGGAAGAGGTTCGATTCGCATGGACCACAGCGAGTCACGGTGGTTGCGGTGGTGGTGGTCCCTTTAGCTTGGCGTTTCTCTGAGGTGCTGCTGCTGGTACGGCTCGTACGGGTACGGCGGCGCCATTGTAACCATTCCCGACGATTTGCGGCAGCGCTAATTTCAGCCTCTTCCGGTGGGACCAAGCTTAATCTGGGGGACAAGGCCGATGGACAGCGGGCCCCCGTACACTACTGTCCTGTTTGGGTGGACTTTGCGCGTTCTCTTGTCCAGTCCGACGTCGACTGCTTCTAATTCAGTCTGACGGCGGAGTCGTTGGTACACGATCACCTACTCAAATGGGAACTAAAGAGGATCTTGTGTTGAGGGTGAAGTTACATAAGTACACTACATGGTGAACACTTGTTGGCTCAGATTTTCGCGACGACTTTTCACAGCATGTCATTGTGTATCTATTTAGAATCATCCGGTCTCTTCATCGTTTCGTCCTTTTTATTTCCGTTTTCGTTCTTCCCTCCCAGAAACCCACCCAGGACTTGCCCCCTTACATTGGGAACGCATGATTATCGATTCCGACAACGACAGGTGTCCATTTGACGGTTCGCCAAATCCCCGAAATTGACAGCCCGGGACGAACATCGGAAGGAAACAAGTATAAAGACCTCATCAATTTGGGAGCTCCATCTGCCGGCAGCGACGGTCGTGGTGTGTTTTGTTCACCAAACCTAGTTAACTACATACGAACCGAATTCGGCCTGAAGCCAGCGAGAATCGGGAATCAAACACTACCTACATTCGCCCTAAGCATGGAGGCACCTACCTGGACATTAAAAACTCTAACCTTTTTACAGATCCGCAAAGATTAGATCATAGGTTCGGGTAAAACAAAAGTCTGCTTGTATTGCTGCCCTATCCTCACGGGCTGTTCCACCACCACCTACTTCCCTCCACCGACATCTCCTCATCACACATCTCCCTTTTTGTCCCCTTGCCTAAACCGCCGTTACATCCTCCGGGGTACATACCTCAGCCCGACTGGACTTGAGCTGTAGTAATGCAGATGGGTAGGTGACATCCAAGCCACGTGTGTGATTGTCCGATGTTGTGATGTGACAAATCGAATGTGAGGACAGCACATACTGTATTTACAAAATAATTATTACACGAAAGTGAAATCAATAGTTGTAAAAGGTACATATGTAGTTATGTACACCCAAAAGAAAAAAATAGAAGGCAGCGGGACCAAACAAATCCTGGATACCGATCTCGCCATTTGTGCATGGAGTTGTTCCATAGTATTAGGGCGGCCGCTTTCCCGACCGGCCGACCCATTAAACTCCTACTCGTCAGGTCTTCAAAATCGACCGTCTGACTAGTGAGCGATGACGAGTAGTTGGGAGCTCCCAGAAAGACCAACAGCTGAATCCGTAATGGAAAAACTGGCCAGCAAGCTTACTTGTAGACCACGCTGGACGGACGACCTTGACAGCCTCTGCTTGCTATTCCAACCGACAACTTTTGATATAACCACAGCAAATCGAAACCAGCATCCAAACCGCCCCAGTATTGTCTGTCCAACCCAATCAACTTGACACCCCCTCATACATAGCTATATTGACTCAGCCCACCTGAATCAGCGCTTGTCTCCACTTAGCGCTAGCTGAGAGAGGCCGTGAGAAAAGGATACATTAGTAAAATCAATAGTTCATGTGAACTAAAGTAGTTGCTGCTTACTTGCGTTGTGCGATTCAACTAGTCGGTGCTACGTGATGGAGAGTGATGAAGCCGATGAAGCGAGCTGAGCTGAGCTGAGCTGACTGCGCTTCAGTTTTTTTTTTCCGTCTTTTTTTTTTTTTTTTTTTTTGGTTACGGTACGTAAACTTCATCAGAGCCTTCAGACCGGAATTTGCTTTTGACTATACAGTACATGACTGCGGGAATCCAAACTGAAAGTGTATGTATGTAGGAAAGAAACCCTTAGACAATGTACACACACGCTTGGTTCGTTGATGGGAATTCCTCGAGTGTGAGTGCAAAGGTGTCTGTTTTTAACTGTCTACACATTCAGTGAGCAGTAAGGACAGATTGACACATAGTCAGAACTCAGGCGGATGAGACGAGAACAGACATGCGTAAGTTCATGACTGCCCATGGAAAGGAAGGGATTCGGCTACCTCAAACGTCAACAAGAATCCCGAAAATAGAGGGGAGCATCCATTCTCCCCTTCCAGTTCTCACGATGATCCATGCAAGCTATAACCCCCCACAGCAAAGAATAAGAAAAGCACTGTCTGCAAGCTGTTCTTCACACACTTCTCCTGCCTATCCCTATGAGAAAAGCTCCATATATCTATCGCCAAGAAAGAAATACGGTAACCGGCCGAACAGCAGACAATCAAAATATGGTCAGAAAAGACATACATTTTGATCGTCCCAGCCACCATATCAACAATATATCTGCTCCAGAGCGTGACTTCGTTCCGTGCACAATTGTCTCAGCTAATTCTCAACTTCCGAAGGCAAAGAAAAAAAAATGATGACTATAGTTCATCAATAGCCCCGCTTCTCATGTTTTCCCCTATTCTGCCTTGGTATCGCAGACGTGGCTCATTACGTACACGCAACGATCTCAACACATGGCAAGGCAATCGACTGCCCATGCTCCCCTAATTCCAACCATTTTGTCCACTTCAACTCCACTTCAACTCTTCAATCGATCTTACTACATGTTCGCTCTCTCTCCTGGGTCATCCAACTAAGCACCAGGGTGTCTAAGCAAATCATAAAGCACCTGATCCTCGTTCCCAATGTGGCTGCTGTACGTATTACTTGACAGGTTCATCGACCTATGATGAGGCTGCTGGTGGCTGTACGCCGCAGCATTGGTCGCAGCCGGCGCCGCATTATGGGCGTGCGAGCTTGCCGAGGTCCCCGTCGAGTAGCTGTTGTTCGCGCTGCTGCTGGCTCCGGTGGAGCCGTAACCGGTCGACGAGGCATTAGTGGTCGATCCGAAACTGCCGTAACCCCAGTTTTGCGTCTGCTGCTGCTGTTGATGCTGCTGTTGCTGCGTGTTCGTGGTGTGTGACTGGCTTGTGTAGCTGTTGTAGCTTGGCTGCTGTTGGACCTGCTGTCGCTGCTGCTGCTGTGCCTGTGATTGCTGCTGGTGATGTTGCTGTTGCTGCTGGGCATAGGCGGCGGTAGAGGACCTGGTCTGGGCCATGGATTGCGGCCTGACGTTGAAGCCCTGAAGGGAGCTGGATTGTGGGGGATTCGAAGGGGTCATGTTATATTGGTTGGAGGCCGACGTGGTTGGATTTGTATCATAAGTCGAGCGAGCACTGCTTCGCGTCTGAGGGGCAGACGTACTCGACCCCCATTGTGATGTGCTTGGCGCCGCCGTAGCTGTGTTGGTGTTGTATGAGGAAGCCGTGGGCTGCGCTGCTGATAAACTTGCTACTGGCGTTTTGGTACTTGACCGCGTGTTATAAGTGTCGTAAGACGAATAGGAGTTGGACGTAGTAGATGACGGATTAGTATAGGGTTCATAGTTCATACGAGTATTCGTGACTTCAGTCCTGCTACTGGACGTAGGATACTGCGAATAGCTATCGTAATTACCAACCGAAGTGGAGGCTGTTACGCCTGTATTGGACTGGTAACTAGAGTTGTCCGTATGGGATTGGGAAGCTTGCAGCTGGCTATGCCGTCCTGGCGCACTGGTTTGCTGCTGTACCGGTGTATGGTTCTGGCTTCGGTTGCCCTGCCGAGACGAAGTACGAACGGTCTGAGCTGCTGCTTGATAGGGCGAGGTGCGCGCCTGTTGTTGACTTGTCTTTTGGACAGGAATAGTAGGTTGAGGGACCGATGACCAGCTTGAGGCTTGCCGCAGGTCATCAAACGCTTGTGACACCGGTTGTTGCACAGCATTCTGGGTTCTGTGTTGCGTCGTATTTTGCATCGACGTCTGAGGCGCGGCTGGTGCTGGCTTCCTTGCTCTTGAAGCCCTGGGAGAGGGCTTGCTCTGGTAGGCGGCCGGGATAGTAGGTACCGGCACAGGAGTCCAGCTTTCCGTTGGAGCATGGGTGGTGTGACCGTTCATGGCACCGCTTTGCAACGATGGCCCTGAAGGCAGACTCCGTCTTGTCCTACCGCCCGCCTGTGTTGAGCTGGACTGCTGAGCGTAGTTAGATGTGTGCTGGACAGGGGGAGGTTGCTCAACAACAGGTACAGGCTCAGGTATGGGTTCTGGCTCGGGTACCGGTGCCGGCGCCGGCTCGGGCTCAGACTGAGGTTGGGTGTATGAGAAGTTGTGCAAAGAGTTGTCAGTAACCGAGGAATGCATATAGTCCATTGCTGCAGGTGTGACGCCGGTATGGGCCACTTCAGGAGTAGCCGAAGCGTCCACCGACGAGTTGAACTGCTGGTAGAGGTCGGAAGGCTGATGATATGTTGTTGATGATTCCGGTTGAGGTGAGACCAACCCAGACGTTGGTAGTCCGTGTGGCATATTATTATCGATTGAATCATGACTGTCTTGTTCTTGGTTAAAGGGTTCATGGCTAGCAGGTTCATGGTGAGCCGGCTCATTATGAAAACCCGGCGACCCTAAGCCTTCCGGCTCTTCATCGGCTTCGACAACTACAGGCTCGGACTGGGCCTCTGGTTCTGCCTCTGACTCTGGAGAAATGTCTTTCACTTTCCTCTCGAGAGCATAATGGCATTGCAACCCCGATGTCGTGCATTGCGAGCAAGATGGTTTCTCCTTTGTGCACTGTACGCTGGTCAGATGCAAATCAAGCATAAGGGGATGTAAGCCAAACGAACCGGTATTTTACGATCGCGACAAGGATCGCATTTGCCTCTTGTCAATTTCTCCTTGTTCTTCTTTTTCTTCTTCTTACCACCCGACGCGGCAACGCCCTCCTCACTGTCCACTACTCCGGACTTCTTCTTCTTAGACTTCTTCTTTGAGGGATTGATCGGCGCTGTTGATGGTGCTGTGGCCGCCTGCGTAGCAGGAGCAGCTTGTGCACCATCTCCCTGTTCCTTATCGGGGTGTACGATGCGGAGTCGCTCGGCACCGTACTTCTTGAGCATATCCAAGGACTCCTGTTGAAGTTCAGGGGCTTGGTTGGCAAAGATGTTGAACTGTTCGGGGGAAAGAGTCTTGGGGTCAATGCCGCCTGATTCGAGTAGGTCGATGGCCACCGTGCGACGCCTAGCTGCCTCGGCAGGAGGAATGTTGAGAATGGAATGAACATGAACGCCCTCATCGGCCGCAGCTGGGGCTTGACCGACGAGTCCTTCTGGATAAGTGCTGTAGCCGTTTTGGGCATCGCCGCCTGCATGGCTGTTATAAAGAGGTCGTTCAGATGACTCTCCGACTGGTAGCGCACCTCGCATCTCTGGCGGAAGAATCCTCCCGTCTGGACCAACAGCAGCCGCGTCCTTCTTCTTGCGGCGCTTCTTGGGTTGAGTACCGTCTCCTGCGCCACCTTCGCCTGCGGGCCGCTTCTTCCGGGGTGGTTTTGGCGCATTGGGATCCTTGGGTGGCTTTGGCTGTTTGGGGGGCTTTGGGGGCCTTGGGGGCTTTGGTTCCTTTGGCTTCTTTGGTTCCCTTCGTTGCAACGCATGCTTGGGTTCGCGAGGAGCCGGCGGAGGCACTAGAAGTTCGATAAGCTGTCCTACTGTTTTGTGAAGAGGCGTGTGATCGTATTTGACTTCGATGACTTTTCTGCCCTTCAAAAACGCAACCGTTACTGATCCTCTGCAGTCAAACGCAGGGCGGCCTTGATGTCCTGTTAGCCCAGAGTCCGATTATACTGATGAACAATAACCAAGACTTACTCAAATTAACAGCATCCATACTATCCGGCTTCTGGCTCCATTCGCCGATGACGGCTCGGGCAGGATTCTTAGCATTCTGACGACTCCAAGCTTGCCATGAATCCTTGCAGACGTATCCAAATGTCCAGCCCTGTTCGCCGCGCGAGACCTGGCGCACCGCCCAGCTACTGCCATCGATTTCACCCAACGTCGTGATGATATGCTTCGCAACCGATTTCTGCAAGACGTGGTCGTCGGAGGGCTGGTTGATCAGCGCATCAATCGCGTTGATCTGCCGCGTTGGTTGGTTTCCGTTGACATTGCCGTTGGCGCCTCCTTCTCCTGATACAGGCGCTACGCTGGATTGCGCGCCCCCCAACGACGGATCGATCGAGGCGGCTTGCTCAAGTTGCTCGTTCTCAGGCTCGGTGACTGGAATATGAAACACGCTGGTCGAGCGCAGCTCCAATGTGACTGAGACGTGTTCGGCTCTCTTTTCCGTGACCTTGGTACTGAAGACGCTGCGCAGTTGCTCCCTAAGCTCGAGGATGGAGCCGCACGAAGGGTTGGAGTTGGAAGCGCCTAGCAACGCCTCCATCGTGCTTGATTCTCAATCACCGTGGTGAGATCCTGTTTCGTGTTTGGACGGTTGAGCCAGACCAGATCGAAATGAAGCCAAAAGTCGCTAAGTAGTCTCTGTAATTATCGGCGACAAGAGGCACAGCAGTCGGACAGCCGTCGCGGGGAAGGGTGGTCGGAATGAAAAATTGAGGTGGTTGTCGTGATGATGCCCGCCCGCTATGCGCGTCGTTCTTTCAGAAACGCGGGCAGCTCGAAAATGGTGGAGTCGCGGCGGTTGAGGTTCGCTTCGTTCTGGGTGGACGTGTGGGTACCTACCGCTGTAAGAATTGCGACTGGGAATGCCTGTGTAACACGAGCAGCGGCCCGCTGTGGACCGTACTTCAGGGCCTCACCCCACTGTATTTAAAGATTGAAGCCGCATCAGGATCAGGGTTCCACTTTTTCTCATCAAAGTAGATCCCCTCCCGCTATCTACCTCGACGCAGTAAGTAAGCCCAGTTGCGGTCTTGTAGAGGAGGTACCTAGATCTGGGAATCACCTGCAGATAGGACGTGCCAGCGGGGTCGGTAAGCTCAGGAAACTATTCAGAACACTAAGGTATACGCTAGATGAATTGACTTTGAATTGTATAAAGCGGTTCCTTTGCCAAGCGTTGCGTATGAGATAAGCTCCGGGTACACTTCTTTCATCCTTTCTGACAATGACACTATTGGACTGAAACGTCGGCTTGTGATCTACTATGAACTTGACTTATCTATCCGGCACATCCAGTACAAGATCGGCGACATGGCCTGTTTATTTCCAGCAACTATCGTCACTGTCCTGTGAGAACGCCTAGCTTACACTCAAACCCAACATGGCAAGACTCCAACAACACCGCATGCTAACAAGCAAACCTCACAATCACAAGTTCTCCTCAACCCATTGTTCAAGTCTCTCAACTAGCTCAGCCTTCCTACCGACCGTGCTTATGCCCTTGCTTGCCATAATGTCCTTCAGCTCAGCTACCGTCATCTTGCCAAGCGTGCCCTGTTCAAATGCTTTCTTCAGGTCTGCGTTGCTGTTGGCCGGTCCGCCACCACCACTGGCAGCCTTTTTGGTTGGTTTCGCGCGCTTTGCCGGCCTTTCGTCATCTCCCTCGAACTCACGCTTGAACGCTCTGGTATTCTGAAGATCATTGGCTTTCTTTGCAAGCATTTCCTTCCATTCAGCAAGGTAACCGCCGACCCTTTTGTCAATTTGCCTGTACTTGGGCAACGTGAGATCGTCAATAGCATCGGGGGTTTCTTCGTCGAGTGCCTTGGCCTGTAAAATCTTGTAGTGCCATTGCAGTGAGGGATTGGGATACCTGCGCGGGTCATACATAGCCTTGGGAAGTTGCAAGTTCTGGATGACTTGCCTCATCTGGTCTGTAAGTTCGTCTGCGGGCCTTGGAGGCGCTGTTACGTGGTCCACGCTTCGAACATCATCTGCGAACGGAAGTGGATAGAGCCAAAGCCCTGCAGGTAGGTACGGCGTGTTTGCCTCGTCGTCGTCCGGGTTTCCGGAAGGATATATGGCTACCATGACGGGATGGGCATTCTCCCTTGCGACGAACCAGGCGATACCCACCTTGTCATCTTTGAGTAGCTTCTGCCACAAAGCAGAGAACACGCGAGTGGAGCCGACATATTGCTCCTCGCTGGGAAATATGAATATGGACTTTTTGACCGAAGCCCAGGACGGGATCTTGGACCGCTTTTTGAATCCAATGATTCGAAGTGTTTTCTTGCCCATCTGTTTGAGTTCCGCCAGCTCTTCGGGTTTGAAGCATATATGCTCGCCGCCAAATTTGTAGCCTTTCCTCAGTTCCGACTTCTCGACGGTTCGGGCAGCAAAATCAACCTGCGCGGTCTCCGATTGGACAACCTGAGCCTGCTCCTCTCCTTCGTATACGTAGCATGAGCGGGTGGGGGTTTGTCTGGTGAGTGGCATGTACCCTTTGATAGAGATAGTGAGCCCTGGGGCAAGCTCAAAGGGCAAGTTTGAGAAATATGACCGCTTTGGGATCTGCTTCGAGTTGATGTTGGAGATCAAGGAGTTGAGCAACGTCAAACCGTCGCCAGACTTGGAAGTCTTGGGACCTTCGGACTGTCCAGCTTCAGCTGCCGGATCGCGATAGATAATATCCTATTCATCATCAGCGTAGAGTTCAGTAACTTGACATGCACGCTTCCTTACGTCGTAGAACTTGGACAGGTCGAACTTCTTGTCCTCCCGACTGATGGGGAACAGTTCGATAACAACGCCGAGGTCGTAAAGATCCTTGGCTCGAACAGCGGCAGATGATTTTGCCTGCTTATCACCGGCATGGGGATCATCGTTATCGGTGACAATAAACAGACGTCGGGACCCAAAGTTGGCTGCGTTTGTGGTGAAGACCTGGTTGGCGCAGAAGAGCATGTTGGACATGATGACGGGTTCTTTGGATGGAACCATGATTTCGTCTTCATCCTCGCCATCCTCAACCAAGGCCTTGAGCTTCTTGACATCTTCGGCGCCGGGTATATCGAGATCGGATAGCAGATAGCAGTGAGGATATCCTGTGCCACTGCCCGAATCATCGCGGAATTTGGACTTTTCGGTTCCAAAAAGCAAGACACCCATCATATCTCTGGGCTGGGCGATAATTCGCTGCTGCATGATTTGGTAGGCGCAGGTTAGGGCTGCTGTCAGGGCAGAGTCCTTGTCGGCTTTCTTATCCCCTGTAGTCTGCGGTGGTTTCAACATCGATTTGCTCACATCGATGGCAAATAGTACTGCATCCTTTTGGGTTTTGTAGTCCTGACCTCGTTGTCAGCAAGCTTGTTGATAACCGTGAGTAGATTGGTGATTGCTAACATTTTCATCCAACTCCTCATCGCCTTCGTCGCCGTCTAGTCTCTCATCCTCATCCTTCCTCCAAGACATTTTGAGATGACTTTAAGCCCTGATTCGGGTTGCTTCTGGTTACACGAAAGGAGGGGTGAGAAGTTGCAGTCGGATGGTTTGCGATGAGTAAACGCTGAGATTGGGATTTCCAAGTTGTCAAGGTGATGATGACTTCATGTAGGAAACGCGATGGGGACGCGACGACGACTGCCTAAACGCCAATGCATGTGACCTGGGAGCACTAGGACTGTCGAGTGGTGTGATGTGATTGGCTACTAGATGAAGCTCAGTCTCCAACCGACAAAAGCCAGTTGCACTTTCAGGCACCTATGTGGCCTGTGCTTCCCTTCTTCTGTCTGCTGGCCCTGAAAATCGCCAGACGGCAATCAAGAAATGGTCAGCAATTGGAGACTGGAGAGGTATCCGATACAGCTACCCCTGCAGCAGTCCCGGCATCACTCCACAGGATCGCAGCTTAGGTCGCAGGCTGTTCGGCCGAGTTTCACACGTCTGAAAGGAGCCACCGTCCCGTCCCGCCCACGCAGCGTCACTCTCTGTCCCTGATTGATATAAACCACTATATTCTTCACTCTTTGGCCACCAAGTTTTTACATGTTTTTCCTGGAAAACCGAGTTTGATCTGAGCTGTGTCCAAAACCCCCTTCTTTCGGTTTTCTCATCATGGCCTCCATGACACTTAGACTGCCCACGGCCCAGCTGTGCAAGGCCGCGAGGTCTTCGAGCTTCCGGCCGTCGCTCAGATGCGCTCAGCAGCAGATGAGGTGGCTCGCCACGCCGACAACTCACCCCGTCACCCAGAAGAATGTCGGCACAGCAATGGTCTTCCTCAACATGGGCGGCCCATCTACCTTGGATGAAGTTGGAGACTTTTTGAGCAGACTCTTTGTATGTTCATGAATCACGATGATGGCGATACTTGTGCGCAGCTCGCCATTTTCATATTGGGGCTGTTTGTGTTGACCAACCCGTGCAGGCTGATGCCGATCTCATTCCCCTGGGTCGGCTACAAAACTACTTGGGGCCTTTGATCTCGAAGCGCCGAACTCCCAAGATTCAGAAGCAGTATGGTGCGATTGGCGGCGGTTCCCCAATTCGCAAGTGGTCCGAGTACCAGTGCGAGGAAATGTGTAAGATTCTGGACCAAATCTCGCCCGAGACGGCGCCTCACAAGCCCTATGTCGCTTTCCGCTATGCCAACCCTCTCACCGAGGAGATGTACAAGAAGCTTCTGGCCGATGGCTTCGGAAATGGCAGGGGCGGCCGGGCCGTCGCTTTCACTCAGTATCCCCAGTACTCCTGCTCGACCACGGGCAGCAGTTTGAACGAGCTATGGAAGTGGAGGCAAAGACTCGAGGGCAAGGCTGGGCCATCAGAGGATGGTAAGGACGGTACCATTCGGTGGAGTGTGATTGACAGGTGGCCTACTCACCCCGGCCTTGTCGAGGCCTTTGCGAGGAATATCGAGGAGAAGCTGGCCGAGTACCCCGAGGAGCGCAGGAAAGATGTTGTGTTGCTGTTCTCGGCTCACAGCTTGCCCATGTCTGTTGTCAACAGAGGTATGTCGATCTCCTCTCTAGTGACCTTGCAATGGGATATACTAATAACGCCTACCTTAGGTGACCCTTATCCCCAGGAGATTGGCGCAACCGTCCAGGCGGTTATGCAGCGTCTCAACTTCTCCAACCCTTACAGGCTATGCTACCAGTCACAAGTCGGGCCCCAGCCGTGGCTCGGTCCCCAGACGCAAACCTCTGTGGAGGAGTACATCCACAAGGGCCAGAAGGACCTCGTGTTGATCCCAATCGCCTTTACGTCTGATCACATTGAAACCCTTTACGAGCTTGACCAGGAGGTCATTGGCGAGTCTGGACATCCCGACACGGTCAAGCGCGTGGAGAGTCTGAACGGTAACCCCGTCTTCATCAAGGCCCTGGCCGATCTCGCCAAGGAGCATCTTGATAGCGGACTTGCTTGCTCGCACCAGAACAGCCTGAGATGCCCCGGCTGCAAGAGCGAGAGGTGTGCGGCGTCCAAGAAGTTCTTTGCTGGCCAAGAGATCCTCCCTGGTCACTGAAACAAATGATTGGGGGAGCCTATAATAACGTGTACAATACTTCAAACAAATCCTATAATACGGGCGGGTCTCAAAAAGGGATGGACTGCGTGTATGCATGCGTTTTGGTTCCAAAAGAACTGGCTTTTTCCATAACCGAAGGCATACATAAAAGTGAAGATTCTACTCAAGTTGGAACAGTGGTCGGCAGAGCAAAGGTTGGCATGGCGACAGCGAACTACAAACGAGGTGGTCGAGCATTGTTCGGTATCCATCTAGAGATCAAATGTGCCTTGGTGAGGTGCTATGTGACGGTGGTGTGGTGGCTTATCAATCAGAGCCGAGGCAAGTTATTTCGTCGTGGGGGAGAGATGCAAAGCATGGATAGGGATCCCTGGCAACGTCTTGATGGCTGCGTCATCGACTACTGTTTATAGTGTACTGGCCGCCCGCGGAGTCTCGATAGTAGTGGACAAGCCATCACTCCATAGATGAGTTGAAGCGTGGCCCATTGGGTTGCCTTGGGCTCGCATTCCGTCCATCTACCATGGGAATGTGGGGGGCAAGATGCAAACTGTAGTGTATTTGCATCGGTTTTGCGACTCGACTAATGGGGTACAACGATTTGGCAAATGTCAACGAGGGGAAAACAAAAATGTCTGAAAGCGGACGCAGATCCAGGGTGAGACAGCAGCAACCAAAGGAACATATCTCTGCGTGGAGGGTTCGGAATTCGGAACCCTAGGTGCCCGGCCGACCGACCGATTGTAGACGGGATCGGGCAAATTACGTCGACTAGGCAGGTACTTATGCAGCTCCTTCCAAGACATCCAACCACAGGGTTTAGTACAGGGTTTATCTGCAGCATGGGGGTAGATATTGGTATACAATAAAGTACTGCCGTGTATCCTATGTAACGCCTAGCAGTTCAGGACTGTTGAAAATCGATATCGGAACAAACAAGCGTTCGTTTCCCCCAGATTCTATGGGCTTTTCTCTGGACCTTTTTTTTTCGGCGTTTTGAAATGTCTAGTCGCTGGCCACATGGAACTGAAACCTGGAAGCGAGGTTTCTTCTTCACCCTACCTTTTGCTTCCCTGAGTGGCTTAGGTTTTCAGTTCACATTTCCCATCATCTCCGTCCCAGGGGCATCCCGCTCCCCCTTCATCCACAGCTTTCCCCCTCCCCTCCTTCCATCCCTCCCCCCCGTTATCGTTCTTCCCGGGTAAGCGGTTGCTGCACTCTGACGAAACATCGATATCAGACGAGGCGTGTACTGGCTTTGTTCAAGAACCACAAAATCTCATCCAAGCTTTGCTCGCATTATATCTGGGCTCCGATATTCTGATAGGATACAGCATACTTCATTGATCTGCCAGTTGGAATCAATCAATCAATCCATCACCAATAGACCCGTTGCAGCAGCATCTGGTACAGGACATATATCGGGCCGCGCCAGCGAACCATCATCTCTACTCCGGCAGTAGCTTGCGACGAGATAAGAAACCCTACGCGCATGTGCTTTTTTTTCCTTGTTAGTGCGAGCATTGCCAACTAAAAAGTAATTCCGCCCATGGCGCAATAGCGTTTGTTGTCACACACGGTTCTTTCACTCTTAACTCTCCTCTTACTTTTCACTCTCACTTTCAATCCTCTCTTTGCTGAATACACAGCTTGGGCTTGCAGACTGATCTTGAGTATCACGCTCGAGACGGATACTGTGCTCGAGCACGCAACAACACCGGGCGTTGAAAGGCAACGCTGGTGGGACCCGAGGCGGCAACACATCAACGCCTGGACTGGGCCCAATATGGCTACACACAGCGGCTTTCCGGATGCGGATCCCGCATCAACTCTGAGTCGGGGCACTGCGATGGATTCCCAAGGCATGGACTCAGATACAACGACACGTCTTCGCGATACCCTCAAGACAAACGGGCTCACGGACAATGACACCGAGGCGACGGGCCTGTTGGGTCCTGACGGCGGCCATGATGCTCGCAAGGACAGCTGGGCCGCAATGAAGGACTTTGAAGGGCTACCATGGTGGAGAAAACCAGCTGTATGTTCCAAGCTTTTGACTATTGCTTTGATGAGTTGCTAATCAACGGCACAGGTCTGGTGGCTGGTGGCACCTTATGCCATGTTCACCTTGGCCTTTGGAGGCTCTTTGGTCCCCAAGATTAATCTGTAGGATTCCCTCGCCCTTGAACCATGTCGCCCGCCTCACAGCCCGTGGGTATGGGCTGATTCTCGTTTCTCAAACTAATGAAATCCAGAATCATCACTCTCATATGTGACCGGTACTTTGCCGATAGATCAGCAGCAGATCCGAGCTTCGTCTTCACACCTGTTATCCACGGCGGCAACAACCCCCAATGCAACATCCCCGACGTACAGCGCCTAGTCGCAAGCTTCACCTTGTGCATGAGCGTTTTGGTGGGCATAATTAGCGCTTTCACTGCACCCAAGCTCGGAGCACTCTCGGATCGATATGGTCGCACATCGATGGTGGCCATCTGTTCCGTCGGTGGTGTCATTTCCGAGATTACGGTCATCTTGGCTGGGAAGTACCCAGATACCGTTCACTACAGCTGGATTTTGCTTGGCGCCTTCTTCGACGGCCTGGCCGGTTCCTTCACTGCCGGCAGCGTCCTCATCCACTCGTATGCCAGCGATTGTACGCCCCCATCCAAGAGAGGCGTTGCCATTGGTTACCTCCACGCGTGCCTGTTCACTGGCCTCGCCTTCGGTCCTCTCCTAGCCGGCTATTTCGTCAAGTGGACAGGATCCCTTTTGTCCATCTTTTACGTTACCCTTGGTTGCCACATCGTCTTCATCCTGTTCATCTACTTTGTCACCCCCGAATCGCTCTCCCGGAGGCGGCAGCTCCTCGCACGCGAGAAATACGCCAGGGAGCAGGAGGCTCTCGGGGAAGTTCCCCGTTGGGCAGCCGCGGTGTCCAAGTTCATCCCATTTGGCAAGCACTTCGGACATGGCGTGCGCTCTGTGCACAGGGCGAATCCTTTTGCTCCGTTGAAGATCCTGTTCCCATCGGGTCCTCAACATAAGCGTCTACGTCGCAATCTTATCACGCTGGCACTCATCGACATGTCCATCCTTGGAGCTGCCATGAGCTCCGGCACGATCTTGATCCTGTACACAGAATTTGTGTTTGGTTGGGGAAATCTCGAGGCTTCGCGGTTCATGTCCCTGGTCTCAATGGTCCGGATCTTCGTTCTCATTGGCATTTTCCCCGTCATCAATTACATTTTTCGCACTCGGCCTGCAGCTCGACGAAGGAGGGAGTCTGGCAACTTGCCGGTTGACGAGAAGAATGTCGGCGCCGACGAACTGGACGTCTGGGTCCTGCGCAGTGCCCTGATCTCCGATGTTATCGGCATTGGCGGGTACATTTTTGCTCGTACCCAGGAGTGGTTCATCCTGTCAGCCGTCATCGCAGCCTTTGGGGGGCTCGGATCGGCATCGATTCAGGCTTCTATAAGCAAACATGTTCCTACTGAGCGGGTGGGACAGTTGCTGGGAGCTGTTGGGCTGCTTCATGCCCTGGCACGTGTCTTCTTCCCCATCATCTTCAATGGGCTGTATGCAGCGACCGTGTCGACGTATCCGCAGGCGTTTTTTGTGTTACTGTGTTCTATCTTTGCGGTAGCGCTGGTAGCGTCTTTTACTGTTAGACCTCATGGTATGTTCAGTCCCCTTTGAAGAGCCCTCACCAGCCGTGGCTTTGATTTGCTTTGGCACCCGCTGACAGTTTGTTGTAGTATTCATAGCAGAGGATGATGAGCCGAGACCTTCGTCAGCTGGTTCAGGATCGACACGAATTAGGCAGAGACAGGATCTATTGGAGGATGAGGAGGTTATACCTGGCTTGTAAGATCTAGTATGCCATGCTTATTTGTAGCTCTTTCGCAATCTCCCCTTGTCATTTTAGTTGTATGTATGTGTGGAACGATTTCTCTACACCAGGTGGTTTTTTTTTGTTGCTTATATCGCTTGGATGCTGTGCCTAGAAAGGTGAGTCTTCTGTTAAGACGGGAAACACCACTTGAAGGATTGTACTATGTAAACTTGTCTCATTTATCAATGATCCGATACATGTGTGTATAAAGTTGGCGATAGTGTTGACCTCGAAGGCCAGTGCATTAGTAGTCGTTGGGGTTGGCCAGCTTGAATTGGGATTCGTCTCTCATAAAATTAGGTTGTCGTTTTTGATCGATACAGATACCATTCTCGACAATAAAGGAGTGTATGCGAATACCTCTCGAATATCTGAGGACCGAGCAAGTGAATTGGCGAACATTGTGGAAATCGCGATGGACCGTTCAGTCCTTGTTTTTTAATGGATTGGTCGCTTAAGCTGCCCTGTCGTTGTAACGTCACTGCTGCAAAGAATCCATGCGCCGCAGTCTCCACCGATATTACGGGCTGTCAAGACACCGCTGTCAGCGACACTTATACCGAGCTGTATTCGTGTCTCACCTCACCGCAACACCAGGTCGTACGTCGTCGTCCAACACCCGACTGTCGTGAAACCCAAGCTTTGACAACATTCCCCAACTACCGGAACGTCTGACATCATCTTCATGACCAAATCTCAGATCGCCTGGAAGTCATATCCACAGGGCTGCGCATGGGGCACATTTTCAAAAAGACAGAGGGTGACCTAAGTTTGATCAGAAGTGGAAAGACGAACATTGTCCTCAGAAGACAACATAGACAACTTATCAGCCTTTCCGCTGCCCGGCGCATCCCCAAGCACAACAAAACTCTACCACGATCCACGCCGACGACACTCACCGGCCGTTCATCGATACTTCCCACCACCCTCTTTGGTTCAACCTTCCCTCCTACCTTCAAGGTCGCACCGCCAGCAGCAACTGGAAAGATGACAATGAGCACCTCTTCCGACCCTTCGGAAGGGAGCATTCGCCCAGAATCAACACAACCATCCCACTGCAGCGACAATGAAATCCACTTCGGTCCCTTCAAAGTAACCAACCAAGTCTTTCTCCGGACCCCTCACTCCTTCGCCCTGGTGAACCTCAAACCTCTTCTCCCCGGCCACGTCCTCGTCTGCCCTTTGGTCCCGCACAAGCGATTAACCGACCTCTCCCCCACCGAAGTCACCGATTTGTTTTCTACCGTGCAAGTGGTGCAGAGGATGTTGGGACGGTATTACTTCCACCCTGGTACCACCACCCACCCAAAACAGAGGGAGAAGGAGGAGAAGGAGGATGAGGGTGGAGTCCAAGATAAAGTGATGCTGGAAACAGGCGGCTCCTTCAACATCGCCGTACAAGACGGTCCCGAAGCCGGCCAAACCGTATCCCACGTACACGTGCACGTCATCCCGCGGATTCGCAACGTAAGCGCCAAGGACACCGAGACGCCGTCGGATGCGCTGTATGAGTGGATGGCGGAGGAGAAGGGGAATATTGGGGGGGCGTTGTGGGATAGGGATCATGGGCACGGTAACGGTAACGGTAACGGTAATGGTGGTGGGCCTCATCATCATCATCATCATCTTCAGCACAGCAGTACTTTTGGGCAGCAACGAGAGCGTGCTCTTGGAGGGCAACAATTGAACGGGAGAGGGGGTGAAATCCAGAGCAAAGAGGTGGAGGCGCTTTTACAGGAGGAGGAGGAGGGAGTGGCGGAACTGCAGGCGAGACCAAAGCCGGGAGGAAGTTTCCCTAGTATCGAGGATGCGGCGAGGACGGCGAGGGAGATGGAGGAGATGGAGAGAGAGGCCGGAGAGTATAGAAGGGTATTGGAGGAGATGGGAATATTGAGTGTATAGCAGGGGTGTACACAAAAGAATTGGAGAGGTGTGGTTGAGGGTCGTTGGGTTGGTAGACTAGATATGGAACACAGTACCTACCTATATAGTTATTGGAAATGGATGTGTTTTCAACTAAAAAAAACAAATGCCTAGAGTGACCCCAGCGTAGATCAGACATGTTTGGCATGCCTCGATCCCTCGCGCCTTCCATTTCAACGCTTCGACTGGCTCAAAAGGCCATACCTACATATCACGTAATCTAATCTCTATAAGGTATACATATTGGTGCCCACATCATAACTTCTGTGATGGCTATAGAGAGCTGTCATCGCAACTATAAAAGCACTTGGGCAACTGAAATACTAAAATAGCCTCGGTAAGTTACTTATTCTCTTCTTATGATCGCTGTTTTGTCATGTGTGGTCTTTAAGCAACAGGAAAGTAAAAGATTCTGATGGGTTTGGGGGAATTTGGTCAATTTTAAATTGCCATACTTCGATGGACAGGAGTTGAATCAAACTTCATTTCAAAGTTTTCTGCCGTCGAGCTAAGTATATATGCAAGCTGTGAATCACCATGGCACCTAAAAAAGCTTCTTTCTGAAGTTGTTTCGAAGAAATTCGTGTATACAACGACACTATCGCATTTATTCTCTCAACCATGGGTATATATATGTATGTCCGAATTCCACCTCTACCCATCCATTCCCTTTTCCAAATTCCGTGTCCTTCGATTCAAGTCACATGAGAAAACCCCAAACTCAATCTAGACCTGGGAGATGTCCCAAGCCGTCCAAACTGCCCAAACCCTCCAGACCTACCAAATCATCCAACAGCCCAGATCCTCCTATTGGATCGAACGCTCCTCCTCCATCTCCTGCCGTCGTCATCCCCATGCCCGTCGATTCTATACCATCCCCCCCTCTCTCTTCCCCATGATGATACGCGAACATATTAGCCTCTTGCTGCTGTTGCTGTTGCCGTTGTTGTCCTGTACTACCGCCGCCGCCGCCGCCGGTAATATTCCCTCGAGGAGCTAGCCTCGCCATGCTATCACCAGCACCACCGGCAGGTCTACCCCCATCCCCAATACCACCAGTACTTGTAGCTGTTCCTGCTCCACCGCCCTCCAGATCCCACCCCTGAAAGCCTTGTTGCCAGGTAACGCCATCCTTCAGGTACCAATCCTGTCCATCAATGGCGTAGATCGAGCTGGGACTTACGTGTCGGCCAACGCTCTTGCTGCTGTTGTGGTTGGAAGCTGTCGACCTCGTTGCAGTCGCCAAGTTATTCGCGTGTAACTGGGCTGGAGTAAAGGTCTGCGTGGCAGTCGCTGGAGGCTTCACGGTGTTTGTGCCGATTGATCCAACTGTGGGATATCGTTGTCGCTGTGGTTGCTGTTGCTGTTGTGGTTGCTTTTGATGATGCGGATGTTGGGATACGATGTTATTGTTATTGTTGTTGCCGGGTGAAGAGGTTGGTATACCCCATGCCGTAATGGTGGCGAGAGTGTCGCTCATGGACATGGATGAGGCGCTCACTGGGTGGGTGAGCAGATTATGTTGTTGCTGCTGGTAGGTCATGTGATTATGATATGGCGGTTGAGGTTGATGTTGGTTTTGTAGGTGGTGGTGGTGGTGTTGGTGAAGCATATTGTTTTGGCTTAAGCTAGATATAGCCTGCATGTTCTGCTGTTGCTGAGGGATGATGGGAGCGGACGGGCCAGGCAGGTCGGAGAAGGTGACCATATTAGGCGACATTCCGGGATCGGATATACTCTCAGGAGCAAGATGCGGAGGAGTTGGGTGGCTATATAGTGTCATTGGACTGTACGGCTGTTGTTCTAGTCCTGCGGCGGCTGTTGTAGAAAAAAGCAGAGACGCTTCTGGGGAGTAAGGAGGTGCAGGCGAGGATGGAGCGAGAGAGGGGGCCGTCCTGTTGGGTGAGGGGACCTCGGAAGTGCTAAACATTCCGTACTTTTCGTCTGTCCTTTTCAAGACGATGGCGGCCTCCTCGGGTAGTTCGACATTCCACTTCCGAGCTAGAACGCTGATGATACCTAATGTTCTCCGCGCACAAGGCCAGTCTTCAGCCATCTCCTCCAACTGTCTAACGCCGTGGGTTATATCCCGTCTGGCAGTTTTCTCGGGCAAGTTAAGCATGTGTATTGTGCAGGCAGAATGCAACATGTATACGGCAATGTTACATATTTGCCGGAGGTTATATAGCTTTTTGTAAAGTCGCATAAGTTTGGATATGCTATTGGCGTTAGTTGTGCATATCCTTCGGGGCTGGACCTTCTCCAGGGGCGAAGCTTCCTTTGTGTACTTTAGAAAGGGTCGGAATAGATGGATATACTGTAGATGATAAAACATGCTGTGAAACGGTGAGCAACTCCGCCCAGTCTTGGGTAAGTAGAGAGTGAGAAAACGTACTGCATTAGAATGACATTGGGTAACTGGCCATCCTTGGGTTCGAATTCCTTTGGTAGCTCCGTTCTCCAGTCTTCCAGACGCCGATGAAGTTCGCTAAGCTTTTTGAGCTCAGCTGACTTGCCGCTCGATCTTCCAATATGACTGGGGTGGTAGAAGAATAGCAAAAGATCACTACTGATCTCGCAGAGTTTCGACAACTGTAAGCCTATAGCCCGTGTCCGAGATGGCTGCTTGCAAGACTGGTCGAAGCCTGCGTCGGTATAAGGAGACCACGGCTCAGCATCTTCATCTGGAAACACATCATACTTCGGAACGTTATAGGTGTTTTTGGGAAGCTGTGGTAGCCGCCCGAGATAGTTTGACCAGCACTTGTCAAACACAAAGCAACCCCAAAAGGTGATTCTCCGGGCATCCACCTCCTTTTCGTCCAGCGATCCAATGTCTAGATTCAGGCCAATGTCTTGAGCCATTCTGAAGCTCATGCCGCTGTACACCCAGCCTTTCGCTTCCCGTCCACAGCCTGCTTCTCGCACTGACATAAGCGCCAGAGCTTGCACGGTTGTGAGCCTTGGCTTTTCGTACTCGTCGTTCTGAACAATTAGTCTCTTGGCCTCGGCGAAGAAGTGATCACCCTTGGTCCTGCTGTCCCCAGGTACCGCAAAGGCACCGTCGACACTTGTGAAGTGACAGCCCAGCGCGAGCATGGCATTGACCAGCAGCGACGAACAGTAAACAGTGGAGCGTGGTTGGCCAGCCGGCTTTCCCTTGATGAAATCCCGATAAAACAAGCTTCTAGACAGCGTGGTGAAGTAAGGGTAGTGCCAGTTGAAATACATGTTGACGAGATGGATGATTAGTTGAGGATTCTTGGTCACCTCTGTCCAGGTGGTGATTGGATCCTCATCGCAGGTCGACAGGCGGGTTTCAAGCTCCGGTTCTTCAGAGGCATCTGTCGGTTCACTGAGATATATGAGGTGCGAGGTACCGCCAATAAAACGAACAGAACCATTTTCGATTCGGAGCTCTCCCATCTTACGGGCCAAGTCCCTCTCACCCTCAACGGCCTGGCTCGTAGCGTCATCTCTACCAGCTTGGATGGGTTCATCGCTGTCATCGTTGTCGTTGGTTGCTGTTGCGTTCTTCTCATCCCTGCGGATGGACTCGGCTACTTCGTCAAGGTCGTCACAGGTGCGAATCCTCCTCACAATGTCGAGCACATCTTCCTCGGAAGCATTCAAAATGGCCTCTATTAGAATCTGCAGTGTGGCGTTCTGGGCTTTCATGCTATCGTTCTTCTCCCGGTAGACGCCTTTGCGGCGGTGATCTGAATTTGGGTCATAGATGCACTCGGTACCGTAGACACTGGCACAGGCCGCGCAGCTCGGAAGGGCGCCGTCACACTTGGACTTCCTCCTCCGACAGGCGATGCAGGCCGTGCTCACACATCTTCGCTTTTGGTTGGTAGGGTCAGCGCCCCGCCTAGACTTCTTCTTGGAAGGTAACGAAGAGGCGATGTTGTCGGGGGCGAGTCCGGCTGAGCCTGGCGCATCTTGAGAAGACATCATTTGAACATCCGAACTGTTCATCTGCCGGGGAGTACCTTGGTGAGCTGCCAAGTACAAGCCGTGATAATGGTTCTGGCAAGGACTGCAACTGTGACAGCAAGCAAGCCTCGACACGGAATTGTGACGCTTGATATCGTCTGGCCGATGGGTTCTGTACCAGGGTGCTGGGTTGCGGGGAATTGGCGGGGAGTCCCCGGGGCCTCAGCTCTTAAGGGTCCGGTGGGACTGAAGACCGTGTGCGACTGAAGCAATGGAGGATCTCTTGAACGATTATCAAAGTCGCGGACGACGGGCGTTGTATCCCAACCAACAGTGATAACCTCGGCGAAGCCTCCGTCGAGGTCGGCAACAGAACTCCACGGTCCTCACAGCGTGGGCGTGGGTCGAGACAGCCCAACAGAGGCAAGGGAGATCCGGGGTAGTCCGGGGTAGGGATTTCGGGAAGAGAAAAGTCACAACAGTGATGGCGATGGGGGCGGCCGGGTTGGTCAAGACGGTTCTTGAGTCAGAGTACAAGGCCGGGTGAGAAGAGGACAAGAGGCCGAACAAGCGATTAGAGAACGCCGGCGCAAGCGGGACGTTCAACAAGCAGACGGACGACTCAAAAAAAGCAAAAAAAAAGGCTATTGGATAAGCCCCTGAGATGTTGCGGATCTCCCGTTCTCTTGTTCACCGTTGGACGTGAGGTGAAGTGGTTGATGATCAATAAAATGGGAGCGAAGTCTGAACTAAACCCCCAAATCCCCAACCAAGACTCGGGACGTCGGCTGGTACGTGCTGTTTCCTTGAGGTACCTTACCCAGTTGATGTGCTCGGGATGTAACAGTCGTCGACTTACGCTTCGTAGCAGTACACGAAATAAAGAGACCAGGCTGCTGGGACTCTGTGAAACTGACGTTTCTGGTCTGAGGGCCAAAATGACTTGGACCCCTATCGTGTCGAGTGACAATAATTGTTGGTTTCGTAGGTAGTGCGTGTGCAGCTTTGAACCTCGACCTAGTTGCAAGTTGTAAACGCTCTCAATTGTTTCTACACACGCTATACGCAGTAATAGTGTTAGTAATCATGATCATTGCCCATGGCGAGGTTTTCTCGGCGATATCATTGGTCGAACGGAGGTTCCTTCAAGCATCAGAAGAGGATCTCGAGCACTGTGTCTGTTTCGTGCCTTGATCGAGATACTGCATCGCATCTCATTCGTTGCGTCCAGCCCCCAAACTGCACTAGGTATACACTACTAGAACTCCATCTTACACTACATCATGTGCTCATCCCGTCCTTGCAGCCAACACAACGCCCAGACATCGATACATAGTACCCTAAGACTCAAGTTGGTAAATGGCGACTTGCGGTCTGGAACGATATCATAGGCGTGCTCAGCGTGGAAGGCCCAGCATGAAAGAAATGACTGTTCAGTAAACGAATGGCTGTTTCCCCAAGGCGCCTGAGACGGTCTCCTTGTCTACCCAAACCATTGACTATGGCCGCGTCACCTTGGTATCTACACATAATCCAGTCGGCGATTTTTGAACTATCAGAGACCACAACTTCCAGTCCTTGAGGGAACAACAGCATGAAGGTCTGACATGATAAAATATCTAGTAGTCCATTCACTCAACTTGTCTAGCAAAAGTGATACAATGCTTACTTCTAGAACCATCGCCTTTATACTGCGTATATATTTGCATGCAATAACCACAGCACGCTATCAAGGTCAATATCGGATGTTGTAGTACGAAATCCCTGCCCTTTTAAGTTTAAAACAAACACCACCCATATAACGCCGTCCGAATGTTTTACAGCCTCGAGAATTATTCATCAGGAACAAGTCATCAGTCCGTCCGGCCCAGAACTTGGAGCATACCAATGTCGGCCTTCTATTGCTGCTCGACAGCCTCAGTCTTAGTGTCGACCTTCTTCGCCGCTGGCTCAGCACTCTTGTCTCCGTCATCTTCACGGGCACGCTTGTTGTTGTTACTATACCACACGTTAGTAAATGTTCGAAACCCAGTTGTCGGATGGCTGTAACTTACTCGTTGTTGCGGTCACGGTTATCGCGACCACCACGGCCGCCACGGCCACCGCGGCCACCCCTTCCACGACCACGGCCACCCTTGAAGCCGTTTCTCTGGTCGTTATCACGACGCGACTTCCAGTCACCCTTGTCACCACCGCTGCGGCCGCCACGTCCGCGGCCACGTTCGGCACCCTTGATGCTGCCCTCGAAGAAGATCTTTTTCTTGCTGGTGCCGGGCTCCATCTTGCCCTCCTTAATGAGCTGGGTCTTCTCGTCCAGGTAATCCTTCTTCTTCTTGATGACGAGCTCTTGGTCCTGCCACTTGGGGGCGGGGTTCAGGGCAACAAAGGCGTTGGCTTCGTCTTCCGTCTTAAACTCAACGAAGACCGAGCCCTTGAATTTGTTCTCCTCGTTACGCCTCAGCTTCACCAGGTTGACCTGACCAAACTTGGTGAAGAAAGCCTCGATGTCGAACTGGGTGGATCCGGTCTCTTCGCCGAAACCCTTGACGTAAACACTGGCGGCCAGACGGGCCTTTTGCGCATCAGAGGACGAAGTGTAGGCCTTCTTGCGCTTGACCGTCTCCTGGCCCTCCTCGCCAGACACATCCAAGAAGGCGCTCTCCTTCAACGCAGCGACGACGGCCGAGTAGGGCTGGAACATCTGCATGCGCTTGAAGCTGCAGATGGTCTTGAGCGAAACAGGCTTGTTCTCCACGCCTCCGGTCGTCTCCCACATGAACTTATCGGTAGGGAGGTTGCTGTCACTGAAGTAGAACTCGACCTAAGACTATTTGTTAGACACGGTGACATGCAGCATGCCAATTTTTTTGTAGTCTGAGCGTACCTGGTTGCGGATCTTGACGGGATCGTCAGTGACGGGCTGGGTCGAAGGATCGTATTTCCTGTTGTTCTTGTAATCGGCGCGGTCGATAGACTTGGTAGCCTCAGGCTTCTTCTCCTCCTCCTTGCTGGCATCCTCAGTCTTGGGAGCCTCCTCGCTGGCGGGGGCAGCCTCAGCGACGGGGGCCTGTACAGTCTCGGTTTGGACCTCGGTCTGAGCATTCTCGACGGCAGGCGCAGCCTCAGTGTTGGCGGTGGTATCGCTCATGATGAAGGTCGGAGTGGCCTGTAGGTATTTGAAATGGTCAAGTACAAGCGGCTATAGAGGCAGTTGACCGTCTAACGTGACACGCGTACACGGAAGAGAAGAATGGATGTAGATGGCCGGGAGAGAGATAATGGTGAATGGATGATGAAAATGCAGAAAGTGCACTGGAGGCCGGGGACCAAGCAGGCAAAACGACGAAATTATTTAGTGGGTCCTTCAGGTGCACTCCAGTTTTGGGGCGGTAGGCGCAAAATGTTATTGCAGGGTGCAGTGGGGGAATGGTGTTGGGTTGGTGCAGGGTTGATTGTTGATCGACGCGACAGGAAAGACGGCCATTCACCATCAAATCCCAGGACGTGTTTGAAGTGTAGAGGTAGTGTAAGTCAGGTAGGTAAATCGAGAATTCTTAACTGTAACAGACACTTCAATTCCCTTGTCAAAGATCGAGAATTTTATTCAGTCTTGTCTATCTATTACTGAGCTCTTTCCCTCCATCATCATACAGCAGCGTAACCCATCTGCCCTGACTTTTTCCAGGGTCTGTCGGCATTGGAGTCATATCGAGGACTGCACTTGTCAAAACCTCCCCTCAGCGCAAAAAAAAAAAGCGGCGAAACCAACCAAGCAACCAAATCAGCCCCACCCGGGTCTAAGGGAAGCGCCTTTTGGTTTTAGACTTTTTGTGCCAGTTTCTACCGCCCGACTCTGCTTCTAGCCCCACTCCACTTGCACCCGCAATCCGCCAAGAGGTTGCGGAGCTATACCGCATGCGCTCTAGCTCCCGCATCCTGTGCCTGCCAGTTCCCCACCATCCGGCCTGGAGTTGACGCGCACAGTGGCCCGAGCTTCTCACGTGAATGCGACCAATGGGCGAGCGCGTGCTCCAATTCGGGTCTGAAATAATTTTCGGAGGACGGCGCCCGATAAGAGGTGGAAGGGCCCCGGGAAGCTCCCCTCGTTGGCAGTGCTGCTAGGTGCCCCGGACCGCTCCGGACTCGACAATCTCCAAACAACCTGCGCCGAACCGGTCCGTCCACTTCGCCAAAAGCACGGGGCCTACAGTCCGATCCGATCCCCGAAGCTCCTCCAAACACACACCCAACATGAAGATCCGGAGGTTGTTCAAGTACCACAGTTTGAAGAAAAAGGTATGTGCTATTCGGTGTTTTATGCCGCCGTCGCCGGGTTTGCTGTTGGTTATCGTCGCCGTCGCCGCCGCATCACCCCATTCGCCCCATTACCTACTATCTACCAGTTCCATTGCCACGACACTCAACACCCACCACACTCGATCATGCTGACGTATTTGGTGTGCGCTTCTTCTTCTTCCAAATAGCCCATCAGGCCGACATGGAACAAATATAACCTGTACAACCTGGCTACGGCCGGGAGAGAACCCAGAATCAGCGGCAAGACATTCTTCCAGCAGAAATGGCTCGCCAAGTCCTTGACACGAGCATACCACGGCGAGCACATCAAGGAACGCAAATGGGCGCGCATGTTTAGCCGTCGCCTACCGGCCGTCGTCAACATGGACCCGGCATACATGGCCAAATATAACGGCAGCGAACAAGCCGCCGGCCGCGGTTCCGGCCTCTCAGAGCCCCCAGCCTACGAGAAGACCGCCGACGAGAAACCTGCCAAGCAAGTCATCGCCAACCCGGGCAGGAAGGTTCCCACGCCGTACGAGCAAATGACCTTTGCGCCTCTCGAGAGACGCCTCGATATCGCCATATTCAGAGCCCTCTTTGCCAGCAGTGCGAGACAGGCCCGCCAGATGGTTGTGCACGGTGCCGTCACCGTCAACGGCAAGAAGGCATGTACACCATTATAACGTTCCAATACCGAATCCCATAATATAGTGAACCCATGCCAAAGCTGCTAAATTCGGCGCTAACATTACGCGATCCTTTTGCAGATGAAACACCCCGGCTACCTCCTGAACCCTGGCGATCTCTTCCAAGTCGACGTCGAGCGCGTCCTCTACGCGACCGGTGCGCCCAAGGACAAGAAGCTCCTCGCCGCGGCTATGAAGGCCGCCAAGAAGGAACTTGCGGAGGAAGCACAGGAAGCCGCCGAAGAGAAGGATGCGGAGGCTGAGGAGGCCGAGGAAGGAGAGGCACAAGAAGCAACCTCCAAGTCCGGCAAGACGGAGAAGCAAGTCGACACCTCCAAGTTCGACGAGGCCTGGAACCGCAAGTACGAACTCCTGCAGCTCCAACGTCTGCTGCAGTACGCCAAGCACATCGCCGACTCGCCGTCTCACCAGCTCTCCGCGACGCGCAAGCAAGCCTTGCGCGCTTTGAAGCGCGACATCAAGGCCGCCATCAAGCAAGCGCAGCGGCGCGACGGGTCCGTTTCGCCAACCGGTAACGTGGTGGACGACCTGACGATGCTTCTCGAGCGCCTTGCGGTCTCCCCTTCCAAGGCCATCCAGCAGGAGGAGGCGGCCAAGGAGCTGAGCAAGAAGCTTGACAAGCAGTCGCGCCAGGTGCTCAAGAAGGTGATCGAGTACAACGACGAGCACGAGGACAACGAGATCGACCCAAGCAAGCCGTACATGACCCCCTGGAGGCCGCGCAACTACATGTCCGCCTTCGCGTTCATCCCCCGCTACCTCGAGGTCAACCAGAACATTTGCGCGGCCGTCTACCTCCGCCACCCCGTGGCGCGCCCGGGCGAGTCCGAAGTACCGTCGCCGTTCTCCCCTACTATCAACCAACTCGCGTTCAACTGGTACTTGCGGAGAGGTTAAAGGAGGTCGGTCCAGTTAGGAGCGAGGGAATGAGAAGGGGAGATGGGGGGAAGAACGGAAGCCACTCTCTACCGTCTCAGAGCGGCAGAATTTGGCAATGGACGATGGAAGTCGCCCGCACCCAGTTCTTTGCATGTCGCGGGTACGCTCTATTGTGCTTGTTGCATCTTCAAGGCAACCTCGGATGATGGGATACTCTGCACCTGTTGCGGCTTCAGTTGGACCATGCGTTGGAAATCGGGTTCGGACTCGATGAGAAAGCTGCGAAGTGGGCGGCTAATCTCGCGATTCCCGGAGGAAAGGAGACGGGGATGGATCATGTACGAGATGAGTTGACTTCATACATATTTTGGGCACATTGCGCGCAACAGTTTGTTCGTTCCTCAATACCTGAACAATCTGTTGCGGACTCATTTTGTTTGCCCCCTTCGGCATCGATGTACGCTACATGTATCATTACCACTATTAACTAAATGGATTTAAAGAGGGGTATAGACAGATTTCTTTCTTTTCTGCGTAAGAAAGTAAGGAGACAGATGAGAACCACCGAGACACCTACGGTCTCCTCTCTGAAAGCTCAGTGCTTATATAGTGAAGTTGCCAGTCATAGTTGTCGATCGAGAGGAGCAGTGCGAAGGCAAACACTTATCACGGAGGAAGACGGCAAAATTCGCCTTGAGAGCGCGCGAGAAAAAGGCTAAGAAATAACTATCTAGGAGAGGCTAAGTGTACGTAGTGTGTGTATGTTTTATGTGGTAAGCAAGAACCCCCCCTGGCTGGAGAGCGAAGCACCAGTTGAGAGAATCGACCGGAAATGTTGGGTTGGGTATGACCGACCGTAAACCGTGAAAAGAAAAACCTCCTACAAGAATTCCCCGTGAAATCAAAACATCTGATCGCCGATGAAAGCAGTTAATAAAATACATGTGTTGTTGGGATATCTGGTCGTTCGTTGCTTTTCGTCCAAGTGAGATTTCCCGCCTGTTCCCTTACGCCCCCTTTGCAACTTGCATATGGTGCAACGTCGCGAGCACAATTCAAACCCGACTCCTTCTGATCCCTCTATGAGCTTCTCGGCTGTGAATTGCTCCTCGCTCCCGCCAGCCACAGCATCCTAACCGACTTGTCAGTCATGGTGGCAGCCGGAAACATGATGTTGCCGACAGTCGGTCAAGAAGACAAGGGCAAGCAGAGCCGCGAAAGGGAGTTGAGGGCCGGACTGCTGCTGCGCCGCAAACATCTGATGGGGGACAGCCAACGAATTATCTCTCTTTCGTCTCCCTCATATTTTCGGAACTCAACTCCCTAAAGCAGATAAGAGGATATATCTGTTGGAACCATGCTGCCATTGTGAAGTAAGAGATTCTCGAAAAAGCTCCTCCGGCCCAATTACATCTGCATTAGCTTTTCAAGAACAAAGTCGACCGGATCGCACCCCGTCCCAACGACGGAACACACCGGCTTTTTGGAAATTTGACCGTTTAAGGCAGCCAACAAATTTCTAACAGAAACCCATCCGGTTATGAAGGGATCTGCAAAGAGTCTGTTGACTTGCGAGGGGATCCTCCCGCAGGATTAGGAGGTTATGATTAGAAGATGAACAAATGGAAAACAGAGAATGAAGGAATGAAGCGGCAGGCCGAGGTGTATGCGGGATAACATGACAGTAAGACAGTCGTGAGAGGCGGGTGAAGTTGTGGCCGCAAAATTATCGGAGAGAAAATCCCTTCCTCTTTGTCGGCTCCTTCTCAATTGGCCGCCCACTTTCAATTCGGGACTTCTTCTCCTCGAGCTCCAGTCGTTGGCGCTCCAGCTGCTCCTTCATCTCCCTATGACGAGCATACAGCTCCTCTTCGCTCTGCTTCAGCTTGGATTCCTTTTCAGCAACCTTTTGCTGGAAGACCATCTTCATTTCGGCTTCCATCTTCGCAAGCTTCTGTTCGTGGAGGGCGCGCTCTTCCTCCTGCTTGACGGCTGGGTTCACCTCCTTGAAGACGCTTGGATCTTGAGAGACGCCCATAGCGATCAACTTGTCCGTGCGGTAGTTCTCGTAAAGGACGTTGTTGGTGTGCTCCTTGAGCTCCTCCATGTGAGTACGGATGAGCATCTGGCGGAGCTTCACAAAGTCGCAGTGCTCCTCATTGTCCACCTCGATCACACCCCAAGGGTAACGGCGACCGCGAACCTTACGGCCATCGGCGTTTGTGATCTCGTTGGTCGCACCGACAACAGCGAAGGGGACCTTGGACATGATCTCGTTGTTCTCCGCGATGGTCTCCTCGTCGTCGAGTTCGTAGCGAGGGCCCTCGAAGATTTGCACCTTGTGGTACTTAATATCCGCAAGAATCTATGATAAACGGTTAGTATTGATCGCAGAACAAGTAGGGCTCGAAGACATACTCTAGCCTTGAAAGCAGCAATCTCGTCATCGGTGAGAGTATCCGACTTGGCGATGACGGGAATCAAGTTGACCTTGGTGTGGAGACGCTTCATGACCTCGATATCAAGAGGCTTGAGCGAGTGACCGGTGGGCTGGATGAAGAAAACACAGGCATGGATCCTGTTGTCCACAATGTTCATGCGGTTCACCTTGTTTTCGGCATCCAAGTAAGCATCGAAGCGCTGTTCGATGTTATCCACAATAGGACGCCAAGACTCGTCGTTGTTGACAAAGTCGCCGAAGCCAGGAGTATCAACGACGGTCAAACGGAGGCGAACACCAGCCTCTTCAATGTCCGCGCTGATAGACTGAATAGTGACAGTCTTGGGAACAATGTCGAGGCTAGGTCCCTTGCGCTCCTTGGGAGGGTAAAGCGAAGTGTTAAAGAGAGTGTTAACGAGGGTCGACTTTCCGAGTCCCGATTCACCTGCATGTCTAGAATTAGTAAATCTCCTTCAATGGACACAGAAAGCATCACATACCAACAACCATGACATTGAAGTTGAAGCCCTTGCGGACGCTCTTGCGGTGCCATTGGTTGGGAAGGTTGGCGAAACCAACGTATCCCGTAAGCTTCCTTCGGACAATGTTTCGGTTGTCGCTCAAGGTAGAAGGGAGAGCTGCGGCCACGGTGTCAGAACCAGAAGCATCTTGATGTTGTTTCGTCTGAGATGGCAATGGCTGGGAAATCGATGACTGAGGTACGGGAGCCGCCCTAACAGGAGGAGAGGTGGGAATACCGTTCGAAGCTGTCATAGAGCCAACGTTAGCATGATATCCATCATCTTGTGCCCAAAAGTATGTAATGTATGTCCAGTGAAGTGCGCGGAGCTCTCAACTACTAGAGGATAAAGGCCGCTTCGGTAATGGCTCCTGGGACACAGTCGGATCCGTAGCCTTGGGATATAGCTCGTCGTATGAGAATTGTTGGGTCATTGGCAACGTCGGGGCCGGGTCCTCGATTTCCAGCAAGCTCTTGTATCGGCGTAGAGCCTTCTTGATCATCTCGTTGTTCTCCCCAAGGGGCAAACTGCTGGTCCGTGTTCCGGGGACGGAAACGTGGGATACGGGACCATCCCGCGAGGCGCTTCCATCGATGGTTTCAGCGAGACTGGCGAAGCTCTTCTCAAACTGAACACTCTTGGCGCGGCCCCGGGTGGCATTGTGCATCATGGTAGCGAAATGCATTGCAGCGGAGTCGTTTGAACAAAGTATTTGGGTGGTAAGATGGTTCTCTTCCAAAAAAAGACGGTTCCCAAGAAACGGTAGATGGCAAGCGGACAACGAATGTGATGATCGTATCAGAAGAACGAGCTGTGATGTTGGTGGGGGCAAGGGAGATGAAAAGTCGGCGAAGGGCGGCGTTGAGTCGGGTTTTGTTGAGCCCATGGACCGTAGAGTAAGGTACGAGGAGGTCGGTGATCCGGTGATGCTTCCTGCGGCTTGGTCGAACGGACAGGTTAAGTAGAGGACAGAAAGCAAGCGCTTACCCATTATAGCAGAAGGTACCGTGATGGTGATGTTTCGGTCGAGTCGAGAAGTGAAGAGTTGATGGAAAAGGTAAAAAATCGGAGGATCGTAAGGAAGGCGCGAAGTCTGGAAGGTAAACGAATAGCGTCAGTCATTGAGATGGAAGCTGAGTTGCACCCGGCATGTATCTTCCTCCTTCTCCGTGCAGACGGCTACCGCCCACTCGTCAAGTGCGCTGCAGTGCGAGCCCGGTACTACCAGCACCGACACCACCTAAAACCCCAACGTGGATCGCGGTGGAGGCAAACGGGCTGGCTGGAGTGGCTGCTCGTATCGGCGCAGCCCAGCGGCAACTATGAGGGGGGCTTGTGACGACGAAGAGCACGAGATACCGCAGCAGGTTGGGGCAGTAGCAACAGAGTCATTCGGTATCTGTCGAGCCGGACGGGTAGGCCGTAGATACGTTCCCTGGGCTGGACCAGGAGCGAGCGTCTGTACAGAGAGAGTATCGGAGTTCACGACCAAGCAGCATCAACTTACCGGAAGGAAGGCGAGCCGGTAGGGTAGATACCTCTATGGTTCGCGTATTGTCAAAGGTTGGGTAGTTGTTAATGGGCGCCGCCTGGTGCGGATTTCTAAGGCAATTGGCCGGTGAAACTGAAAGGTAACGCTGGATCGCGTATGAATATGAAAAGAGTGCCAAAGGTAAGGTACGAAATGAAGACGGAGACGTGATAACGGGGAGGAGAATGCTGAGTTGTTGCCGGTAGAAAAGAATGGGAAAATTTGTGTGAGGAGCGACGGCAGTCAGTGTGGCAGCAGCAAGCACCAGCAGCAGCAGCGAGCAGGCAGGGCGGCTTCAGTCGAAGAAGATGGATGGATGATTGTGGATGGGATGGGGGGTGGGTATGGAGATTGGGTAGGTGTTTAGATTGCCTGTGCCTGGCTGCATCGACGTCCCGTTTGGAGCAGTTCAAAAGGGGTTCAGGTTCGACGTGCCAAATGTGGTGTTAGGTGGTGTCGTGCTGGAACCCGGATGGACGCCGGACAAGCCATGGCAGGCCCGACGCACCATGTGCCAGGACCGCGAGTAACACACGGGCGCAAGGTCGCAAGGCCTCGCTCGCTGGTGGCCCGGCTGGCACATTAGACTTCGATTAGGAAGTGTCCACTGGCCTGACGGGTGGGCAACCTAAAAGGACATGCTAAGGGGAAACTAATAAGCAGGGGTTGACCCAATCGGACATATGATTGGTCAGGACATGGTTACAGCCCAGCATTTGGGGAAAAAGATGAGTGTGAATTCTGGGGCTCGAGAAATCCAATCTCAAAGCTTGTGTCAACACAATATTCTAACCTTGAGTAGCTGGCATCGAGCAACGGAACTTCATCTTTTGTCTGTGAGTAATATCTAATCCATCATCTCAATATGAGACCTACACTAAGCTACCAGTGTAGAACGCAATACCAACAAGAGCAAACATCTGACAAGCAAGCAGAAAGGAGTAGCAACCACAAAGGTGCCGCCTCGGCTCAATTTGCCATGTCTGCACTGTACTAGCACGGATGTGACGATGAGCTAAGTATTTATGAGCCAGGGAGCTCCTGAAAATTAAATTACGTGCATTTGTTGGAGACCAAATCCCGTGCACTTGCACATTTTGATTTGCTTCGCACTTCTATTTGGTGCCTGGCTCTCTGGTATGACTGCTCATGATATTCGGACATAACTTGCTGAGCGTGGCTACGAGGCACGGGTAGGCTGGCTAGGTTTGAGCGCGTCTAGATTCCACACCCGACTTCGGAACCAGAAGAGCGACTGTTTCAGTCAGGGCAAACAGCATTCATCTCCTTGTCTTTGCTGGAGGCCAGCTACCATGGATTATGTGTTTTTATATCATACGCCTGTTTCCGCCAGTTGATGAGACAGGCATGGTGGCTACCGTCAGGCTTCTACACTCTGGATGGTCCTCGGGCGCTTGCATCCAAATATTGTCGCCGTGCTTTGGTGTAAATCCCGTGAGTTCTCGCTGGACATTTTGATCGGTGCGGTCGATAGGGATCACTTTTCTTCTTCAAAGCCGTCACGGTGGTCGATCATCGGAGACCCTGGATGAGATCAGAAAAGCAAGACACGGAACCAACTCGATGCCCCATGGTTAGAGAAACATGGCAATGGCGTGGCTTGGTACATTTGGGCGCATATCCGTCGATTTTCGGTGCATCCTGGAGCATACCGCTTCCATGTGGAGGTGGTTGCAAGATGCGCCTGGCCCTGATGGTCTGACACCCTGGGTGTGGAAACCCCAGTTCCATTCATACATAGAAGCTCCTCCAGTTCCCGTCCTCCAAAACACGCGAACGGGACTGGAGCCGCCTGGCTTTTTAAAGAAACAATCCGATCAACTTCCCCACATCCGGAAGGGCTGGACTGGACACTTCGTTTTCTTATATCTTTTCCCCCTTCGGTTACAGAAATCAAAGACGAACACAAAGCCTTTCGGGGATTCCTAAAACACTCTGGCACGACCACATCTGTATACATAGTATCCTCTACTTTCCCACTAGGTAGAGGCAGTTTGGTTCCAGGATTGCATGCGGAGGATTAAAGCAATCCTCGAAGGTTCGGACGACAAGTATTGTACTTCGGGTGTTCCCGAGAAGTCACATGATTGGTTCATTGGTGCGCATAGTTGGTCGATGTATGCTTCCCCGTCTGCTCGTTGGAAGAAGAGCGGGTGGATAGTGGGCAGAGATCAGGATATTCGTGTTAATGTAAGTAACCAACTTTCAAGATCGACCACATATGTACTTCCACATACCGGTATACAGTCAAGAAAAATCCATGTTAGCTGGAACAAAGTTGCAGCGCTGATTTCAGAGGACGGGAACTTGGCAAGTTGGAACATCCGGAGTGTATCCCGACACCACCGAGCTAATTAATAGTGTAGACGGGATATCCACTGAAAGAGGCAAAAGGTACGTGACCACGGGAGAAATGTGCCAGGGGCTCCAGTTCTTGCCTGCCGATTGAGTAGAAAGGTAGGCAAGTAACTGAAGATGTTGGGACTGGCGGGAGCATTCCACTTGGACACTAAGAATCCGGATATGCTACGGGTCGCTTATCGGGCTTGCACCGTCGGAAGGTAGTAGCTAGGTAGAGTACAAGCTGTTGGGTGGTACCCTTCTAACAGACCTCGGGCCCCTCCAGCTCAGGTTTCCAAGCTCCATAGCTATGATGTCAGAATCGCATACACAAATCAACTCCAGACTCCTCGTGGAATCAGTTACCGTAACCGATCGATACAGTCATACAAGCTGCCGGCAATAAAACTTGGACGGAAGGACTAGGAAGCTCGTCAAATAGACCAAGTTCGCTCGTCAACCGGACCGGGCGCTTTTCGGCCAACATGATAGCCCTTAATCGAGAGCAGTATCCAAACAAGTATCGTGTCGGGACCTGTCTTTAAAAAAGGACCCCAGGTTCCTGCCTACCTCCCATCCCTCTACAGGTATTTTGAGACTGCGCGTAACACCAACCTAACTTTGGTGTCTCTTAATTTCAAGCCGCATCGCGCCGCATCGCATATTGAGCATTTCCTTTAGCCTTGCCAGCGGAGGTACTGCAACCTACCAGCAACCGCGAAGATGGCGCGGCTGGGCCAATTGACCTTCGCCATCTCATCAACGGGTCGCCGATCTCCCCTGGCAAGGTCTCTCACACAAAGTGGCGCCCTCTTGAGAGCACCGGCAAGGACGAAACCCTCCCTGCTATCCTTCCAACAGACGCGACATGGCTTCTTCGCTTCAGGCGATAACAAGCCCAAACCAAAGACGCGGGTCCCTCGATCCCTCTCGGCGGTACTCCTCGGCTCCTTGCTTGTTTTCTCGCTCAACCCAACGGCTGATGTTGTTCAGACTTTCGACTCAACCGACAAGACTGCGAAGACAGACCGATCGAGCGATACAGACCTCTTCGCTCAGGAGCTAGAATCTCACGGCAAGATCGACGATAATAGCACCTGGTCCAAACTCGTTGATGGCTTTGAGGGCTTCTCGGCCATGACCTCGGCCGAGGCAGGCAAACTTTCCAACAAGCTGGTCGATCTTGTTCTTCCAGAATGGTCCAAACTCATTCCTGGCTACATCAGAAAGCTCCAACGGGAGCTCAACATGGCCCCAGGTTCTCTCGCCGCTGAAATCTGGGAGGAGGCCCGCGATCCTGCCATAAATCCTGAGATCCAGTACTCGGCCAAGGTTCGCGTTTCGGAGGACCTCTGTGACGAAGAGAAAACTTTCCTGGCGCGCAGGAAAAAGATAACAGCCGTTGCGTTGGCTCACTACCTTGGCATAAAAGAGGAGGATGTCAACCCAGAAGACGTACCCACCATTGCCATATGTGGCTCTGGTGGTGGCCTTAGGGCGCTCGTCGCTGGAACCGGGTCATATATGGCGGCGGCCGAGGATGGCCTTTTCGATTGTATTACGTATACATCAGGCGTCAGTGGATCCTGTTGGCTTCAATCTCTGTACTTCTCCTCCCTTTCAGGCAACGATTTCCAGCGACTTATTAACCACTTGAAAGCACGTCTCGGCATTCATATTGCCTACCCGCCTACTGCCTTCTCAGCTCTATTGTCTGCGCCTACGAACAAGCTACTGCTGACCGCCGTGGTAGAAAAGCTGAAGGGTGATCCGGAAGCTGATTTTGGGCTCGTTGACGCCTACGGGCTGCTGCTGGCAGCTAGGTTGTTCGTTCCCAAGGGAGAACTTGGCATCAATGCACAGGACTTCAAGCTGTCTCACCAGCAAGAGTACATTCGCTACGGACAAAATCCCATGCCCATTTATACGGCTGTGCGCCACGAAATCCCCGAGCTGGACGAGGCCGGCAACGAGCAGTCTCATGCTTCAGAGGCGGCAAAAGCTGAGGCCAAGAAAGAAGCATGGTTTCAGTGGTTTGAGATGACGCCTTTTGAGCTTTTCTGCGAAGAGTTCGCTGCCGGTATCCCCACCTGGGCCATGGGCAGAAGTTTCCAAGATGGCGTCAACCTGCCTACAACAGAAGGCTTCTACCTTCCCGAAATCCGGTTGCCTGTACTCCTGGGCATATGGGGCAGTGCGTTCTGCGCAACACTGAGCCATTACTACCGCGAAATCCGCCCTTTGATCCAGAGCCTTGGTGGTTTCCAGGCTGTAGACAACTTGATTTGGGGTCACAATGAGAATCTCAGCAAGGTTCATCCAATCGATCCGGCGACGATCCCGAACTTCATCCACGGAATGAACGGTAAGCTTCCGCCAACGGTTCCTCGGCTTGCTTACGACTCCGATTACATCCAACTTATGGACTCTGGCATGTCCAATAACCTCCCTATCTACCCCTTATTGCGGCCAGGTCGCAATGTCGACATCATAGTCGCATTCGATGCTTCTGCCGACATCAAGACGGATAACTGGCTCTCCGTGGTCGAAGGTTACGCAAGGCAAAGGGGGATTAAGGGATGGCCAATAGGTGCTGGCTGGCCCAAGGCCTCTGCATCGGCCTCCACCACCGCCAGGGAATTGAAGGAAGCTGAAGAAGCCACAGAAGCCGAAGCCGATAACAAACTCGCCCAAGCCAAAGCCGACCAAGCTACCCGACACGCCAACGACCCCAAAGTAAAGCCCGAAGGCGACAGCGACCAGAGCTTGATGAGCCAGCAAGAGAAATACGACCAAACCGCCCACGAGCTCGGCTACTGTACCGTCTGGGTCGGCACAACCCAGGAGCGACGCACCGATGAGCCGCCGCCGCCGCCAGTGGACGATACCTCGTCGTGGAAGCTCATGGAGCCGGACGCCGGCATCGCGGTCGTCTACATGCCCTTCCTGGCCAACGAGAAGGTGTCTAGCTCTGTTGATCCAGCCTCGAGCGATTACATGAGCACGTGGAACTTTGTGTACACGCCGGAACAAGTTGATCAGGTTGTCGCACTCGCGAGGGCGAACTATGACGAGGGCAAAGAGAAGATTCGGGCAACGGTAAGGGCGGTGTATGAGCGCAAGAAGAATAGTAGACTGGAGAGGGAAAAGAGGATGGCAGAGGAGAGACAGAGGAGGAAGGTTAGGCTGGGGATCGACGGTAAGTTGGGTGAGGGTGATCACTTCAGTTGAGCGAGCGCGTTGTGTCTCTTCTTTTTGTTGATTTGGGAGGCAAGTGATTCTCCGTGGGTTACTCTTTGGTGATGGAGATGGTAGGAATGGGTTATGACTGATGGGATGGATGACGATGAATGAGATGACGGATGGTTATACCCCAAAATGAGCATGAAGAGGATAGACAATGCCGAAGAGATTAAGAGATGAGTAACAGCAACTTAATGTGTGTGCTTTTTTTTGAAAAAAAAAAAAAAAAAAAAAAAAAAAAGCAAGTAGGAGAAAATCTAGGCGCACTCCATGTTCTCCTTGGCGCACCCTATTATCTTAGACCACTGTACCTTAAAATATGCCAAATTTTTATAGCTTGTTCAAGTTCCCTTAACTGGCCCTTCTACATTAGATTGCAAGTCCTGATGAGCGTGTTTTGGAAACGTGACAATTTCTCAGGAGGAGGTAAGAAAGTGAGAAGGCAAATACAGCAAGAGCAATTCACTTTTCATCTCCCCTCTCACCAACTTCCTTTTCCTCTCACGTAAAAAATAAACAAGAGCAATGTTAAGAAATCAGGAGGCAAAATACTAGATGAACAACCTCTAGTTTGGATAAATGGAAGGCGCGCAAGTTTGGGAGGAACTTCCAGGTTCGATCTCGTCGTCCGGTCTTTTACTCTTGCCGGTTACGTATTCCCGTTTCTTCCTTTACGATGCTTATTATACAAAATAAGGGTTTACACATCTTGGAATCGTACAATGCGTGTAAAATACGTAGTACCATATTCTCTCTTACACAGCTTTCTCCTCATGCCAGAGCAGTCAGTACGTAGAGGAAGGATTTGTCGTGTCATGTACTTCGTTGATGCCTCGTAAAAATTTGACTTCTTGATGCTACACATACAAACGATCATCCTTCTCCCTGGCCCCGGCTACTTTTTTGGTATTATACACTGAGAAAGAAGGACACAGATGCCACCCCGTGGAGGGCTGTGTTTCCTTTGTCGAAAGCAGAGCCAAGCAGCCACCAACCAGACCTTCTTCATTCCCCCGTTCCGTCCCAACCCCCTTGTATTGGTATATGTGGCGGGGGTGTGCGTGTGTGTACATGTATGTCCGTTGCGCGCAAATCTGTATACAACATCTCGACTTCGGCAAAAAGAGCAAGGAACAATGGAAGAAAAGGGAATGGATGAGAGAGGATCATCCATTTTATATCCCCTTCCTTCGCAGGACGAAAATTGCCCGCTCTCAACAGGACAAGAGTGGAAAGGTAAGCTGAGCTTTTAGACCACACCAACAAAATCCACTCCTTGTTTGTTTCCCTCTCGATCCTCTTGCGTCGATTTCCACAAGGGGAACCTATCCCGAGTTGATGGGCCGCACAACCAATAAAATTGAGAGTTCAAGCAGGCCATCTGCTTCTCTCTTTTACCTTTCATTTCATACACTTCCTATGGTCTGTACTGCCTCCCGTACTGTCCGCCGCCATGCTCCGTGTTTCAACCTCCCCACTTAGCGGGAGATAACCTCACCCATATCAATGTATGCTGGCGTCCAGGGCTTGGCACCCTCCTCCAGCATATCACTGGGTACCCGAGGGTTCTCGCCAGGGCTGTAGAGATACCAAGCCTTCAGGGCGTTCATGGCGGCCTTGAAGCGGGCGTGGTCGAGAGAGGAGGCGGCGCCCTCGCCGAGCTTGTCGCTGCCGCTGTAGATACCGACAACAAAAACGGGGGTGCGCGACTGGCGACCCGTCTCGGAGAGGAGGCGAGCCACGGGGGCCTCGAAATCCTCACGGGCGCAGAGCGCGGCGAGCTCGCGGGTGGGGTACTTGAATTCGAAGAGCTTGGCGATGTCGAGGGTGCGTGACATGATGTGCGCCTTGACAAAGGCCTTGGCGGCCTCGCGGCCGCAGTGGGCGTAGATGGCACCGACGACGGCGCGCACAAAATAGGCGTGGGCCCGCTCAGCAGCGGCCCGGGTGTCGGGGTTGCCGTAGCGGTCGTAGCTCACGTCCTGGTCCTGCTCATTAGCGACCATCTCGGCCTCCTCCTCGTCGGGAGTCTTGTCCTGATCCTGCTCTTCCATCGCCTTCTCCAGATCGGCGGCAACCTTGGGGTCGCTGCGCACGACATCACCAAAGTCGTCGTCGAGAACGACACGCGAGGCCATACCGCGACGCCACTTGAACTTCTCGAGGTAGGCGAGCTCTGTACGCTTGTAGCCGAAATTTGTGATGGAGACGCCGGGCTTAAGGGCATCGAACTGCAGAAGACCGGGATCCACCTCGCCGCCGGGCACCGCGGCGGTATCAACACCCCATGACCGCGCAATCTGGAGCAAGGGCTTCGGTCCGGCATAAGCCTTCATGGCACTGAAGAGAATTCCCTGGGGTAGACGGGGGTATTTGCAGAGGAGCCATTCGGCAATATGGTAGTTGATGAGGGTCTGGCCAACGAAGGCGAGGTTGGCGTTGTTGAACTGCGGGTTCTCGTCGGCCGAGGCGTCGACCAGTGTCCTTGCCAATGTCTGTAGGGGGATCTTGGGAGAAAGGTTCAAACGGGCGTGGAGGGCGGCCAGTTTGGCCGAGGTCAAGGCCCGTTCGGGGAGGGGCGACGGTAGGGACTCGGCCGCGGGGGGGAGGGGCTCAAGCGGGGGGAACCGGTCATTGTTGAGGTCGTGAGATGCATCGTGCTGAGCGAGGGCAGCTGTCGATTGCGATCGCACCGAGATTGCAGATCGGGATCGGATGGCGGCAGTGGCGGGCGACACTCCGGAGCGAGCGGCGACGAGCAGCCGGCTCGTCAAGCTGGGCGTTGCTATCCTCTTCATGGGCGATATATTTGATGGGTGATGGTCGGCTCGACAACCGGATGTTGACGTGCTGGGGCCCAGGTTCCGTAAGTGTGCGCCGTCTGGAGGCCCTGCCAAGGAAAGGATGGAGTGAGGGAAATCGGACGGGCAGGTGGTGAGCCGGTGGTCGCGGGGTGGGAAGCTACTCGGGATCCCGGTCGGAGTCGCGCGTTGATCGGATGGGTTCTCTCGTTCAGACTCGGCCGGCCGTCGAACACGGGTAAAAAAAAAAAAGTTCTCCAATCTGAACGCTCACCACCCGTACACTAGACAAGCCCACCACCCAGAGCCGTGAATCAGTGCTCAAGCGCAGGGGTTACTCCCCCAAGACCGAGATATAAAAGCCGGCTGACATGATTCGTTGTTGGTCCAGTGAGGGTCTCCACAAGATCCATCTTCGACCCCAATCCACTATCTGCGCTGTCTGTTTAGCATACGGTGCACTGTGGTGGACAAGCGGGAGCTGCCCGCCCGCCGCCCGCCGCCCGTCTGTCGCATGCGCCCTCGGCCCCGGTTAGGACGAGTGACATGGTGACTTTCAGGCCTGGATGGTTGATGCGATTTAGCCCCTCGTCGGCCTGTAGGCGGATTAATCATTCGTCCTTCTATCCAATTGTTCCCGCTGAAGCATCACCACTATTGTGCCTTCGTTCGCAGTGCATCGCAAAGTTGACAGTACAAACCGGTCTTGCTTAACTGCGAGGTGGAAAGAATCAATCCTCGTTGAACGTCCAACCTACCTCACCACATATCCCAAAACTTCATCACAATGGTGCGTATCCACCCGATTGCTTAGAATAGCCATCATCACCACTATGTTTTGTGCTTGCTAACTATCTATCTTTCCTATCCATAGGGCGGCGGTCCCCAAGTTCCGTGAGTTTCATCGTCCTCGACATGCGCAAACCCTCCGCGCACTCTGTCCAACCCAGCCCGTGTTGTGTCATCGATCCGTCCTAATCGTTGCCTCGCCCTTCACTCCAGCTACCCCAAGCACGTCTGGTCGCCTTCGGGTGGTTGGTACGCCCAGCCGGCCAACTGGAAGAAGAACACGGCTGTTCTCGGTGGCGTCGTCTTCCTCATCACTGCCGCAGTCTGGAAGCTTAGCGCCGAGAAAGAGTACCGTCACAAGATGCCCGAGCCTGGTCGCTTTTATCCCAGCAGATAGTATGTCCTGGTAGACAGACCCCCGCTCAAATTGTTGTACATGCGTAACCGTTTTCTGCGAGCGCGAACCGCGGTGATGATCTCAAGCTGACGCGACCGATATTACCTACACTAGCTGGAGCAGACAGATTATCGAGTATGAGCGGGCGCAAAAGGAGAACGGGACGACACAGGAGAAAAAGTAAATTTGGGCATACGCCCTTCCACCCGGGCGGTTTGGTGATACAGTACATGGCTTCCAAAGGCTTGATGGAATAACAGGACATCTTGGCTTGGTTGAGGCCGACCGCTTGGTGGTAGTAATGCGATATTCGGAATATATTGAACGTCGGTTACCCTCCGCTGGCCGTCTTGCGTTGGTGCTCTAGAGCCTGGCTAGTCGTGAATCAAGCTAACTTTGATGTGGATCAGGTCTGTGATGGATCATAAAGGAAACTATTCTTACCGTTTCAGGCCATTGGGCGACTACTAGTGCATTCACAAGGAAGAGCCCAACTTCCATGACTTTGAATCGTGAACATCCCTTGATAATGTTCTTCGCATGTTTTGGTGTAAGCGGAAGCAACAAGGTAAGCTGCTGTGGAAACCTCAACTGTCTATTTAATCGAGGTGGGCCTCGGCGGACCTCAGTTCCTGGCTGTGCGGAGCTTTTCGGTCGGTTCATGACTCGGGATCAAGACAGCGGACACGGCGACCTGAGACCCGCACCGGATGGAGCTGGGCCGGCGCGCGTCCGAAGCCGATCATCCCGGATCGGAACTACCGTCGATAAGTCCATTTTACCTTCCATGTAGCCCGATTGCTCCAGATCTCCGCCTTACCGCTCCCCGGACACTCAATGACAACATATCTGAGTATTGGACTATCTACGTTCGCTGTGAACTTCATATATACTGATAGGAGCTGGGTGATTCATTCATCTTGACGCTATTTCAAAATTTATATGCTTCTATAAGACCCGGTATAACGGAATGAAGGTGACGATGGCTCAGCCTATCGCTCGAAATTCGAGTCACACCTATTCAGGAGAGTTACTATCTTGGGGATGCTGAATCCATCTGGCAGTTTCAAATACTATGTCCAGTAGATTCATTTAGCGAATTTCATGCCAATGTTTTCCCGACCAGACATTGCACGCCCATTTCCTGCGTTTTCCTGGACAAAGATCTTTCAACCCAAAATCCATGACGCTGGGGTATAGTGTCCCAAAATAATACGCACACTGAGCTACATGTCGCATGTTATGTAGTCATACTTGTCCCTCGTAGACCGAACATGGGACAACGTATTCCAAAAAATGCCCGGTAGCCGGTTTACAGGAAGTAGTCGGCCACTGGCTTCTTGGCTGGCATTCCCCTTGAATCCTGAGGAGCCGCCTGGAAGACCCGGTAACGCCTTGCTGGACCCTTCATCGGTTGTAGCTCACCCTCCCCGAGCCCTCCAGAAGATCCTGCACCACCATTACTGCGATTGACATCGCCATTACTGCGGGCAAGCACACCCAAGCCCGAATCGTCTTCCGATAGCTCAAGAAGTGCAGCAACGTTTCCGCAGCGATAGCAGTAATTTGGTGCTGACCAAACGGTAACGATGCTGGCATCGAACATTTCCTTAAAACCTTCCATGACCAGCTGATGGGCACGGGCAATCAGGCTGAGGTCATTGCGATGATTGAACACTTTGACGATGTCGGCACCAAAGAGGAAGCCGGCACCCCGAGGTGACAACCCCCAACCGTCAATCTCGTCCGGATCGGACCACAAGAGGTCGCACATAGCACCCTCATGTGGAACCTCCTGTTTTCGGTCCAGCAGCCTGATTTTGTCAACCTTGTCTATCAGCGGACTAAGGCCGCCGTGCACACATAGAACGGCGCCGGCTGGGTTGCCCACTGTTCCTCTGCTCAATCCCGACGCTCCTGAACCAGGTGGGCCTGTATTACTCGGTGGTGGTATCCCGTTGGTCCTGCTCTGTACATCGCTGTCTGCACCGTTGTTGGGCCGAGGAAACCTGCTCATTACTTCGCCCTGTGCGTTGCACACCTCGATTTCCACCTCGTCTCCTTCAGGTGTTGTTGGTATACTGGACTCGCCAGCGCTTGGTGAGATGGTATTGGAGGCCCCGAGAACAATAGCGCCCAAGGCGAGATAGTCGAACACGTCGCAGCAGTAGCGCCAAACATTTGCGCTGCCATATTTCCTGTAACATTCATCGTAGAAACCGTATACGGTTGTGATCTGTCGTGATTCGTGGTTGCCTCTGATGAGGGTCATGCGGTCGGGGTATCGAACTTTAAGGCAGAGAAGAAGTAAGAATGTTTCGAGCGAGTAGAAGCCACGGTCAACGAAATCACCTGTCAATATCCGACAATATAATAGTAAGCTTAACATGATCTTGACGACACGATTGACAGGCCAGGGACAGCCTTACCCATAAACAGATAATTGGTATCGGGAGGATCGCCGCCGACGCGGAACAGTTCCATCAAATCGTGAAACTGGCCATGAATATCTCCACATATCTTGTTGCCGTTTGGTTAGATTCGACATGTCTGTATTTCGGTTCGGATAGTTTGAGACGTACCGTTACCGGCGCATTAACTGTAACTACGTTTCCTTCTTCGATCAAGATTTCCCGGGCCTTGTGACAGAGTTCGCGGACGTCTGATTCTGGTATTGGCCGGCATGCTCGCAGCTGAGCGATCGCCCTATCCACCAAAGAGGTCAGACACCACGAGCGATAGTCGCCGGCGGGTGGTTTCGAATGCCCGATCGCAAGAGCACCGGGGCACTAACCTGTCCAGATCACTCATGGCTGTAAAGGCTTATGAATGACAGATAATGCTGCTTTGCTGCGAGTGGATGCCGCGCAGTTAGGACTGAGCCGGGCCGAAGCTTGTATATCAAAATAGAAGTTGAAATGCGGTGTCTCGTAGGGTCGCGTCAGCTTCGCGTCATGCTATGCCGAAATATTTGGTGGTCCGTCTTGCAGATGCAACAAGCACAGATAGTAGCCCTTTTGAAATCGGTCTTGATGATTGTCGTGGGGATGAGGCGAATGATCTGTTGACAGGGCTGAGGTGTTCTAGGCTGGCGGCTCTGTTTTTTTTGCGACGGGAGACTGGGGATGGCGCGAGACCACAACCTCGACAACAATGGCACGAATGGTATGGCGGCGGTCGCCATGCCAGCAAGAAGCAGGGAGCAAGGAGTTTTAGCGACAGGCCCAGGGACCTGGAACTGCCAAGTGAACTGTAGAAATCCCGCCCTGACTGGTGGGGAGACGGAGTGAACGTCGAATGGGTCAACAGGTACACAGTACGTAGGTAGGTAGGTACCTAGGTAGTCTATATCATTTCCTGTGAGTACAGCCCCCTTTCCTGCAAACGCATGCAAGGTGGAAGTAGCCCATTAAGTGCAAGCCCATGGCGGCCCGGATTCCCGGTTTGGTGTGGGAGAGAGATGCCAGCAAGTGCAAAAGCCCCGTTAAGTGCACATGTTACGAGCCGTCGCCTATAATGCGCTTGTAAAGAGACAAACACGCTAGCTGCCATTGGTCAGATTTCGGCACTACGTAGACGAACTCAGGTGTAGTGTACACTAGAGGTACATACGTACTGTGTAGCTGCCGTGGGGAAAGCTTGGGGCGGCGGGAGTGCAGGAGCAAAGATGCACTTTCCATTCCAGTGCGGGACAGCGCGGGAAGCTGCCCATTGAAGTTTTGAGAGCTGAAGTGGAAGCTGACGAGGGGTCCACTGACGAAATATTTTCGAGAACTACACTAAAGCGCAATCGAAGCTCCATCTTCCCGGAGCTTGACGACAGGTCCCGTCCACGGTCCAGTTCGCCTAACGACGATCTTGACAAGGAACCTGCCCACCTGCGTGGCACATACCTCATTCTCGCTGACTTCCGCATTGCGCGTTGAGGTTAACCGCTGCAATCTCGTTATATTCAAGGGTTCAGGTTGTTCCCAACGCGCATGATGGTCCTTTAAGTGTTGCAAAAGCCACGAGTGAGTCCCGTCGGCCCAAAGCCCAAAACGCGAACCTCAATGGCTGATAAAATTGGCGCAAGCTCCCCTGAACTTAGACCCCCCTTCCTCTGGACCTCTCTCGGTCAAGCACCCCGCCCGCCCTCCAATCCGAATACCACTCATCATGCCACCACCTCACCTCCACCCGAGGTCGCGTATGACTTCCTCCCTCTTCGCAGCAACCGTTGTGGCCAGCTTCCTTGTTGTCGGCGTCCCTCACATCCTCCCGTGTCCCGCCCCTAGGGTCGCTTTCGCCGATGGAGATATGTCTGCCGACGGACAGCCTAAGAGACGCAGACGCAGACGCGTGGAAAACACCGAAGGCAAAGACGAAATCCTGCAGTTTGAGACAGAGCCTGGGTCTGGCGACGCAGGCAGGGCACGAGCTCTGAAGAGAGAGTGCCCAGTGCCCAAGCCCGGGGGTGTTCTCGGCAGCATGCTCGGCTTCCACAAAGACAACGATATCAACGACCCTTCGTCCCCGTCCAATAGGTGATGACCACGCCGTACACAATGCTGGATCTCCGGGGGAATTGGGTCGCAATGACCCCATAATAACGCTCTGTAACTAGACGACGTTCGTGATCAATATTGTACATACGAGCTGCTCGATCCACGGATATGGGCCATATGTCGAACGGAGTCATCATGGTATTGGCCATTCCTGGGGTTTTTGGAAAAACAGATTTCCCAGGTCACATTGCTCGCAGTGAGTGATCAAAAGGCGGACGGCATGTAGCCCGATCACAAAACGAGCCTTCTGTTCAGCAACCAACGGTTCAGGTCACGCCTTTACGAAGAATGCAAAGCCCGATGAACCAGCACTCTATCTGGCTCAAATTAATCATCTCCACATACAAATTGGCTGAATTCGCCTCCTACACGTACCCTTCTCAGCATGTTGGAGGTCATTGAAGAATGAGACTGGCAGGTATTCCTGTTCAACCATACAGTCCTGCGTGGGTGATACAATCGAAGACTACAAGAACTTTCAAAGGGTAAATAGCCCTTGCTTGGCCACATACCTGCTTCTTGAGACGTCGTCAAAGAAGTCCAATACACCACCGGTCTGTCCAGATTTGCCCAGGAGTTTGTTGCCTACGTCGTTCGCGTCTTGGTGGCTCCAGTCGTTTCCCTCATCCACCCTCAACAGGAGTTCAACTCGTAGCTTGGTACCAGCCAAAAAGTCCAGACGGCGATACGCAGCTGGCTTTGCTTTCTTTCATCTGGAATGTTGCATCTTAGCAGCTCGGATACGCGAGAGTCCCCTGGCTGAACACACCTACCCTCATACATTCTGTTTGGGCTCAGGGCGCTAGTAGACCAAAATAGGTATGCGGTTACGAGGATACTAAATCAACCAAAAAAAACATGCTCTCGTCAATGGAATCCGTCGAACCCGAACCCTGCTAGAGCTTGGCGTTGCGATCAGGGGTTCGCAGCGGGGGCGGATGGGACTCTTTCATGCACCCCAGATCCAACCTCAACGTGGGGGTGGATCTTGGTCGTCAGTGGACATGCAGCTCCCCCGTCCATGCCTTAACTTCATTTACTTCCTTCATTTCACTTTCAACTTCCGGAAATCTCAACTTAACCAAAACTGAGAATCCACGGAATGGCCGTCAGCTGTTCTATGGGCTTTACGAAACATGAATTACCATCAGCTTGAAGTGTCGTAGTGATAACCCCACCTCTCCCCCTTCTACAGCTGAGCTGTTCAGAAATGAAGGTATGGTGTTGCTCAACACAGGTGTTCTTCACAACACCAAGCTCCGGGGTCATAGCTTCAGTCAAGCTCCTGACAAGCCAGGCTCTTCTGCCTTGTACTCTTTCGAAACACAAGACTTTGCAGCTGCTATGAGTCCAGCGCATAAGGGACTGACACCTAGACAAATGTCATGTATCTAGCCGTCCCATATCCTTCTTGCCTATGATCCTCGATTCGGGACTCTCAAAGGTGGCTTTTGTTACAACACATACCATAGTCCGGAGCACATCCTGTTCTGTTTTCTGACATCCACACGAGTCCCCTAGACTTGTAAAGTGGATAGCGCTTATGCAAGCTCGCGTGCTTTTGTCTGGAAGCTTGTGTTGTGATAAGACCTGAATATGACGATAATTCGGTGCTATATATGTCTATGTCGCACCTGAACGTCCTGTGGCATACTGTCAGATTTCGATGTTCACCTCGTTCATCCACAGAGGCAGTATTTCCCGTCATCAGATCTGGAATGTTGATAGGTACTCATGCTTTATAGCAGAAACTCCAAGGTAGGACACAACCGCGTATCCACCCATCACTACTGTACTTGTAGATATTCCGGAAGTCTCGCCGTTCGAAATTCGCAAGAAACTGTGTGCACAAGTCCTATCAAGAGTTCAGGAGCCCCGGTTGCTTGGTTGCCTATTGTGTTGGGTAAGCACATCTCATTTCGGACTTTAAAGCGTTGGAGAGAGCCACCGGGGGGTTCTAGAACATTGTATCGGAGGAGCCATGTGACTCGGATTCACGTGAATGCTACATAGACGATTGAGGTAAAACCCATGGCCGGGAGTTGTGCGCGTGCGGGACGGGATGGAGGGGACTGCCGTTCGCCTGGAGAGGACGGGCGCGGGGACTAGTCTAGGTAGTCTGGTGTCACCTATCCATGCCCCGGCCTTCCTTCTTGGGCCTTTCCACTTCAGCGGCTTCCATTGCGAGACGTTGGCCCTCTCGCCGAGAACCAACCTCACTGGACTGCCAGGCGGGGTCGAACGGTTTCCAGTGGATTCTGAGTTCTAAATGCGCTGAAATCTGGGGCTTTCCAGCACGAGAAAGCGGGACCTTCCAACACGTTGCCGCTGCCTCGGTTGATTGTGCCCCTGGGTTAATGGATCAAGGGTTGCCGATTCCATGACAGAGGCCCACTTGGAATGCGGACCTGGAGGTGACCCGACTTCCCGCCCGTCACCCCTCGCCGCCGTTTCACCCCATCATCCATTTCAGCCCGTGGCGCAATCAGATGTCAGTGAATCGAACTTTCTAACATCGCATCAAATCATAGACGCAGACTGTAGTTGAACCCTACGTCAACCAAGGCGCACTGCATAAACTTTCCACTGTTAAATAATATTCCTTTCCGTTGAGCCGAGAACGGCACCTCGATCATAACAACACAACACCACAAACCCGCCTCTACCTGTACTACCCGTCATCTCGTTTGCCGCATTTGGTGCTGGAATACACACATTGGAGTTCTTCGATTTTGTGTACACGAAGCATCGACCACGATAACATCAAACGTTACGAGTATCAGCACCCCGTACAACAAAGAAGCAAGCCGATAATCACACATACCGACTCCAAAGCCGTTCTACAAGACCGATCCTGGTTTCCCCAGATTCCCCGGATTTCTCGACATCAAATCAAACTCCACTATAAGCCGACGTCCCCATGGCTCACATGCGAGCACCGACGGTCACGATACCGCTTCTTCCCCTTCCCAAACAGACCGTTCTCCTCCCAGGCGTTGTCCAACGCGTCGCAGTTTCGTCTACCCGACCCGACATCGCCTCGTTACTCGCCGCCGTTTACGCGAAGGCGGCTTCCAAAACCCCCAATGGGCGTATCGATACGATTCCCATTGCCTGCGTGCCCCTGGCATCACCCTTGATCGGACCAGAGGGGCATCTTCTAATCGAGAACGGCGACGACAGAACCGAAACCACCGACCATGTTGATCCAGCAAAGGCTACCAAGGCTGATCTCTTCCCATATGGCGTTGCCGCTAAGATCACCGGCGTCGAGGGGCGCGGTACCGGCGAGTTCACCTTGCTGGTCGAGGGTGTGACACGGATTCACGTCGAAACGGTTATCTCGGACAAGGCTTATCTGGAAGGCAAGGTCTCCAGTTACGCCGATCCCGCTCTAATCACAGACGCCGCCCTCGAGGAGCTGTTCATGTCTCTCAAGCTTCTGTCCAGGCAATTTGTTACCATTCTCCGCCTGTCCTCACTTCTGCCACAGTCTTCTGGCACGCCTGGCCTGTCACCTCTGCTTGCTCGGCGCCTTGACTTCTACATCGCGAAGCAGAAGTATCCCGGTGCCCTCGCAGACTTTATGGCCAACATTGTCGAATCTTCATATGAGGAAAAGCTCGAGATCCTCACTTTAATCGACGTCAAGGAACGTGTGGCCAAGGTTATCGAGCTGCTTGACCGCCAGATAACAAACATCAAGAACAGCATGAGGGTCACCACCATCACAGCCACGACCTTGCCATTCCCGATGGACCCTGATGCGGCGAAACATGGAAAAATCAAGCCGCCTGTAAAGGCTCCGGGGCAAGGCGCAGGAATGCCGTTTTCACCACAGGGCGGCTTCATGGGACGAGGTGGAAATGCGGATGAAGATCAGGAGCCCAACGAGATTGAGGAGCTGCAGAAACGACTTGATGCCGCACGACTCAGCCCTGAAGCGGCCAAGGTCGCTGACCGGGAGATCAAGAGACTGAAAAAGATCCATCCCGCACAGGCTGAATATGCTGTGACTCGGACATATCTTGAAACTTTGGCAGAGATCCCCTGGACAACTACTACGGATGATCGCCTAGGTCCCGATACGCTGAACCGGGCAAGGAAGCAACTCGATGATGCTCACTATGGACTAGACAAGGTCAAGAAGCGCCTGCTCGAGTATCTAGCAGTCCTTCGCCTCAAGCAAGCCATCAACGATGACGTGGACAGCCAGATTAAACAGCTCGAACAGGAACTCGGGGTAGCATCCGAGAGCAGTAAAGAAGACGCTGCTCAATCTTCCCCTATCGACCTTGGTGTTGATGAAAAGGTCAAGGCCGGTGGAGCCAAGCTTGAGGCTTTGAAGAGCAGGCGCATGGTGGACAAGTCTCCCATCCTCCTCCTCGTCGGACCTCCAGGCGTTGGGAAGACGAGTCTTGCTCGATCAGTCGCCACTGCTTTGGGAAGGAAATTCCATAGAATTTCTCTTGGTGGTGTGAGAGACGAAGCAGAAATCCGCGGTCACAGACGTACCTATGTCGCCGCCATGCCAGGCCTTATTGTTCAGGGTTTGAAGAAAGTAGGAGTAGCGAACCCTGTCTTCCTCCTTGATGAGATTGATAAGGTTGGCGGCTCAAGCATTCACGGCGACCCTTCGGCGGCTATGCTCGAGGTTCTCGACCCTGAGCAGAACCATAACTTCACTGATCACTACGTAAACGTACCGATTGATCTCAGCAAGGTGCTGTTTATCGCCACAGCGAACAGTCTCGACACCATTCCGGCACCGTTGCTGGATCGAATGGAGACGATCTACATTCCGGGCTACACGACTCTCGAGAAGCGCCACATTGCGATGCAGCATCTGGTGCCCAAGCAACTCCGGGTCAACGGCCTTGACGAATCACAGGTTTCCTTCACCCCAGAGGTCGTGTCCAGAATCATCGAGTCGTACACGCGGGAGGCCGGCGTGCGCAACCTAGAACGGGAGATCTCGTCCGTTGCGCGTGGCAAAGCCGTCGAGTTCGCCGACGCCAAGGACTCGGGACACCCTGAGAACTACAACCCACAACTGACTGTGGATGACCTGGAGAAGTTTTTGGGCATTGAAAAGTTTGAAGAGGAAATCGCCGAGAAGACTAGCCGTCCAGGAATAGTGACTGGTCTGGTAGCGTACAGCTCGGGTGGAAATGGTAGTATTCTCTTCATCGAGGTGGCCGACATGCCAGGCAACGGTAGCGTCCAGCTGACGGGCAAACTGGGTGATGTGTTGAAAGAGAGTGTCGAGGTGGCCCTGACTTGGGTCAAGGCGCACGCATATGAGCTTGGACTCGCTCAGAGCCCAAGTGAGAACATTATGAAGGACAGGAGCATTCATGTGCATTGCCCCTCCGGTGCCGTTCCCAAAGATGGACCCAGCAGCGGCATCTCGCAGGCAATCGCTCTCATTTCCCTGTTTTCCGGCAAGGCTGTCCCACCAACAATGGCCATGACGGTAAGCATTTCCCAATCCCATCACTTTGGTCCCGTCACTTCTTTTTAGTTCCATTCCGTTTGTTTTGACGTTTCCTTTTCTTGGGACTCGAAACACAACGAAAGCAGGGCAAGGCAAAGCGGATCTTACGTCCGTTTGACTTTCCCAATATGGATAAGAGGACGAAATACCGTGCTTCCATATTATGTGTGCAAGGCTGACACGACGTTTGTTTCTGTATCACAGGGTGAGATTTCCCTCCGAGGACGGATCACGGCCGTCGGAGGCATCAAGGAGAAACTCATCGGAGCGCTCCGGGCGGGTGTCAAGACAGTCCTACTCCCGGCGCAGAACCGCAAGGACGCAAAGGACTTACCCCAGGAAGTCAAGGATGGATTGGAAATCATCCATGTCAGGTAGGTTGTTGTCTGATATCTGATACTCCTTCCCCAGAACCCTCACCTCAATGCTGGCTGTTTCAGGCACCTGATTTGCTAACCATACCCTTACCATAACCGTAGTCATATCTGGGAAGCCATTCGCTACGTTTGGCCGGACGGCCAGTGGCCTAGCGAGCACGATTATCCGAGCATCGAGAGTCGTCTTTGAATTGGGCTATCTCATCTTCCACCTCAGCCATCTGTGTGCGTTGTAGTCACGGAGTTATGATTTTAGTTTCGTTGCATAGCTGGTGCTGTGGTTGGTATTAGCGGCTTGCCGTTGATGCGTGTCGGTGCTCCAAGGTCACCGACGATATTCAGTGTAACCACTCCACTCCCTCTGTCATTCCCAGTTCTTTTCCACTCTGAAACGAAGAATGGACTCATGCAGTTTCGTCGATTTTTTCCCTTACGATCATTTGTTTAGCCAGCCGGTAGTGTAGTGTCTCGTCCTCATCATATATGGACAACAGCGAAGCATTTGATAGCAACAGAGTCAATTGTACCCATGCATTTGATGTTCACTTCCAAACCTAGGTAGGTCGACAGCTGTTTGGTCTCCCTCTGTTCACGTCGGGATGTATCTTATTTCTTTCTCCCATCTGCTAACCGTCTTTGCCCGCGCCTCTCATTCTGTATTCTCCCCCAACAATAACTCTCGCTAAACTTGCCCGAGTCTCCGGTGTCACTTTTGTCGCAGATAAAGTGCTGTCTGCAGTGCTGCTGTTGAAGCGCGATGTCCTATTACCTACTACCATTGCTCGGTAACTATCCGAGACAGCTGCGGTGGTTCCTTGCATCGGAACCAACAACGAAGATGTGTAGATGTGTGGATGTGTGCATATTTTACCGACCGGTTCCCAACTTCAGTGGAAGGGAACCATGTAAATGGGTGTATGTAGGTGCAATGCAAATATGTTCTGCATTATAAGTATGGCGGGTAGGCACAGCCGCGGGGCTTACGACGGTAGAGGTGGTGGGACGGGAGAGGGGAGGGGAGGGGGGGTATGAAGGGATTCCTGGGAGGAGTCGGCCAAGGCAAGCGTGCTTTGGTCTAATGTAGTGTAGAGGGGACGTAACAGTAATGCCTCTAGGTACCTAGGCAGGTAACCACACAAACCAGAGTAGGTAGGGTAGTAAGTAGATGGACAAATGCTGTGTAATGCCACATGACAGAATTGTGCGACCGTTGTACGGCAGATTCATGATGTGCAGAATGGGTAGGATTGTGTAGAAAACATATCTCGCATTGCTTCGTTGGGAGCATAGCGAGAAAGAGAGGGTTTCCCTGTCCGCCTGAAAAGGAACTAGATGTTGGTCGGCTTGGACCGACATGACTTTTGGTGCGTGGTAGGCCGGCTGATTCGGTGAAGCAAGGAGAGAGTGAGCTGACTTTGGACAATGGAAAGCTCAGCTAGACATGGGGTTTGCTTTGTGATTGTGGCACACCTGAAGAATGACATTCGACTTGCTGACAAGTTGACTCGGTAGACATGCCCCTAGATGGATGGTGGTCGGTCTAACCAGGAAGATGTAGATAGTTCATCAAAAAAGTTCTGTAAGGTCGCATATGGGCTCGTTCCCACCCTCTTCCTCATCGTCATGCATGCGGATGGGCTAGGCTTTTTTCTCTTCGTGTTTTTCTAGCCTGTGAAGAGGGAACCCCCAATTTTCTCTCACGATACTTGACCCGTGCCATAGACATGAATGAAAACTGGTGCTTCGATAGATTCCTACAAGCAACACATGGCCGACGGTACGTACATATTGCAAGTTGCCTATCTTTCAAGCTGTTTTCATATACACCATGGATGAAAGTCGGCTTAAGAGGCAAATGACCCTCGTAGAAATCAACTATTCCAGCTACTTCAATCTTTCAGAGCCAAGCTCGGTATAACAGGCTTGTCTGGCTCTTGTGTCCTCCGTGGTGTTCATGGGAAAGGTGCTACATCCTGCCACTTCTCGTGTTATTTGTTCACACCTAAATAAAAGAAGAAGAAGAAATTTCAGGCAAAAAGGAAAAGAGAAGCAAAAGTAACACCACACATGGCTCAAACGGCCAAGGTAAGCCCAAGGAAAGGAACGAAGGCAGTACGAGGAGAAGGGGCGACACCACTACCACTTACCGTACAACCCCGGGCGACGTGCCACATATGGACGGGACCTTATCGGTACTAGCAGGTACGTAGATGCTTTTGAGAAGTGGTAGGTACGGGCCCAAGGGGAGAAGAAGGAAGGAACGAAGATTGAAGTTGGAGTGGAAGTTCGTGAGTGAGGTACCAATCACGCTTGGTGGAGACCTATGGTCTAGAACGAAGGTAGGGAGGCTTGGATGCGTTTGGGGAATCGAACCAGGTTGAACACACACAAGTGTCTCAAGTGTGGCGGAGGCTTTTGTTGGATGAACAGAACAGTCTATATCTAGTAGGAGGTATATAGAAAACTTCACTGATACCTACATATTGAATGAGGATATGCTTCTGATCTAACTCAGCTGGCGTCTACCTGCCCCATGGTTATGTCCACGGATAGCTACATATAAATGGACGCTTTGACTCCCTTCCTCTGGGATCACCACGCCCTGAATATGGTGTTGCGTGACACTCGGTGGTCTGGTGTTGGTGCGTGTGGTAACATCTTTCTCTGTTGTTGATCCTTTGCTCTGGAGAAAGTCGTGGGTTCACACTTCAGAGAGTAAGAAGACTCCAGGATTACTTGTTGCTTCAGGTTGGGCATACACTTCCTGCTTCCTTACGCAGCTGTCTTTAGATCAATAATGCATTTCTTACCACTAGTGATCAAGGGCTCCCATGCTTTATGTATGATTGCTGTGATAAGACTTAGGGACACCGGGGATTTGTTTGGAGTTTGGCCTTGGTGTATTGTACTACATTCGGTCGTACGTAAGGAGGTATGCAGGGAGTGGCTGCTCAATCAGAAACTCTCGAATCAAAAGCGATATCAGTTCAACTGCTGGGTAGACTCATTCAAAAATTGGATACCTTTCCTGACGCAAATCTATAATGTAGTGCTGCAATGTGAACAGAGATAGAAGTCAGCGCAATTGTGACTTTATCGGAAGCCTTCCAATATTGGTTGAAGCGTGATGTGTGCTTGCTTACTTAGAGCCATTGAAAGTAAAAGTTTCTTTCATCATTGAAAGATTCAATTGGACCGCGCAATTGCTACTTCTACAATGATATGTCTGGGTCGAGTGCATATCATGAGTAATAGAATTGTGGAAAAATAAAGCAGAGTGGAGGATGTATTCGTTTTAAAAATTCGGTTATCACAGATACCTCGAGGATTGATGTGCTCTTTCCTTAGGCCGAGGAAACTTTCGCGCGTTCTGGAGTTACTTGAACTGAGTAGCTCTTTTCCTTACTCATGATGGACATGACGGGGGCTTTGACATTGTTCTGGGCAGGCAGAAGGAAACTAATTTAACATGGTCCAAAGGGCTTTGATTCAGTCACAGTTGGCATATGGGATTGGAATTGACTGATTGATAGCTGATGTCTAATCGCTCGAAACTTGTCACCAAACCTCTCGAATCTCGAGGCCGAGTACGCCCTGGAGCAAGCCAGACCGCACACGGCTTGTCATTGAAACGCTGTTGAAAGCTGCAGCAGCCTGTATAATTTTTGACGTCAGAACGAAGTTTGAGCCATTGAAATGCTGAGGAGAGTCCGATTAATTTGTTCCAATGTAGAAAGCAGCGCAAGCAAAAACACCCCTGATTCGGCTATCTCCACTGGCGTTTCCCTCAGCATTTGACTCCTATCTTCCCAAGGCAATGCTGTGATGTTCGTCTCGTACGCTACGGGTCCAAGCTGTTGTGCTTTCTCGCTTCAGCATTTCATTGTTCACAGCTTCATGCGCGAGTTGCTCGCTGTCATCACTTTTGTGGAATTATGCAACTGATAAGCCTCATGGGGCTACTACCAGATGAAGATCATTTCCTTGAGATCATGGGCTACCCCAGATGTCCACGAGGAGATGTCTTATACAGACGTGCAAAAATACAGTTCTGTCCCTTCTAACTGTGCTCACTTCAGCTGACGAAAACGTGTGAGATTACCATAAGCCGCCCATGATCATGGCACGGACACCAATAACCGGAAACAAGTGGCCAGATGTTGTGTTGCTTCCCTCTTGACCGTAATCCGAAGCCTAGGCCACTCGCGGGGGAATGATGTTCGGAGCTGCACTCGGAAACGCCATTGTCACAAACACAATTTCCAACATTCTATTCAGGGAAACTTTCGAACCACACAGAAACATTCATGGGCCTGGAAGGGTGTGAGCATCAAAACAATCGGTCAATTTGAATTTACTTATGCCGCCGTCATCCACCCGTCTAAAAGTTCCGTCACCGAAGAATTCCAGAACAATCCCGAAGTTATCAGCCTCAATGCTGACATGATTTGCCCAAAGTTTTATCCAAAAACATCATTTTGTCCCCAGGAAATTGGCTTGCCCTTGCAAAAAAAGAAGAAGAAGAAAAAAAGAAAAAAAAAGACCTTTGGACATAGTGTAGGCGGGCAGCAAGTCCTAGAGTCAAGTCGCAAAGAATCACATCACGAAGTTGTTGCTTGGCCGTGAGGCCTGGCTTGAATTCTTCAAAGATGATCTGCAGAAAGAACGTAATGCGGGATTATAGGTACACTTGGAATGGCAAAGAGAAACATACACACTGGAAAACTTGGAGCAGGGCCATGACCGGGACCGGCAAGGCAACTTTCGCCTTTGACCAAGGACATCAAGTCTCAGTAAGCTTCTATCGACAATTGGGGCTTAGAGGTAACTGTTGGAATTTCCAAGGATGCATAAAAAGTTGACCTCACCTGAACACCTCGTTTTGCTTCTTCTGTTCTCGTTGGCGCTCCTGAGCTGTGGGGATAGGGGCAAGTTGATAGTACACCCAACTTCCGCCGCAGAGGATATTGCTCGTGAAGAACCCTAGTGCAATGACGCAAATGATTTTTTGAGTTCCATGATCTCAGCAAGCTCAATGTCTCAGAAGAAGAGAAGCAATTGTCGGATAACGAACTGGGTTACATACTCTCAACTACACAAGCCACACGAGCCTGGTGGAAGTTTGGTCTACGGGAGCTCCGGACCTGGGTCATAATGTTTACACATGATGTAAGATACTGACTTGTCGCGTACCTTACCTACTACAGGTTCCAGGTCCCCAGTGGGAGAGCGAGCGATAGGCCACGAGAGGGGTGGATACAGGCAGGGCAGCTGTGGCCCTAGATCCTTAGTCTAGAGGTTCGTTCCATTGTCCTGCAGGAACGAAGAAAGTGGAAGATGAAGAGAGACAGAGGGCGTCATCACACGGTACACCTCTGTATGGGCATCACCTTGCTGTTGGTGATCATGGTCGGGTCGGTTCGGTTGCAGACGGCGGTAGTGTAGTGTAGTGTAGAGGTCGGCTCGTCCCTGACAAAAAAAGTGGCACTTTTATGGTCAGTACATGGGCGATGAGCACAACAAAAGGTGCCACCTTTTTTGTCAAGGACGAGGTCGGATATCTGCTCGCGTGGTGATGGTGGATCTGACAAGGATAGTCCCTGCCTTACCTGACCGTACAGGCCACAGCAGCCGTTTCCGTACCTACGGTACTCGGTGCTTGAAATACAATCATAAAGTAATGCATGTTTATGCATGGTCCGGCCCGGTTCTTCCACCGATCCCAAGTGGATTTGCACTTTTTCTCGTTGAGAGACGGGCGGCATGTCGTTGTTCTCTTTCTCCTCAATCGATTGTGTAGTTCGTCATCATGTGTCTCACTTCCACCTTGAAATGATCAACTGTGCATGAAGTAATGCATGATTGGCATGCCCTAAAGTCTAAAGGGTGATCATTGGGCTGGACCATTCAGAGAAGAGGGTGTCCTGGGTGTTGATCCTACTGGATGTATGCTGATTGGACCCCAACATATCGTCCGAGAAAAAAATAAAAAGAATATCTCTGGTTTATACAGTGACGCCATCGTACCTGACGATAGTTTGCCGAGAAGTCTCCCAAATTCCGGTAGTGCACAACTGCATTGTTGTGAACCACCCACCCACCTTTGATGCTAACAGAAGACATTGCCCAACACACGGACACCTTGACCCAGGTTAGCATTATCGTTCGAGATACATGTCTATCAAATCCATGGGACGATAAACGCTACTTGGCGTTTTCGTGCAATTTATTGCCAATGCCAGATGCGGGTCAGTCCAATGTGATTGTATCATTTCTAGTGCATCTAGACCTCGCCTATCAAGAGTGGCAACCAGAAGGTAATTACACTTTGGCGAACGCCTCATGTAGGTAGGGAGTTTAGTAAATGATCATCGTTGTTGTTTCCTTGCCATGAAGTCACGGAGGGAAGCGCCGCCGTAACTCACAACTAATCCACTAGTCACGTACTGACATCCGCGGGTAGTCCACAAAGGAGGGAGACATGGAACTCGGAGTTTCTTGTGACGACCAGGACGGGAAGGGAATTCATAGTGGAGCCATCTAATAAAGATCCATCATGAAAGCGTGATGTGCAAAATCTCCGAATGTCTCCGTAGAATGTGTTTGTGGCCTTGTGGTGAAGTGGTGTACCTGCCTGTCAATCTCCGTCGTCTTCCTTTTTTTCCGGATCCATCGATTGTCTGCAAGGTGAAAGGTTGGTCGGGGGGAGCCCAGCAAGCGTTAGTGCCAGGCTTGCCAGGTTGGGAATACCCTATGCCCATCTTGTGCAATGAGGTCTGTGCCCAGCGCCCTATTAGTGTGAAAAGATGATCGAGGTACCTGGATTCCCAGACCGCATATCCCATGGTTGGGGTTCATGACCGTAGATGTAATCTGTAACCTATAAGATCAACCTCCAGGGGTAACTACCGATGCCCAGTGCAGTCCACTATTCTACCTAGTGTACTATGCAGTAGGTACATATGCGGAGGACTGCATGTTGCGCCCATGTTGCAGGGCACTGCGCAGCCTGAGGTCGTAACTTTGGGGGGGGTGGGGCAAGGTCCAAGCCCAATCTTGCCGATCTCTGGACAAGAAGGAGCTTGAACATCTCATGAGCGCCAGGCTCGAGCCAGGGACAGCGTAACCGCTCCATTCAACAGGGGCATGTGGTCGAATTTGGGGAGGGATAATGAAATTGGATCCCCCAAAGCTCCCGCCGTTTCTCGAGGTCAAGGTGTCACATCCATTATAATGTTCCTTTCTTCCCTACCCTTACCCTCTCTCGCTTCTGTTTCCCCATTGAGGTAAATGGCGATTGTCGCTGATGATGTTGTGTTTTTTTTTCTTCCTCTTTTTTCCATGACTCACAGAGGCTTGAGAGAGCTCACCTAGAGCTTGGTACCCCTGAATCTAGTGGCTCGTAAGCTCGCCAACAAGCTGGGTATCTCCCCATCATCTTCCGGGCAATGGAGATGTTTTGAGAAGTTGCGGGACTTAAGTGGCCCGGCCTCGAGCCGGTGGAAGTGATGGCGCCGGAGCGGTGCGCTGATGGAAGAGCACAGACCTGGTTCGTTTCTTTTTTCTAGTGGAACGCCACGAAAATCTTGGGAATGAAGTGGACGAACACCGTGACAAGCGGTTCGGACGTCGATAAGCATGACAATTCCATTTTTCACCGATAGAGATAGACACGGGCCTGTTTTAGTGAGCTGATAACTACAAAAACTTCCGTCCGCCTTGTTACTTGCTCTCCCAATTCTTCTTCGCCTAAGGTAAGAGACCAACGCAGATTACTTCTTGTCGGTGTCCTTCGCTGTCATCCCGGGCGTCATCAGGTCACTCAGACTAGAAATACTGGGCTGGGCTATGGCTTTGTGACTAGTTCTCAGCCCTCTTCTTGGTTTTGCTTTTTATCAGATATCAGAACGGCAACTCAAGATATGGCAGGACTGACAGCGGGCGCCAAGTCAAAGTATTACGCACAATAGATTGTCAAGTGATAAAACTTCGCATTGGAGATTCCATCGCCAACACCCACTTCACTGACATGCCCGCACCAGGACCCTGGAGGCCGTCGGCTCCGGTTTTAATCACAATATGTCGAGACGTTGGTGGGTCAAACAACGGCCAAATGTCTCAACAGGATGCAAGTCGAAATGGCTTCATTTCATGGAGCCAAGCCGGGAAGAGGAGAGCCAGACCGGAAGAGATTTTGGGCCAAGGTTCAAATCAATTGTCATGGCAAACTATCATAGCACTCTCCCCCAACGATGCCCGTTGCCATGTACAAACACTAGCCAATGGGATATTAGCGGCTTCCAATGGCCCGGGATTGATGATGGAGCCTGGTCAGATGGCTACATTTGCAATGGCCTTTCTTACCGTATCTTACAGGGCCATTGAATTTACAGGCATGACAAGCTAACAACGGTCATTGTTTCTTGTACCTGGATGGCAATCTTGATAACCATAAGAGGTACTTTTCAGTCGCCTCCCTTGAGCAGTCCGGAAGATCAACTTGACCGCGTTTCAGTAACCAATGATCCATGTTGATAGTGGTTTAGCCATGTCATAAAGGTCAAAATTCTTCATTTAGAGTGCCTTTTGATGATACTCCAATGACGGCCCTCGTTTGGAATGAAACTGTCAGATCGCCATGACCTGTTACGCGATGTGACGTTTCCAGAGACCAAGCGCTCAAAATTCTTTACATGCCTGCTTGTGTAGGCCAGTGACGAAGAAATCGGATTCAACACGAGACTCAGATAGGAAGGTGTGCGAGTAACTTCATCACAGTAGATCAGTATGGCAGCCCAGCCGCCGATCCTTAGGTCAGTTGCGTCGCCCTTGATTTCGGCAAAGACGTATGTCTACCGCTAGGACTGCGTAGTGGCGCTGGGTTCGGATTGTTGGAAGTTAGACGGAGACGGATAGCTATATTTCAAAGGCCATCTCCAGATGAGCCATATCGTCGAATCAAAAAGTGACGATATAGGATATGGGTGAGTGTGTCAAGAAGGGAAGCGTGACATGCCGCAATGGTGATTACGTCCAAGCAATTTCCCCAGAGTCAGCATCGCCGCTGATCAGTGCGGGATCACCGGTTAGTATACGGGTGATAGAAGACACTCGTGGTGCTGGAAGAGCATGAGGGACTCAAACCAATAGGCGCCGTTGAGTAGACCAAATTAATTAGTGTACCTGCGAGCGAACCCTCAAGGCGGGACCGGGGGAGGATGATGCTTCTTGGATGACATTGGCGGATGCAATCATCAGAGCCGATCGAGGTAGATGAAGTGCATCGCTTGGTCTGCGGCCCATGTCTGCGGCCATTTTGTAACCGTTCGTTTCGTAGCGGGCCGCAGCGAGTCTGCAACAAGCGTGGACCGTGCTGCATCTAGGTATGTATACTATGTATTTCTGACTGGGAGGAGAGAAGGAAAGCTTGTAGTTCATTCCCGGTTCATGGATCGTCGGGATTAGTGAAGGATTATGCATAGCCGAGTCAATCACCGTCTTTCTATGGCAAGTACCATGCCTCTGAATATACAATCTAACCCTGGTATGTTTGTTAGTTTGGTACAAAAAAACGCCCATCTCCACTTGAGAGCCCCGGAAAGTGAGGAAGTATTCGATTTTCAAATAGATAGGCACTGAAAGGGGACTCTTTCTTTTATATTTTTCAAGTTTGAAGGCCTTCAAGGAGACGGATGGAGGCATAAACAGAGGCTTTTGTGGCGTATTACATCCTGGTCATTGTTGGTCGCTCCAAACGAAAACTCTAAGGAAGCCAATAAGAGCTCTATATCTCCCCTGTTCAACCTATAGCCGAAGAACCAAACTAACAAACATACCAGTCTTATATTGTAACACTATTGAGGCATTGACGATGGAAAAAGGGGTTGTTAACAGGAGTGTGCTCAGTTGTTAGTAACATTGGGGATGATAGTAAGAAACTTGCACGCACGCCTCAGCGCTGGGCCCTTCATCCTTTTTCCCCGCCATTCCGGTACCACCATGAAGCGCTCGCTACCGTACCATGTACATGCTGTTACCTGCCTGCAGTGTACAACATTGTAAGACAAGACAAGGTGGATCTGCAACGGCCGAGCATTGTGCTGTTGATGCGCCGCTTCTCGGGTCCCTCTTTGTGATTTTGACTCCCAACTGTAAACAGGCCGTAGGTGATGCAATCCCGCTAGGCATGTGTTGATTTCACTAGCACGTTAATCGATGCACAGTATCACATCTTGTGCGCTCGGCCAGAACTCTCCGGGATATCGGGAAGAGGCAACAGCCCGGGAGGATCAAGTCTTTTCTGTTAGTGGTCAACCAGCAAGGTAAACGTAGTAAGACCGCCTCTATTGCCCAACCTGACCTGGCTGGGTTGGAAATCGTCCCGTAGTATGTGTGTAAGATAGGTATCTAGACGTCATTGAGTGTCGAAAGACCATGATGGCGGCATGTACCTAGGCTGATGGGGTTTCAAAGGAAAAATAATAGAGAAACCTAACCGAAAGAGGCAACAAGGGCCTGTGGTAACACATAACCACAGGGGTTCTACTCACGGTTAGGAACCTCACGGCTTCAAGTTGTAGTGTAGAGGTAGCCCCAGGTTGTGCCAGCGGGTAGAACAAGGGAAATTTTGGCACCACAACCATGACGATGCTTGGGCCGACTGGTATACGCAGTATGTAACCTAACGATGATAAGGTCCGTATCTTGTCTTGACCGGACCGTCTTACTTCCCTTTCGTAGATCCCAGAGAGGCGGCATCAGGGCCAACCCCCCCGCCTTCATTGGCCTCCCGTCTTGCCAACGCCTTGTCGCCATTGAAGGCTGCGTCAGAATGAACAAATATCTTTTGCCTAGGGAGCTTTAGTGGAGGGATGGACGAAAAAAAAAATAAAAAAAATCCGTGACTCGGAAACTATCTTACCTCCAGTACAGGGGTCTAGATTCCGGTAAGTGGTACACTGCTGGGCGCCTGCCAGTGATCTGCGATGCGCCGATTCAGATGAAGGACACAAGGTTTGGGGTGGAGGACATGGAGAATTCCCAGTTTGGTCCGGAAGCTCGCATCTCATTTTGGGGCATGGCTGTAACCAAGGTAGAAAAGGTAAAGATGACTCGGATCGATCTAGGTTACTCGACAACGGCCACTTTAGGACAATGAGTGTTTGGAGGGAAGGAAATCATGGAGTTCCTTGCCTTCTTGGCAATCCTGGGCTCCAGGTTCCTGCCCCGCTGCTTAGTGTTCCGTCCCGCTATGGAAGCAACCATGGGGCACAGACTGGAGCCATATACCTTACACCAGATACTGGTATGTATCAGCACTTTTTAATTTGCGAATCCTCTGCCTGGTCGAGACCATTGTCGAATTTCGGCTGAAGCCAGTGCTTGAGCTTCGGGGAATAAAAGTAAAGGCGCTACATACCTTCAGATCAACACCATGAAATATCGGACGATTGGGGCAGCCAGGCATCTCAACTGTACCTCTAACTAAGTAGACAAAAGTCGTGAGCTGAGGTTGGATTGTTGTCGAAAGTTGTGGCTTGCTGCTGCTGCACCTTCTCCGGCACACCTGCCCCTGACAGCCGGTTTCCTTCCGTTCTGGGACAGGCTTGATCAATGACAGCGCCTTGACGCGGGTTGTGACGCACAAACTGGGAAGGCACAGAACATATGGTTTAGCTTTGGAGCCGGAAAGAGCAAACAAACGGCGGAGGTTACCTCTCCAGTACGGAAGGAGACGCGCCCGGGTTGTGAAAGTGGAAAGAAGCGCACTGGGCTGGCCATGTTACTATGTCTGACGAAGCTTGTTCTCCAGACAGCGAGTTGCCTCAGCCCATCATCTTCTTCAGCCACGGACATTCATTCAGTAGTCACGAGGTTCCAAATTGGCAAGCAGTCAGGGTCCGATGCTCTTCTCGGCCCGTTTGCAGACCCTCGACATCTCGACCCTTACCGGACACGGAATATTGTGAAGATCAAGATCAAACCCCCCATCTCACACATCTTGCCGTCGACAGCGGAGGGATCGGCCATCCTCGACATCATTTTACAGCCCTCGTCGCATCCTTGCTCGTTGTTCTCAGCGACCCGCTGTGCAGTAAGTGCAGTGCATGCACAAATTCCGCAACTGGGTCGATTCGGTTGACTACATCAACATGGGGACCCAATATGGCTGCGGTATACCTACACCTCCACCACCAGATAGCGCCCTGGTAGATTGACAAGGTAAGGTATACCTAGTAGCCAACCGGGGTGGCTCGTGGGTGCTTGCTGGACCATTGCAACCGTACACAGCCAGGGCCGCATGCACTGGACAACCGCCATCTTGCATGGGGCGGATATACTTCCCGGGTGCTGACGACCGTATTGACTTCCCGGCGCTGGTCCTGATGGGATCGGCCGCCGACAGACACGCTGATACCTGAAAAAGCGGCGACGCGAGACATGCTTCTTCGCGCATTATTCCGTGTTCTGGTCATGGAACTTGTCTCGACTCTTGTTCCCCCAGGTTCTTGCTCCTCCACTTCCTTCTCCCCCAAGGCGGAGACGAAGCCGCCCAGTGCTGTCGTTCTGCGCTAGGACGGTTTCACTGCTCATGATGGCTGCCAGTCATGACAGTCTCAGGTTGACTGGGTGGGTAGGTCGACGTCGATATTAGCCGTGCGAGCGAGAGGACTAAACTTGACCGGAGCTGTCCACCAAGTACCAAGCGCATGGCAACAAGCCTCTAGTGTAGAATAGAGAGAGGTAGGAGTCTGCGAGCCAAGCAGTACCCAAACAGCACCACCATGGAGCACCACCCAGATGGGTTGCATCAAAACAAGTACCACAACCCTTTCCCTCTTCCCTGCTGCCGGGACTGGACCTGGGACTGGCGGCCACTGTTCTTGACACCCCGGGCCCAATCCATCATCATCCATCCACCAAATTCGCGTGTACCTTGGCCGTTTGGCTACCCTGCAACTTCAGAAAAGAAGTTGGGTATGGCATGGGAGAGACAAGGGCGGCTTGCTGGCGTTGCAGCCTCCCCTGCCTATTCTACCCTTCGATTTGCAACGACCCATTCACGGTTACTGGTCAGGGTACCTTGACCTATGGACGCCAATCCATCCATGGTCCATCTTGGCTCCATCTCAATTGCGCCGTTGCTAACAAGTTGCACAAAAACCACCTGGTGCCACTGACACCAGATCTTTGTCGACTGACTGCCCTGGCCGCCAACTACTTACGGGCGCGATATCCCAGCAACAAAAAGGCCGACCTTAAACAAGACCCAAAAACACAAAATCACGCCTTCCACCGGCTGTTAGTCTCAACTGGTTCGACCTCTATTCCTCTTGTCGTCCACGCCAGAGGCCCCAAGGAACGCGCCGTTTCGGTCTGCAGCCCCCCGACAACGACGAGTCAACGACCTCCTCGCATCCAACAACCCAACTCGCACGAAACACTGCATACAGTGCCACTGGCGCCCCGAAGATTCACTGAACCAGAATCATCTGCATCATCTTTGTCCAACCCAACGGCCTGGCAGTCTGTGCTTGTTGTCTTCACTGGCCGTATAGCTTGCCTCGTCGACGCTGATAAAGGCTTCAACAGGACAACAGCCTTGGCGTTCAAGCTCCAGAGGCCCAGGGCCTTCGCTATCACTCTATCAGCCATCTTATCCCGCAACCAGATATCTTTCTGTCCGGTTCACTCAGACCAGTCTTTCAAAACTTGCGTGTAGATTCGGGAAGCACTGGCACGGACAAGAAGCAACCGGAATCCCAAATACGACCCCTTGCGCCAAACACAAAACTGCGCATATTGCATTCGGGAATGTCCGCTGTCAACTTGGTACTTGGATTTTTTTTCGGTTCCTCGTCTAGTCCGTAAGGTCTTCGCTGATCGGATCCCGGTGCCGTCTTTGACGCAGAGACGGTCGGGATATCTAATCCCTTCTGTCACCTTGACACAAATCCCTCCATGCAACCTTTGAGTCAGAGGCCTGACGTCCTCCGCAACACACTCGGCAAACGCCGGGGAATTACCGACCTGGCTCAATTTGCTCTCGACCTCAACTGGGTCAGGGCAGACTCGAAGAGCACTGCTCGCTCGGAGAGCTACCCTTCTCCGCCCATGTCAGGGTCCCCACCGTTTCCCCCGAAAGCAAGCCAAGCGGCCGCCGAAAGACGTCAGAGCGTATATCAGGCGACAACTCGAGATGGCTATCGAGAGATTGCAGTCACCCACGGAGGTGAAGGACTTCAGTCTGGGGCCTTGACTCACACACGCCCATTTCTTCCAAATCCGCCACAAGGCATGTCGTACGAGTATCAGCGCGCAGAGCCATCGATGACAAGACCGCATCTCTACGATGCACCGCATGGTACAACAACCCTTCAGCCTTCTTTCCCGCCGATTGCTGGACCAGGCAGTGCAGGAGGTTCTTTGCCTGGCCCGCTGCCCCATTCCACGGCTCTGTATCATCCGGGGCATGATTCTCACCCGCAGACGTCACCCAAGCCTCAAAGGAAGACGAAAGGCCATGTGGCATCTGCATGCGTGCCTTGTAAAAGAGCCCACCTCAGGTTAGTTGGTCCGATACTACCGGAGATGATGAGGGTTTCCGGAGGTTGAGTGCTAATGACTTGATAGATGTGATGGTATGTGAGATTTTTCTTCTTCCCGAGAAACGACTTTCGAAGGAATGGCCCTCCGAATGGGTTACGTGAGTTGTGAAAACCCGCGATTATAATCAGTGAGACGGCTAGCTTGAAAAAGCTCGATCGCTTGCTAGCGCAGCGTTCCACGAGTTTGTGACGGATCAGAGCTTTGCCAGTGTTGGCGTCCCGGGACCTTGGGAGGGAGATGCAGCAGCGGGAATCCAGCGTGTCGATATTTCGACAAAAAAACAAAACTGTGTTCAAGCGAACCTCCCTTTCCTTTCCTTCGCCCAACTTCTCGATCAGGGCTGTGGGGCGCTTTAAATAAATAACAGATTGTTGGCTTGTACTTCACCCGTGTCAGGACTTCACTAACTGATTGCAGCACGGCGTCCATGTTCGAGGTGCTCCAGTAGCGGCAAAGATGACGCATGCATCGACGTTCAGCACAAGAAACGTGGCCGCCCACGGTTGCGAGATGATAGAGCGGATATAAAATACGACAGTGCAAGGTTTGGTGTTCCATCGGATGGGATGAGAAGGCCGTTGTCATCTCAATATCATTCTGGTTCTTCGTCAACCCTTACGTTCGACGACGCCCTTCGCCGAACACAGTCATTCCGCGTCCTCAAATCACAGCCGCCCGACTCCGCCGTGTCGCGATTCGCCGAAAGAGGCTCAACGCATGATTCGAACGTTTTCCTCGCGCCCTTGACTATGCCAACCAACCCTCCCGAGCCAGTGGCCTATTTGACAGTCGATCTTCAAGTTGGAAAAGCATCGAAGACATTCATGGATGCGATCGGAAGAGTGTCTGTTCATGGCCTCAGACTCGCTGATTTGGTTGTGGGGCATGATCGAGAGAAGGTAGCGTATATCCAGCGACAGATGGTGGACCAACAAAGGAGAAACGAACCAAACTATCTTCCACCTATTTTCGGAAAAGCAGAGGAAGAAAGGGTCATGGACATGTTGAGCTTCTCCTTGGAGGAAATCTCAAAATACCCGCTGGATAGACAAGATATCCTCACCTTTCTGGGACAAGATGGACTACCGCGGCAGCTGTTACTTCGGACTGCATTGTCCAAGCGAGACTCCATATACTATGTCGTTCTGCTGCTGATGAGCCCGGTGCGACCGTTTAATTATTCTGAGTCCTCACCTAGTATCAGGGAGACGACTCGGTCATACCAGCCATACACGCAACGGCCACCCGTCGCGACAGATCTTGGTCTCCGGCATTCGCGACCTGCCGACAACGAATATGGAGAAGGAGCACATGTGCCGGCCGCCCCACCGCCACCACGAAGTATGACGGGATTTGGGGCGAACGTGCCATCGGCATATATCTCGTCGCCACGCAGAACGGAATACTCCAATGCGATGCCGCCTTTTCAAATCCCAAGGAGCGAGTTGATTTCGCCAAGCCGACCTGATCCGTTGCCAGCGTTTCAGCTACCGCCGATACGCAATCACCAACCGAATGCTGTTCAACTGCAGGAGGTGCAATACCGAAACCGGGAGGAACGGGCGCGATTCGATATTGGCGGTTTGCTCGACCATCCCAATCCAGCTGAGCACGCCCGCCGATAGACGACGTGTAAGCTACGTTCTCATTGATGAGAACAGAGCTGGGCTGCGATAGGTGTAGGGTTTTATGATGATACCCTGATATATTGGGGATGGTACTTCTTCGGTCGTGTTTCAGAGTGTTTCTTGGAAAAAGAATTTAATTGGTTTTCTCTTGGTTTTGGGCATTTTCTTCTCGTTTGTGTTTCTTGTTTCTGTTTTCTCCCCCTCAGTATCCCATGTCAACGTGTGCCGCCTGCATCAAGACTATACCGATGTAAAGCTTGCACATGGTTCCTTGGTTGGGCTGTTTGTCGCTGAGTTTTCCAAGCATGTTGTCTCCTGCCGGTTGATGTTATCCTCGATACGTATTTCGTCTATGTTCTTCCTGCATTATCCTCTGATTTTGGGCTCGGCGAGGTCCTGGCGTTCGTTTTTGGCTTCCGGTTATACCCAAAGCTTCTGCGCGTTATGATTTGAAACCGATGTGGTTCGTGTACTGCAATTGGTGGCTTGACGGCTATTGCTGACGCTGTGCGGATATTTCCATCAATAACGGCGAGTCCGAAATTGATTCTTTCGCATCAGTTTGATGTTACGTCGTTGCATGGGGAGAAGTCCTATTTGATACTATGCGTGGATTGAAGAAAACGGAACCCGCTCGCTTTTTGCCATTCGAGGATGTTATAAGGCAACGGGGGCCGATGATCAAACCAGACACGAGGTTGCGCCGATTGACGGTTTGAGGTTCAGCGGTGCGGTGACTCAAGGTGGACGTCTCATTGTTCAGCCTGGACTGACCATTGCGTGATGTCCGCGTAATGACACCATGATAGGAGGAAAAAAAAAAAAAAAAAAAAAAAAGGCACTGAGATAGGTAGGTGAAAGTCAACCGACGTTAGATTAAAGTTTCGGGGTCGAAGGAGCAAGGGCTGCGGCAAGCGTGATTCGGGCAAACTGGCCAGAGAGCAAACAACAGGAACAGCCCAACAAAGAAACCTAAACGTCCTTCGGATGTTCAAGCAACGAAGCTTGCTTCGGGAGCCGCAGCAACACAAAAAAGTACACAGACGCATGCCACGCACACGGTCATGTTACCTAGGAGGTGGCTCCTACAGTACCGCCCGAAGACAATACCGTTTCAGTTTCACGGACTTTGACCATGGCATATGCCCGTTCTTCTTCTTCCGAAACACAAGCCACCAAGCTCTGAACATTCGCATTAATATGCATCAAAGGGCACACGGGAACGGTCTCTTATTTCAGTTTGCATTTGACCTATTTGAATTGACTAATATAAGCTAAGGTGACTATTCGGCTCATTCCTCTCGCCAACGACGTTCAATATTATCTACACTGATAAAACGACAACTTTGTACACAATTACAATAGGTGGCAGTAGAAACTACCCTTAATTCAGAACTCCCATCTTGATGCGCAGTATGGATCGATGGTCAGGAATACATGCACGCTGACGGCGCGCAATTACACAGTAAACTAGGTAATCCGTACAGGCTCCAGGATGTCAAGAGCCAACTGCTATCTGGCGGGTGTCTGTTAGCACGCTATCATAATCTCACACCACTTTTTACAGAAGCCCAATAGTTACCTAACTCCCTCCGCATAGGCATGGAAATTGGTGTCAGTACCTATTTCCACATATAACATTAGGTTATTCCAACATTCACCGATCTGTACGTACTACACTTGGGTAGGTATCTCGCCGCAGCGAGGCCAAGTCTACACCCTGTTGCATAGGATTGCACCCGCTGCGAACATCCCTCATTCATTGGTTTGTCCAACGGCCCCGGAAGCACGGCAACCTAATTAATCTCGGAGAAAATCCCACCTTTCGGGAATCTTTCTTTCTCTCTCTCTCACTCTCTCACACACACCCACATACACACCTCTTACGCTACTTTAAGGGTCCGGTAGGGTTAGGTGAGATAAGCCTCGTCAGGTCAGTGGAAGGCGGGATAAGGCGGGGTAGTGTACATTACTGTACTCAACTTGAGACACCACATCCCCCTGGTGCTTGTGCCTATTCAGATCAGTTGGCATCACCGTCAACAAAAGATGTAGTATAGTTATGAAAGTGAAAGCCCAGGCAGTACGGTGGTTTTTTTTTTTTGGTTTTTTTTTTTTTCTTCGAGTGCAGAGTCTGGGATTGGATCGTTAAGTAGCAAATTGGTACATCGATAGCTGATATGGTTTGGTTCAGAGAGTGCCACCTCTGGTCAATAGCAGCTTGCCAGATAGCTACGTATCTTGTAACGAAGATGACTTTGATGGCAGAAAATGGGTTCATTGCGGCATACCTTAATATTGATTTGACGATGAGGATAAGGCGTGCCGGCCCAGCTGATTCGAGGTACTTCTGGGAAGAAAATATCCGCATCTTGTGTACGTAACGGTATGGCTTCACCAAATGCCCCTAGCAGTCAGTCCACCTTGATCGTTTCATGACATGCTGCGCAGCGGATATAGATTTGGGAAATCACGATTTTGTATGTATTTCTCGTATTTCTCGATTGCCCTCTTCCCTGCTGTCCCTTTCTCTCTGAAGTCCCTGCTTTCTTATCACGTAACTCATACTTTCCTTCGTCCTAATTTCTTTTCCTTCCTCTGCGCCAACCAACCCATTGCCACTTGGAACTCCTATATTCGTCTGCCTTTCTACAATATACCTGTACTCTCTGCGCCGCCATCATTCACCTTACATAGTTTGATCTGGACACAAAAAAAAAAGGGGTACATACACCATTGCCCCTTGGTATAGGACTGCTATGTTGATGAACTTCGGTTTCGTTGATTGAGGAACGAGGCGAAACCTCAGGCACTGGGTTCGCGGCCTGGATTCTGATTGATTGTTTCCCTGCGACTTTAGCTCTTTTCTGCTTGTAGTCGCTGTAAAATAACTATTAATGTCTCCCTATAATCGCCGACAGTTCCTGGATGCTGCAGGCAAGAGATATATATCGCACGGAAACGCCCGTCTGCTCTGATGAGATCCCTGGATACATCATGGCGTCAGTCGCGCGAACTTCATCGGGAATACGAGGACTCGGATGTAAGGATCCAGGACCAGGTGATGCTGAAGGCGGTAAACCATGGTGGAAACCGTCTCTGTGGCCACTACAATTTCCATTGTCAGCGCCCTTCCCTTTGTCGTTGTGGTTGTGGTGGTTGTTGTTGTTGTCGTCCTCATTTTCATCGCAATTGCCGTTGCGGTTGCGGATTAACAAATCCCTGACCTCCTCATGGCGCGTGATGACTTCTCGTCGGATGTTTCGAGACATACTGTTGATCATGCCGAGCATTATGTGGAGTTGGACCTTGATGTCCTCGAGGGTAGCGTGGATCTTGAGCTTGCTGATTTGGAGCTGGGACTGAAACTGGTATTGGATCCCTCCGTTAAAGTCAAGGAGGAAGGGGCAGCTACCTGTTGATAAAGCTCGGAAGAGGGCGAGGGCAAAGATGAGGGGTCCTGCTGAACTTGTGTTTGCTGCTGCGTCTGCTGCGCGGCCGAGATATCGATTGGACCCCTTTCGACCAGCTACTGCCGTTGTTGTAGCTGTTCCTCCGCCTTCTGCGTGATCGAGACATCGATGCACCCCCACTCGACCAGCTGCGGTACCGACGCCTTGAGGATTTTGAAGTTGATCGAATTCTTCGAGTGTCTTTCCTCAGGAGCATGCGAGTATGCTCAAGAAAATCTGCGGCGGTCATGCGGACGTAGAGAAGAGGATAGTAATTCACATCTGTCTGGTGGGTGCCGGTAGATGTAGAGTTAGTACCTGTATTCACTCTCGACAGCCGCTCCTAAAGGTTGTCGCGAAGAGAGGTCAGCTCTCGAGGGCAATCGTAACATCTCTGCTCGTTGTCTTAATCACACTTGCTGCAGCATTTGAGTCTTCTTGACAAGGTTGATGGTGTCGCTGTCATTCATCAGCACCCTGGCGCTGTGTATTTTTTTTTTTTTTTTTTTTTTTTTTTTTTTTTTTTGGCAGTATCGGATGTGCATTGGAAGCATGGGGGTCGGCGGGGTGAAGGCCTTCTCCGATATGCCCTAGACCATGGATGAAGGAGTAAACTTGGTCGTCCATGGTGACCGCTTATTATGTGCTTAACGTGGCGTGCTAGGTGGGTGACATGAGTGCTCGCGGAAGCTATTCAGTTTATATATCCCAGCTATTCGGCCTGATATCTCAAGTCGGAAGATCTCCTGCTGACCTAGCAGGTCCCTGTTTGGAGCCAGTTGCGTGCTGGCTCGTTTTCTGTAGGGGGAAAAAATTAATAATATGCGGGAGAGAGGGGTTGATGGTTTGCGGAGTAACACGTTAAGCATAACAACAAGGAGCAATTTGATAAATTGACGGAACATCAGAGCCCTCTTGGTACCATGATCTCAGGTGTACGCAATGAGAAATGTCTTGTCAGGACGCCTTGTTGACTGTTTGTTTGGTTCGTAAGGCCTAGGCCAAGTTGAACTTGCATGAGCAGAGGAAAAAAAGAAACACAAGATCATCAACCAGAAGTTACATCAATGCTGTTGGTCACTGCAGAGAATCATCAAGCAGGCGGCTTTCTCAGGTGCCTTGCTCTGATTTTGTTTCCGCATGCTCATGCTGTTCAGGCAGTGCGGTTGTTTGTCTGCGTTGTTGCCGACTGGTCTGTCTTTTCGTGGACGACCTAATCGGTAGAACGACTCTGGTATGCCCTTCTATAGTCGGTATTGTGGTCTCAGCACGAGTGAAAGCTGCCGGATCGCCGTGCTCATTGATCTCTTTTTGTCTGGTAGGTAAGGATTCAATGGCTGCTTTACTGCCAGTGGGTGCCATCTGTTCTAATTCTTCGATAAGCCTGTCTCTTTTTGCTAGGGGTTCGGTGTCTGTGAGCGCCCCATCATGTGGACGTTTAAGGCTGTGGCGGACGGGTACTGAAGCAGTGGTGACGAGATGGGTATCGTAGGAATGGATAAGATCTCTCAGTAGGTCATCACGAAGTGGTGGCTCGCTGCTATGCGATGAAATAGATGGTGATGGCGGGCCCGTCCGAGATAATCTCTCTTTGACAGGATCGACAGTTATCCGTGTTGGATCTCGTACAGAGGGGGTCAACGGTCGTTTTGTTCCTGATAGGCTCTGTGTTCTGCTAAATGGTCAGAAACGAAACCTAGCCAGAGGGATAATGAAGTCAGCATACGCACCTGGGACTTCCATTCTCAGCATGAACTTGAACAGAGGAGCCTGCATCACTCGGAGTGGATCCCAGAGAAAACGACCAAGCAGATTCCGGTGATTGTTTCTCAACCATCTTTAGGTATGAAGTTTGATATTGAGTTTACTTTGTGTATGACTTGTCGAAGATGAAATGAATTGGTGATGCTGATGGCGTCGACATGACAAAGGCAGGAAATAGCTGCTATATCCCTCCCCACCGAGTTTGGCAAGATATTCACCTCCGCGCTGAGAAGAGCCCTCCGGAAGCCTCGAAAAGGATGGGGCGGGAGCGTGGCTTCCAGCCCTTGAGCAGGGGTCCCGATGAAGCCAGAGCGAAAGAGGGTGGCATGCAAGACACTGTACCTCGTTGATATCAGGAATAAAAGTGACGGGGGGAACTCGAGAAGGCCAGAAAAGAGAAAGAGATACAATCATAGGCTAGACATGATATTTTCCTGCGAATCTGGGGCGCAAAGTAATGTGTTTGTCACTTGACAAAATCAGTGACATCAGTCCCAATGGAAGCCTGGCTTTGGAGTCTTCCGAACCCCGGCCGCAGAGGCAGATCCGGCACAGAATGAGATATTCCATGATCGGAGAAGATGATGGAGAAGTTGTGGCTCAGTCGAGCTGACTTGAGGTCAGACAGGCACCAGATAAGTAGAGAAAAATGTGGATGTTCCATCAATTTGCAAGGTGTCGTGCTTTGTAAACGAAGGCGAGTATCCGTGGTCGTGAACCGCATCCAAATATGTAGTCAACCCCATACTAGCCATAGACATGGCGGGGTGAAGTGGAAAGGTCCCGCATTTCTTTGAATGATTGAGGCGATCTTCAAGTTTGCAATGTTCGTGAGCCGTGGTTTGAATAGGGCGATACTGGGTTGCCTCTGATTGTACGTCTGGTGTGTGAAGGATGATGAGAAAACTGTCGGTTGGTTGGTTGTGACGAATTCGTTGGTCGAAATCTTCGTTGTGATGCCTGAGAAGACCTCATACCCCGTCCTGCATGGCCCAATCGAGCGTAGGTAATGCACGTGCCCAAGGCCCACATTGTCCCGCACTTGTAGTGTAGGCTGCCATGGCGGGCAGTGTCGAACTGGGCCGCTGCATTGGTCACTTCAGTGACCGGGCTCCGCTGTTGCCTTCCATTTGTAGAACATCTCGTTCGTACCTGCCTTGTACATACAACTGACAACCGCGAGTCTTCAGGTTCGTCCGTAGGGGAAAGTAGGACTGGCTCATTCCTTCACGGTGTTCTAACTAGCCTGATCGTAGCCCGACTACTATCGCTGCCTGCGGTGGAGTGGCAGCTTCACGGGATCACGTTTTCCTTCGGAACAGATGGACCGTGTGTGTTATAGCAAACCATCCGTCTGCAAACCGCCCAGCGCGTGTAGCAGAGGAAACTTGACGGCTTTTTTACGCGGTCGTTATCTCTCGCCAGACGGCCAACAGCTCTGACTCTCGAGCCTAATAGCCGGTCTTAACTGAGCTGAGCCTGCTGTTGGCAATCTCATTCACTTTGCGAGGGTAAACTTGGGCGGAATGGCTGAGGCAATGGCCATTGATGGCCCTAGGGGTGAAAAGCGCAAGGCGAGCGTGCTCGGTGATGACAACGGTCATGCTCCACGTCGGATCAGGGTAAGAAGACACGCTCCTCCATCTTCCAAGACAATGACATTATTGACCGGTACTTGTAGCCACTCGACCCAGACGTTGTCAACAAGATTGCCGCTGGCGAGATCATTGTTGCTCCTGTTCATGCTCTCAAGGAGCTCATGGAGAATGCCGTGGATGCCGGCTCTACCTCGTTGGAGATTGTGGTCAAGGACGGTGGCCTCAAGCTCCTCCAGATCACAGACAATGGCTGCGGTATCGACAAGCAGGATTTGCCCATTCTATGTGAACGCTTCACTACGTCCAAGCTGCAAAAGTTCGAGGATCTTCAGTCCATCTCAACATACGGCTTCCGCGGTGAGGCTCTTGCCAGCATAAGCCACATTGCACACCTGACCGTCACCACCAAGACTCAAGAATCCAACTGCGCCTGGCGTGCTCATTACGGGAGCGGAAAGCTGGTTCCCGCAAAACCCGGCCAGTCGCCCGATCCGAAGCCCGTCGCTGGACGACAAGGCACGCAAATTACCGTCGAAGATCTGTTCTATAACATTCCAACGCGCCGGCGCGCGTTTCGATCTACCTCTGACGAATACAACAAGATCATCGACATGGTTGGCCGCTATGCTGTACATTGTTCGCACGTTGCTTTCTCGTGCAAAAAACACGGCGAGTCATCGACAAGCATTGCCATTCAGGCCAGTGCTTCGAGTACCGACAGAATCCGGCAGATATACGGAGCCAGCGTCGCAAACGAACTCATCGAATACTCCACATCCGATGACCGCTGGGGTTTCAAGGCTGAGGGCTTGGCGACTAACGCGAACTACAGTCTCAAAAAGACAACTCTGCTGCTCTTCATCAACCATAGATGTGTCGAGTCTTCCAACATTCGAAAGGCAGTTGAGCAAACATATGCTTCCTTTCTCCCCAAGAACGGCCACCCTTTTGTCTACCTCAGCCTAGAAATTGCCCCTGAGCGGGTCGATGTTAATGTTCACCCTACGAAACGCGAAGTGAACTTCCTCAATGAACATGAGATCATCCAGGCCATCTGCGAGCACATCCGATCAAAGTTGGCTGCTGTCGACACTAGCCGAACTTTTCTCACCCAAACCCTTCTCCCTGGTGGCACATGGTCGGCCTCAGATCAACAAGCGTCTTCAAGCACACCATCCAAGACCAGCGGTGCGGCTTCAGGAGCCCGCAAGACCCCAGCACGCAATGAATCCAGTCTTGTGCGGACTGATACCAACATGCGTAAGATAACCAGTATGTTACCGCCGGCGTCAACCATGGCAGCAGGGTCAAGAGGAGATGGAATTCCCTCCACGTCTGGCCTCAAAGCAACCATTAATGGCACAAACATGGACGTTGAGATGATCAAGTACGAGACAGTCGAGCGTGAGGCTACTGCCTGTCGCTTGATCAGTATACGCGAACTGCGCGCCGAAGTCCGCGAAGAGATGCACCACGAACTGACCGAGATCTTTGCCAATCACACCTTTGTCGGAATTGTAGATGAACGTCGTCGTCTTGCTGCCATCCAGGGTGGTGTGAAGTTGTACCTGGTCGACTATGGACGGGTATGCTACGAATACTTCTATCAACTGGGGTTGACGGATTTTGGTAACTTTGGTACCATACGTTTCGATCCGCCTCTCGATCTTCGAGAGCTGCTGAGCATGGCCGCCGAATCCGAGAGAACGGCAACAGCAGATGCAACTGGAAGAGTCGATAAAGACGGAGATGATGAGATGGACGTATCCGAAATCGTCGAGTTGGTGGCAGATCAGTTGGTTGAACGGCGAGAGATGCTTCTCGAGTATTTCTCTTTTGAAATATCTCCGGCCGGCGAGCTGCTAAGCATCCCACTACTGGTCAAAGGCTACACGCCGTCTATGACCAAATTGCCGCGTTTTCTTTTGGAGCTTGGACCACGTGTAAACTGGTCAGAAGAGAAGGCCTGTTTCGAGGGCTTCCTCAAAGAACTGGCCATCTTCTATGTCCCTGAGCGATTGCCAGCGACTATCGGTACCGATGATTCATCGTCTGTGCAAGGTGGTGGCGAGGATGTCGATGTCGAAACAGTTGCTCGCAGACACCATGTTCGGTTCGCATTGGAACATTATCTTTTTCCGGCTTTCAAGTCGAGGCTTGTGGCGACCAAGTCGCTCATGCAGACGGGCATTCTTGAGGTCGCGAACCTCAAGGGCTTGTACAGGGTATTCGAAAGATGTTAATACCTGTCGATACCAGTAAGCTTATTAGCACCATAATAAGATACGTCACATATCCGACTTGGAGTAGCCGACATGTTCGTTTCCTTGATTTGTTACCTGAGGGCCATGGTAGGTACACCTCTACCACTTTTCTTACCTTAGCAACCCGAGTTGACCGTTTGTAACTAGCAGGACTATAGTCGTACTCACGTCGTCCATCAGAATCGGCCCCGAATCTTGATCTCCAGCCATCTCAAAGGCAGATAAAACAAGCCCGTCAACACAAAAGCCACCTCAACCCCGATATCCCCAGTGCTCTTTGCAATCGGGCCAACATACCACGACTGCGCCATCCCCGGGACCACCAGCGCCCAACTCAGCATCGAGGCACCTAAGGCCGCCAACCCAGGTGGCAACTCCCTCCCCACGTTCCAGATAGCTTGATCAAAGGTCGCATAGTCCATTCTTCTAAACACCACCAACTCCAGTATCAAAACAACATCAAAGCACGCAGACCAATACCCAATGATACTGAGGAAATTGATCAAACTAGTCTCCCACTTCTTTGCCGCTCTGACCGCCATCGGGATCATGACCGCCATCGTCACCAGGATAAACACGAATCGATGGACCCTTAGTTTGAAGGGTAACGGCGGCATCAGCATCTCGAGGTTCAACGAGATGGTATACATGGAGATGGCAATGTTTCCAATCACGCTGAGCGCAAGCACCACCAGCACGAATTTGCCAAACCCGCCCGCGGGAGCAAGCATCTCCATCATCACGCCCCCGATGCCCGTCGAAGCGTAAGCGGCTTGCCACGCAGGAACTTGGGGAACGGCACCGCCTATGGCGGCTCCCAATATGAAGAGTGGAACAGAAGGGAGGAACAAGCCGAGGTAGAGGTAGGTGAAGATGCGGGCTCTGGCGCTGAACGACTTGGAGAGAACGCCTCTTGGGTTGTGGTAAATGGAATAATCACCCACCATCCCGCCAAACGTGATGAAATATCCTGCCATGAGGCTTCCAAGGTTGAGGATCTGTGCGGGAGTGGCCGGCGCTGCAGGCTGCGATTGCAGATGGAGATAGCGGCCGCCGCAGCCGACGGTAATGACGAGAGCAATCAGGTTGGGGATCCACGTCCATCGTTCCCATAAGTGGACGAAGTTGAAGCCGAGGAGGGAGATGCCGAAGGCGACGAGGCACGTGATGACGATACCTACGTTTATGCTGACGTGGGAGGGGTTGATGGCTGCGAGTGTCTGCCCGCCCGCGATGGCGGACATGAGGGTAAAGCCGGTTATGGTGGCGGCGTTGAGGAGGAGGGGGATAATGACTAGGTAGAGGCTGCGAGAAGGATGGGTGTTGGTTAGGACATGGCGCTTCTAAAATGGAGGAATAGGTGCGATGAAGTGGAGGTTGGGACTCACCCAAATGAATATCGAGCTTGCACAAACTGCCTCATGCCGGTCTCCATACCTCCGATTCCCATGAAGGCAGGCGGGAGGCATGTAAGCAGCGCAAAGAAGACGATAACCAACGAAGCATCTCTCAGACTCAAGCCAAACTCGAGAGTGGCCAGCATGCCAGTTGGTATCCTTTATAAAAGCCAAGAACAATGACAAGTCAGCAGCTGATCAGCTACACTAGGCTAGGTCGTGACCCTCAAAAACCGAAGGATAGGGTAATGACTTACGGCAATAAACACAACAAACCAGTAAAGAAGACAGTAAACAACTGATTATACTGCGTCGAAGTCCTCCCTTCAAGCGGAACCGGCTGAATCCCGTTTTCTTCTATACCGGCGTCGATGAGCTTCTGGTACCACTTTGGATTCCCCTTCTTGGAGCGGTTGTCGTCGGCGTCGCCCTCCTTTATAGTGCTTAAGAAGTTCGGCCAACATAGCGAACCAAACCGAGTAGATGTCTCTGCTTGATCTTTGTCTTGCCCATCGTCCTCTTCGCCAGCTGTGCGTTCGATATCCTGGAAAACAATGCCGTGTGGTAACTTTGGTTCGTCATCTTCGGTGGAATTGTTGGTAGACATCTTTGAGTTAGGGATAGAGATCCAGATGGGTCCGGGATGTGTGGGCGTGAAAAGAGGCAACGAATACCTTGATTGGGTTGGGAAAGGGGGAGGGACGTGAGCAGAGTTGAGGTAAGGAGAAAGAGGAGGAGGAGGGAAGAAAGAGACAGGGGAGAGGGAGAGAAAGGGAGAGAGAGAGAAAAGTCAGCAGCCGCTTCGAATAAGACTCGAGGGCTTTTCAGTTTTTGCGTGAATTGGATTTCAGGGTAAATGGGATTTTCATCCCATCTGGTAAGAATTCAACAACCCAGAAGTAAGCGTGGATAAAGTGACTATATACCTCAAAAATGTGACGAATCTCTAACCCAAATGAGGTTAACCCATCCTACTTTTGCAAGGAGCGACACTGAAAGGCATTTCGTGCTATCACCATCACCAACGCTTCCGCCTCTTTGGTGGTTGGTAAAAATCCTAAATCCCTCCATGTTCGGGGAAGCCACTATGCTGGCGAATCTCTAGAGTGAACGCAGATAACTATGGACAAACAAACAGACAAACAGACACCACTTTGCCATAGTGCACTTCAAAACAGCGCGCCTCTCTTTATCACAAGTACTGAATGTATGTTTGTACATGGAGTCATCGAAGCGTGCTTTAACGATGAAGAGGTGGATTACATTAAAGTCTGGGGATCTACCTAATAAGCTACATCCACCGAAGCGGAGTAGAAGGACGGTTCCTCTAGCGTACAGCCAGATTTTCTTACGCAGTACAATGCTGTTCTCTGTACTCTCATTCGTCAGACAGCTACAGCTAGTCAGGGCATCTTGCCAATCCAGATTTTTATTGGTCAACAGTGTCGTCCAGGATCGTCCTAAAATGCTCTGTATCCTGCCTTTCAGTTCCTGAAATTATTCACGATAGGCATCGTCCTCATTCGAGGTCGCCTATCGATAAGATTATCTATCGCCAGTCTCATTCTTCAGCATTGCCTTCTTCAGCGTTGTTTTCTCTACCATGCTCCATCGTCGCCGTTTCTACCGCTGTCTTATCCACCGCTTTCTTAATTGCCGTATCATGCGTTGCCGTCTCTATCATTCTCGTCTTTCTTCTCTGTTTTTCGATTTAGTGAGGAAGGAAGAAAGAAAAGTAGAGTGGAGAAAAAGAGAGAGAGAGAAGGACGGGAGCAATTTGGTGAAGACAGCTCCAGTCGTCCGAACAAAGAACGTTGCAAAAGATAGCCTCGATATAAACCGCGGTCGTTAGCCGACTTCTTAATCGTACCGGAGTTTCCGAGACTGTATTCTTAGACAGCGGCAGAGATGGTACCAGTGATAGTAGTCCTTGGGTGGCCATCGCCATCCGGATGCTCCTAGACAGCGCTTGATGTGACCACATCTCTGTGATCAACACAAGGGTGATACATATTACCCTTGCATGGTGGCTGTATTGCTTCATGCTTCGAGTGTCCCGACTGCGTTTATACCCGAAAAAGGTCAGAGTCTGGTCTGCAGTAATGGAGCCTCATGAAAAGAGCATGTTCATTCGCAGACATGACAGCTTCGGAACGCTCGGTTTTCGTTGCTGGAAGCTAAAGCTGCGTCAAGCAAGACAGAGTAGTCCGTTCACCCGCTCGCTCTCTCTCGTAACAAGGCTCATCCAACGAAGCTTGCCGATTCCTGGACAAAGGTGACAGTGAAGCAGCAACCTTGATGGCATGTATTGACACCTAACGACGTCTCGCCAAGGTCCCTGTTACGGATAGCGACTCGGCGGATGGCTGCGAAGACAAGGATGTACATCACTGCTCCAGATTGTTTGCCGACTGCAAGGGTTACCAACAGAGTCGCTTCCCAGACCCTCGTCAGTCGTCCAGTCTTCTCTTCGGGGTCTGGCGAATAATATTTTGAGTGATTCCCCGATGTTGATGGAATCGACGCTGACCCTCATGATTGTGGCAGACGGGTCGGTCCCGCGCCGAGGTTGGGCTAAGCCGGGAGGACTCCACACTTCGGGAGCCGGTGGGGCAAGGTCCGTTGCGGGCCCCGCCATGGAGCGCTGGAGCTCCCCCCGTCTGAGCGTGCCGGCGGTTCTCGCGTGGGTTTGTGTGATTTAAGTTTAAGCGGCCGTTGATACGGGTCTCGCAGGTCGAAGCTAGTCTCCGCTTGGATTATATACATACACATATACATATATAGACATCTATTACCGGTGAAAGGCGAGACGGATATGGCGTCGAAAGCCATGTATGGTCGCTCACGATTCCCGTAAGACGAAACTGTATTGGACATCATTTTGAGACTTCGGTCATAGATTCATGATTGACTGTTGACGGTGGGTGTAGCGACGACGGCGTGGAACTCGGTGCGATATCATCTCAGTGATGGTAGAGATATCGGCGTGTCGCTGGATAACACGGAGAAGATGGAAAGACCCCTCTGGTTTGAACGTAGTGGTCCCTGGCGCGCAGAATCACAGCCGTCAAACCCCTGCACCGCCGAACAATGGTCCCCGCCAGTTATGGAGGTACCTGACCCGCAATGCTACACCGCGAGACGAACCTCCTTCAACCTGGAACCGTGTCGGCTGTTTCGAACCTCCTTCGCGGCTCGCTGGGGAGTGATGCGCACTTCTCCCCCATCCAAACGAAATTAACACAAATCAAGACACTCACCGAGTTCATGGAAACATTCTGACCTTGTTCCGTCCCGCTTGCTCTCCCTGCCCCCGGATCCGTGCCCTTTTACCAAAGAACAACAACCAACAAACAGCCTCACCCTGTCACAGACCGCCGCCGCGCGCATCGCCATCCCCTCGTCGAGTCGTCGCATCTGGATGGTCTGCCTCTACGCACCACAACTCGAACAGCCACGTCAATCATCCTCTGCTCTTTCATCTCCCCAGGGCTTCCCATTGTAATCAAAGGCAAGAGCCGGCTCTGCCCAAATCATAACTTTCGAATCCACCTCAGCAGTTATGGACCAAGCAGCCTCGATAGTAAAGGAGCATCACGATGGTATGCGACAATCCCCGTGGTGCGTGGGGTTTCCGCAAGGAGAACGGCTGCTAACCCCCTCGCTATTCAGCCATTATCAATGCCATCAAAAGTGTTGTCCAGCGCGACGTGAGCACCACTCCCCTCTTGCTTCCACCGCGGCCGACAGGAGTCCTATACTGATACGACTGTGCATTATAGTGGAGGATTTTGATAGTCGACGACGTCTCCAAAAAGATAATCGAAAGCTCCGTCAAAGAAGATGACATTCTCAACGTCAATATCGCTAATATACAAGAAATCGAGGAACCGAGAGACGAGAATTCCGGCATGGATGCTATCTATATTTTGTCGCCTCGCCCGCATATTGTCGAGTGCTTGATCCTTGATTTGGCAAAGGGCCGCTATCGGAACTCTACTGTGCTTTGGACAGGCATTCTTGGGAGGGAACTAAGGGCACGACTGGCCTCTGCTCCTCAGAAAATAGGTACCTTGCCTAAGCCTGGACAAGGTTAAGGGGGCATTTTTGCTAATCAGACCTACGTAGATTCGCGACCGCTACTGGTTGACTTTTTCCCTCGCGAGTCACACCTGGTGTCTTTTAAGGACCCCTATAGCTTTCCTATTCTGTATAATCCGAGCTGCGAGGCCGTTGCAATGCCACATCTGGACGCTCTGGCTCAAAAGGTAGGGCATATCCATGTCCAGTCCGTCCCCATCTGTTGTTCCATGGACTAAAGCCATTGCAGATTGCCGCTGTATGCATAACACTGGGCGAGTATCCAAAGATCAGGTTCTTCGCACCCAGGAACAGCGAATATCGTGCCAGCGCGCTGTGCGGACGCCTTGCTGCGCTCGTACAGGACGAGCTTGACGCTTACAAACAGTTCAAGGGCGACTTCCCGCCACAAACTACACGGCCGCAGGGATATCTACTGATTGCGGACAGGTCAATGGACTTGATGGCACCATTGGTCCACGAGTTCACATACCAGGCGATGGCGCACGACCTCCTTCCTATCAAGGAAGGCGACAAAGTGACCTTCCACATGACCGTCAACGAGGGCACGCCAGAGGCCGAGGAGAAGGACATGGAGTTGTCTGATAAAGACAAGGTGTGGGTCGAGAACCGACACCGGCATATGAAGGACACGATTGAAAAACTTATGAGCGACTTCCAAAACTTCATCAAGCAGAACCCCAACTTCACCAACCAAAATCAGGATACGACGAGTTTGAATGCGATCAGAGACATGTTGGCGGGCCTGCCGCAGTTCCAGGAAATGAAAGAGGCCTACTCGCTTCACCTCACCATGGCTCAGGAATCTATGAACATCTTCCAGCGTCGCAAGTTGCCCGACGTCGCTTCAGTGGAGCAGACATTGGCTACCGGTCTCGATGAGGATTATAAGAAGCCCAAAGATATTCTCGAGCAGATGGTGCGGCTTTTGGATGATGAAGCTATTACCTGGGTGGAGCGGCTGCGGCTAATTGCCATCTACGTGCTATACCGCGACGGGGTTATCATTGATGACATTGACAGGCTGCTCAACCATGCGGCCCTGCAGCCCGCTGAAAAGGTCAAAATCACCAATCTCCAGCACTTGGGTGCCCGGCCTACACGGAAACTGAAGGAGGAACGAAAACCGCATCCTCCGTTGTTCCCACGGACCCAAGTAAAGAATCCGGCGGACGAAGATAATTTCCTCTCTCGATTCGAACCCGCTGTCAAGCACATGCTTGAGGATCTGTTTAGCAACTGTCTCGACCCAGCGATTTTCCCCTTTACACGACCTCCAACCGATGGCGGGGCTGCCGATGCTGCTATGACAACAGGAGGGTCACTCCGCTCGGCAGCACCGAGGTGGGCATCAGCTAATCGCCGGCAGGTTGAGAATCGACAAAGGGTCATCGTGTTCATGGCCGGTGGGGCGACCTACTCAGAGGCGCGGATATGCTACGAAGAATCGGAGAAGCGAAACCGCGACATCTATCTTGTAACCAGCCACATGCTCACACCACAGCTATACCTAAGACAACTGGAGGACCTTTCGATGGATAGAAGAAGGCTCGGCCTGCCGATGGACCGACCGCAGCCCCAGGTCCCTGAGCACTTTTATGCTAAGCCAAAACCGCCACCGCAGCCCGTGCAACAGCCGCCCGCAGCCGCTCCTCCCGGAGCTGGATCGGTACATCCCCCAACGCAGGCAATGGGTGCCATGACAATGAACAGTGGTACGGCTTCTCCGCATGCTGGGGGAAGTGGCGCAAGGCCTCCAGTTCCGCCCGCCGGGAAGACAGAGAAGCCAGTGAAGGAAAAGAAGAAGAGAAATCTGTTTGGATTGAAGAAGTCTTGAGCACCAAACATGTGAGCGAAACGGGCTTACAGGGTGGAAGCGGTCGGTAGGCAGGAATGACCTTGATGCCTTCAGAAAAATATCGGTCAGGTCACTGTTGGTGATAGTGTCTTGGATCATCTCGGATTCGATTGGCTACCGTCAACTATACAACAACATGGATGGAAGTGTCAGAATAAGTTCTGAGCTTGAATGCTCCTCCGTTGTAAGCGATAGCGAGGCGATTTTGGTAAAGTGGCTAGGTAAAATCAACGTGGATATGATAAGCATTAGACCCTTACCCGCGGAGCTGGGTGCCATAAGCTTTTCCAGGAGGATAGGAATGCGTGATCAGTTTGGAGTCAGTGAATTGCGACAGCAAGTTGACACCCTTAAGTTGATGTTAGCTAGACTTCATGTTTTGTCCCCATGCTCTACCTCAGGATTTTACCACACAACACCACATCCTCCCCCAACGGTTGCCACGACACATCCCTAAGTCTCACCGGCGGCGCCGGCTGCCTATCCCTCCCTACCGCCCTCGGAGGGCAAACCAGCACTCCTCCAGCCCCCAACCACGTCGGCGCAATTGTGACAATCACCGAGTCCACCAACTCCTGCTCTCCTGCCTGCTCCAGCGACAGCAACGAATTAATCACACTTCCTCCCCCTTCTATCATCACACTATCCAAGCCTTCCTCCTTAATCGTCCGCAGCACATCAGCCCAGGCAAAACTTTCTCTACTCGTTGCCCCTTCGCCCTTGCCCTCGCCCTTGAGTTTCAAACCCTCAACACGCACATATTTTCCCCCAACCCCCTCCACCACCGCCCTCCTCTCCTCCGGCACCTCCCCCACCTCTTTCGCGGTAAAAATAAACGGCCCCAATCCCTGTTTCAGTCTAGCAAGCTGGACAACTTTACTCTTCTCTGAGACCTCCCACCGCGCAGATGGATCGAGGATGATAGGTCGGGGCTGGTTAGGATGCTGTTCCCGCTTTCCATTTCCTACCCCTTCTGGCGAAGAGGACAAAGGGGAAAGTATCTTGCAGTTAAGCCCCGGATCATCAGCCACGGCGGTTCCAACTCCCACTAAGATGGCGGCATGGCGAGAGCGTAGGAAGTGCGTCATGGCTTTGGATTGCGGGCCGGATAGGGTGGTGCGGACACCGGGCGCGAGGGAGAGAGAGGAGTCGAGGGAAGTGGCGAAGGTCAGGGTTACAAAGGGCTTTTGGTTGGGGTTGCTGTTGGTCATGGTGATCGTGGGAGATGGTGATGAACGCGGCGGTGGAAGATGCGGTTCGAGCTTCAATGCCGAGGAGGTGGGGAAGTGGAGGAGCCCGTCAGAGAGGGAGGGTGTCCCTTGAGGTTCTGTTGGAGAGACGGCGGAAGTCATTTTGATTTGGGCCGTTGTTTTGCTGTAAGGAGAAAATGATGTTGTTTGATGACAAGGTGACTGTTGGCTATAGCTCTCACCTCCCACGAGCGAACTGAGAGTCCAAGTAGGGGTTGTATGCAGAATATTGACCGGTTTATTTTATTCTTCTCTCTTCCCCCCGCTGTGTTTTAGAAACTGAGGAGTGGTGAGTGTCGAAACCTGATATTGGTGAAAAGAGCATGCGTGATCGATAAATGCCAAGGCCAATTGGTGAAGCTTACGATGGTGGATTCATGGATTTGCACTAACACACAGTGAGCGAGTATTCTGCCAAGCTGTTGGCAAAGCACCACTCATTTGCACACACTGCAAGAGCTCTTGTATAGGTTACCGTAAGTTGTTACAAAATAAGCACAAACGTCCGCTTAAATCTAGTTATTGTTTGTACAGACCCGCCTCGGTTTTGATATCATGCACAGGGCCGCATGAGATGATTGCTAATCTTTACAGAGTTATTTATCGGCAAAAGCAGGTGCATATATATACCTGAATCCGTCTCATTGAACATATACGCATCATCTAGCGAACGATCAGCGGCACGGATCGTTAGTCCTCAAGGGAGCAAGCCGAAACCGTTGTGGCGCAAGCTTTCCATTGGGGAGACGGATCACCAGCAGCTGACACATGAAACGTTTGATGACCCAACAACTTGAGTAAAAGCTCTGTCCTTATGAGATACGAGATCGAATGTTAGAACGCGAGGAACTTTTTAGGAGGCCATGGAAGAAGTATGGAACCCGTCAAAAGATGTAAAGATGCCCAGGGAATTTATCATCATGATTGAATTCCCACCTCTCGAATTGCCCGACTTGGCAACGCTTCATCAATTCGCTATCTTGAGGTAATTTCCACTTGAGATGCCCCTTTTCGAGCCTCGGCCACCAACAGAACACTTCCCATCCCGTTTCAACCATGTCTCATTTCATTGACAATGAAATTCACCATCTCGACCCGTTAACATGGGTGCTATAGCGAAACGTCGCACGTCGACGTGGTTCGGTTCGAGAACCTAGTGTAGGGTTCCGTTAGAGGGGCAAGTGACTGTAAGAGATACCCATTCGTTAGTGCAGCAAGATTAACGGCATGTATTAGGTCGGTGCTGGTACATAATGGCTTATAGCTCACTAGCAGGTGCCTAACTGCAGATTGCCACGCGACCACCGCTGCGCCTCGAAAGAACGAACAAGACAGCGTCCCCCGTTTTTCCCGTGCTCGCCGTGGTGCCTTTTAAACTCCGTTCATCCCGCAACCAAAATCCACCCGCCGACCTTTGTTGACCTCCCTCAGTTACCACCCCTCTAGTCAAGTATAGTCTTTGAAGCATACCCAAGGTCCCAGACGGAAACGGCTAGTGCCCTTGGAGTCTGCCTCAGCCATATCCACCAAACTGCACGCAAATACCTGAAGATCGACCAACAATTTCGAACTTTCTCCACGCCCCGCGAACGAACGAATGACTCGTGTCTTGGGGAGCGATCGAGAACCCGTCACCTTCTAAACCGTCTACTGCTGTGCGCCCAGCTTTTCAAACCCACAACATCACCTTTCCGTCGCACACGCAACCACGAGAGATCTCAGACACAATGTCCGGCAAGCAAGATCCACCCCCGTACAACCAGCCTCAGCCTCCTCAGGCTGCTTACACCGGCTACGGCACTCCCCCGCCTGGTCAGGACGGTGCCTACCCCTACGGCCAGCCTCCGCCACAACAAGGCGGCTACTATCCCCCTCAGGCACAGGGCTATCCTCCTCAGGGTCCCGGCTACCCGCCGCAAGGCCCATACCCGCCGCAGGGTCAATACGGGCAACAGCCAGGACCATATCAGCAAGGACCGCAGATGGGCTACTACCCGCAACAGCAACCACCACCGGGAGCGTATTACCAGCAGGGACCCCCGCCTCAAGGGTACTACCAGCAGCCGGTAGAGCAGAAGAGCGGTTCCGATGTGAGTCTTGTCCGAGGTGGCTGTCGTGGGCGTGGCTCGGCTTTAGATCATCCTCACTAACTTCTTTCTAGGGCGTCTGCATGGCGATTCTGGGCACTTGCGCCCTCTGCTGCTGCTTGGATGCCATCTTTTAAACGCAATCCGAAACCGCTTCATACCGTAACGGGACCATGTCAGAAACGAACAATAACACAAAATAATGGCATCAAACCAAAAACGATGCGAGACAGGAGAGGAATGGTTGAGGGGTGTATGTTTTCTGTCTCTGGCCGCGACGGGCAGTAAAAGGGTCCGTTTGCGCTGATAAAGAGGTGCTGGTGGCGCTCGAAATCGACGTCACTGTCTCGCTGATTATCAGTTACAAGCCGGGCATGTGAAACATTCACCCTAGCACGATGTTCTTTTCGAGAAAGGGGGGCAGGGCTAATTATGAGCCTCTCAAGGCTTGATTGATTGTCTTACGCATTTGGGAGGCGCAATGGGGGAACCTGGGCTGGTTACACAGTTGCTTTTAGCTTGCTTTACTTTCACATCCATGTTGGATTTATTTCTTCTTCCTACACCAGTAACCATCTATCTTCCTTGCGTTCCCACGCGATCGCCTTTGCATATCCCGTCCTTGTGTGTTCACGAATGCCGGTGCATCTGAATTTTCCTCACACTTTAACAGCTCTGGTTTACGATCCCGCGGATGTGTTTTAGGGGCGAGCAAACGTTGACAATATCTAAACTCACGGGGGTGTCAATCACAGGTCCACAGTTTCGTCCACTTCTTTCTGCTACACGCATGGCTTATATAAGAGATGACGGCTTATTTGGACCCAGTTACATATAAGAAGTAGGTAAAGCTAGGTAAACCCTCAATTGTAAACAGCATTTTACGCCGCGCTACACATACCGTCAAAAGTACAGTACCAAGATTATACACACAACCTGATCCTCCCTCCTCCCTCATGCAATGCTAGCGAAGACCTCATCAAACTTTTCGATCACCTCCTTTACACAGTCATGCGAATAAATCATCTTTTGCACATCCGGGCTTGCCCACTTATCTGGTACAACGCCGGACTTGCCGTTGTCACGGAACAGCCGATCACGTTCCTCCTTCGCCTTGCCCTCTCCGAGATGTAGCACGCGGCCCGAGTGTGATGCCAAGTCCACCAATGTTGACGTATACGGCTTGCGTAGCATCTCGAACACCTTGAGCGTCTTGGTAACGGTCTCGGGATTATTCAGCTTATTTGCAGGAATCCTGCTCACGCACTCGGCCAGCACCGCTCCGTCTTCGATGGCCATGGCGGCGCCCTGGCTGAGATGCGGCAACGTCGCGTGGCAGGCGTCGCCCAGCAGCGCGGCGGACCCGTGCACCCAGGTGGGAAGCGTCTTGTGGATGCGCAGCTTCCATTCGCACACCTCGCCCTCGGGCACCAAGTCAAGCATGCGGTGCACCAGCGGGCAGAAGGTGCCAAACACCTCGAACATGGCCTTTTTCTCGCCGCGCGTCGTGTACGTCGCGTTGGTGGCGCCCGCAAAGTTGGTGTCTGGGTGTGCCGTCGACAGATTATAGATGGTGTGCCCGCTTACGGGATAGGCGATGATGTGTCGGCGCTCGCCGATCCAGCGCACCACCGTGTCGCAGTCCAGGAGGGCTAGCATCTCCGGGTCTCCTTTCATCTGATCCCGGTGCAGCATGATTCTGTAGGCGGCCTGTCCCGTGTCTTCCTCCTCGGACGTGAGCCCGAGCTCAGAGAGCATCTGCGTGCGCGTGACGGACTTGATGCCGTCTGAGGCGAGCAGGATGTCGGCTTCGACTTCGAAGGGCTCGTCTTGCGCGCGCGACTTGAGCAGGATACGTGGCTTGGGCCCCCATGAGAGGACTTTGACGAGTGAGGTGACAAAGTTGAACTTGATGGCCGGCTCCTTGAGACAGCCGTTGTAGAGGCCGCCGGCGAGAGAGGAGCGGTGGCCGGTGCAATGGGGAAATCCGTACTTCTCGCGCATGTCGGGCATGGATACGTGAGCGAGCTCCTCGTCTGTGCTTCCTTCTGTAGTTTGGGAAGACCTGGTCAGTCTTTTGTTCTATTTTCTGGGATCGAAGCCAAAAAAGGGCGCCTGAGGAAGGGGGTGTTTCTGCATGCTACCTACGCCTGATGCTCGTCTCCTTGACATCTGTGGCCTCCTTCTCGATCTCTTCCCAGCAGCCTAGATGATCCAATATCCTAACGACGTTTGGAGGCATCTGGATACCGGCACCGACGAAGCCCAGGTTCGACGCTGTCTCGTAGACGTTAATGTTCTTGAACCCCTTTTTGGCGAAGGCGAGGGCAGTGCCCAACCCTCCCATTCCTGCGTGATCCCCCACGTCAGTATCCTCGGTACCCGGTGAGGTGGAAACATCATTCTTGGGTTTCCACCGCCCGAGTGAGCTTACCTGCGCCGATGATGGCAATACGGAGATCGCGGAAGTCGGTCATTGTGGTGTGTTGGTAAATAGATAGTGGGGAGACTCAACTGTAGGTCAAAATCCAAGAGAACAGAATAAAATTCAAGTCAGGAACAAAGAGGAAGAGGGTGAAGCCGTGTTATAAATTCCCATCTCGGCAGCTAAACCGGGTGAAGTGATCCATCATATTATCGACGGCCGGCTTGTGTATAAACTACTGAAACACATCCATGTGATTCGAGTATGGAAGGTAGTAACTAAACGGAAGAGGTGGGGTCCAGGATAAGAGAACGCGGGAAAACCATACGGCGCAGTATGTAGGTAGATAGCTTCATCATAGGCACTTCCTCCCTTCCACTTACCCTTTCCACCATCCATCCGGGAGAACCCCGCGACATTTCGTGCGTGGCCAGTCGGGTCTCCTAGACAGGATAGAGTGGACAGTGGTGATCGTTGGAGGTTGTGTGTGGCGCGGGACTACGGCGTAACTGGAAAACCTGGGGGAGGAGGCAGGTCCACGTGGAGGTCCCCAAAGTGCGGGGGAACTGCCGGTTCAGCGGTACATACCAGTCAGGGCTTCCAACTGAATGATCTTCTAGGCCGTTCTTTGCGGGTGTTGGTACCAGTGCCCGTAGTGTACCCGACTACCTGCCTGACGCCGTACACTAACGGGGAAATATGTTTGTCCGGGATGGAGGTTTGTCTGCTTTTGTGAATGTCAACACCAGCGATCTTGACTTTTCATCCTGGAGGTCTTAATCATCTGCAATCCATTTCTGCCATGGCATGTTGGACAGATGGTTTTGTCGTTCGTCAGAGCTGTACACGATGCCTAAAGGGTTGTAAGTTTAGTCATAGATGCCATCTCGGGCAAAAACACTAGAGTGTCTCTCGGAGGGTAAGGCGACATTGAGGTAATGCCCCTGGCCACCAGCTCGGTCATTAGTGATCCGAAACGGTTGGGGAGGGGGGGAGGGGGCGAGATAGATGATGTTATTCCGTTTTCAGGTATATCCAAAAAAGAAAATCACATCATGGGCTTTGAAAGCACCCGGCGTTGTTGGTGCCGGACGGTTGCTGCAGTGGCCTCTCTGTTTGGTTGATATTTGGTCTGGGGATTTTCTGCAGGAGAAATGTTGCTCCTTACCTACGGCGCACGCCGAAGCCGAAGCGCAGCAGCCACTAATATTATTGCCCCGATATCCCGAACAACAGGAGATGCGTTGATGGAAGCTCAGGCACGCAAAGAGCCCGCGCAACACCAGTTAAAAGTAAACACAAGAGAGGCCTCCTGTCGCCAACGAGTCTCCATTTACCTACGCACGTGCAACACCATAGCCCCAGTACGGAAAGTCCACAACTATCGCGCGACCCTCCTCGCTCCCCAGTTCCCAATTCCGTACCTCGAAAATCTGTTGGCTTCTTCCAATGGACGAATGCAAGGACGCGTGCTTGGCATGGACTGCCGGCCGTGCCTCTGCCACGGTGCGACTCGGCCAGTGTACCGCGGTGCGGTGGCACTTTTTTACACTTTGCTGCAATGCTTTGCTGTGTGGATTGCATTGCGCAGGCGCATTACCAACTCTTCAATAAGTTGTTTCCCATTGTGGCGTCATACCCTCCGTGAACAAACCTCAAGAATGGGAGGGCACAACTTTTTTTTGCCCGTTTATCGATCAATCGCCGCATATTCGACTAGTATCCTCCCGTTTGATGTTCTCGTGTACATACTGTAGTAAGGTAGAAAGGAGTGCCGACTAGAGAAGGTCTGCGTGCCAAGTTCCAGCGGAAATTAATCGGAAGCTGTCAAAGTCCACACTAGAGGACGCACAAATCTCCGCCGAGTCGTTTTCTGAGCTCGGTTGCGGTTGTACAGCCATGCACGCCTGGTCGTTCAGGGGCACCAAGACCAGTTCGTGGTGAAGAGCCACAACGGGCTCGTCCGTTAGGTGGGGGGTTCAGTTGCGCAAGGATGTTTCATCAGGTAGCCGTTGTGGTTCCTTTTCATCAAGAAGTTCTGTGTGAAGACCAAGTCCAAGTCAAGCGCGCGTCTGCGGCTTCGTTGTCCTCGGTGCTTCCCAATGGACATGTCATCCAACCAACCATGTCAACTAACGGCCACTGAATGACATGAGGGAAAGGGACGGGAGTCGGGCAGAATTCATAGGCGCGCAATGATCAACTGGAGTCAGGGGCATGCTGCAAAGTAACGCCCGGCATGGGGTGGCACCGATACTGCAGCATGATTGGCCATGACGGTAGCAACAGAGGAGCCGCAGACGTCACCAGGGTACTTTGGTGTCGGGCCCAATCAGATCATAAGGGAGAAGCAAGACATTTTGGCCCACTGGAACTAACTGGAACCCGTCCCGCTTGGCTCCATGGCGGCCCCGATCTTGTAGGTCGTCTTTCAGATGAGATGAACTCAGCCAACAAAACGAACAAGTTTCAAAGGCCACCACGCCCGTGCTCCAACGACCTAAGCAAGTGCCCCCGGAGACCGTCCATCCTTTTGGCTCCTTTCAGTTTGGTTCGTCATGGGGGACCGATACGTACATACACTAGCGTCACTATAGCGATAACTCGCCGGTTTCCGTTTCTTCGATTTCCTCCCACAACCACCTCCAGTCTCGCTTGTTCGGACCTCACTTCTAATTTTCTTCTTCTTGTCTGTCGATCATACTTGCCGTTCTCCTGGTTCTCCGCCATTTTTTTTTTCTTTTACCCCAAGTCCCTTAGATTGATTATAGGGCTCCTTCCTCTAATCGTTTATCAATCCGCCTAATTCTGCAACCCTTCGACTCGCCTTTGGACACCCATCTCGCCTTCTGCCATTGTTCCCATTGTCCTCCCCGGGATACCACAAAGCAACAC